CTCTTACACCCCACCATGCTATAGTCTTGCCCTGTATTCTTAGGTTGGGCTTTGCTGTTGTCACGGCTCGTACTCCTGCCCAATAAGGTATTGAGTCACCGACCACCCAGACGTCTACAAATATTAAAATTAATGATATATGGAACCAGGCATGTACAAAACATCTATTATGTTAAGACTGACTTGTAGGCCGAAAACAAACTATGGCCGGATATACAATTTATAACAAGAAGAGGTCCATCTACCAAGTTTCATTATCACCTCTGCCGAATAGCCTTGAGCTGCTAAGTCCGAAGCTCTGCCAATCCTAAAGCTATGTGATTTGAAACTATTCGATAGTTGGCACCCCTGAACACATTTTTTTAAAACTGCGCAAAATTGTGTTTTTGTTACAGGCACACCGTCCTGGTGGCAAAAGAAAAACTTTTGATTTTGAGGCTTATGTAATACATAGTCCAATAATGCACGCACTGGGCAAATCGCACCAGTTTCCTTTGGTATTTTTAACGTAATTAACTTTCCTCTTTGATTTGTTTTAAAATTTCTAAGAGAGATGATAACATAATCTGAATTGATGAATGATACGTCCGAATTTCTGAGTGGGCCAGTTTCTTGACCTTTATATGAAGCGACTAGCTCGCTTACCCTAAATAAGCCGAAGTATGCCAATGTAAACAAAGAAGTAAACAATTTAGATTCATAACTATTAAAGCAAACTTGTGGAAGGCTCTCACAAATAACAGCTAAGTTAGGCAGTGTAAGTGGAGCCCTGCAATCAAATGTAACGCGGTTCCTATGGCAACCCTCTAAAAGTTTACTGATGATAAATTCATTTGAAATGTCATTATAGCCCCTTAGTTTATGAAAATAATTCAGGCCCGCTATATAAGTCGTAATTGTTTTGGGCGACATTCCTTTTTCAAAGCAATAAGTCGTATATAATATTACGTGCTGATTTGGGATTGGCCATTTGACCGTTAAGTTGTACAGGTGTCTAAACTTTTCGAACGACCTGTATGCTGTTTGATAGGTTAAGGAGGTATTAGTTGCGATCCCATTTGAAAGAAGTTGCCCCGCTCTTGATCGAAGATATTCCAAAGAAAAGACGGTACTGGGCACGGGTCTAAATCTGCTTCTGGCGCCAAATTCCTGAACTTGACTAACAGCATTATCTTGCAAGAATCTGCTGTCCATTCCGACGTCTTCCGACTCTGGTCTGCTCAAGCCACGTGCTTCCACGTGTTCCGCTTCTGCGCCATTCGCTTCATCTGCATTTCGTTTGCGCCCCCTTGTAACAGGTCTATCATTTGTAGGCCGCTCCTGATTCACAACTCTGCCCTGACTCGGCGCTCCTCTACGACCCATAGCTCTCCTTACGCCTCTACACTCGTGGCATTGCTGATATCTTAAATCTATTTTAGCTGTCAATTTTAAATCTCTCAACGTTGTTGTCGTGTCCGACTATAGCTAGCTAACTGAGAATGTTGTACTGGGAATGTTGCACGGGATTTTCGTGCAAACGCGTTAACCCATCTAAATGAAATTATACCTATTCTATGCGCTAACTATAACGGGAACCTGACTTATAAAAATAAGCGAAACGTTACAATGTAACGGAAGGAAACAATTTATTTCTCAAGCTAAATAAAGGAAATTATTTTCATATAAATAATTTATATTATATTGGTGAGATACTGCATTGAGATGCTGATAAGTTTAACATTTCCATGATCTGTCAGGAATAATTGTGTTGCATTGTCACAATATAATGACCATTCTGTATGTTACAAAATCTACTATACAGTTCACAATACAGGATGAATTCATATAATATTTCATTATTAAGTGAGAAAATTATGGTACTTCTTTCTTTTGTTGCAAAATACATGCTGTGTTCAAAGTACTTTTTATACACAGTATAATACACACCTTTGAAAAACTTGAGAAATAATGTTAAAAAAACATCAACACAAATCTGCAAATGTTTACTTTAATTATGTGATTTTCTGAGACAAATCCTTTAAAAAGTTAAAAAACAAAATTAATTGGAAAGGGTCTTCAGGTACTTCTCCATTAAATGTAGAACTTTCTTCTTGAAGAAATCAAAATATTTATTAAATTAATGAGCGGCATTATTATGAAATATAATTTCTAGGATAAAATCTTTTTCGCAAACACTCCTCAAACCACAAGGATTTCTGTTATGCAAGTTTCCGTGTCTTGTTCATCTGTCAGTATCCTGGATTTGCTGATTTAAAATAAAAGCATAATTTATAATATCTACACTTTCTTCTTGCTTATAGTTAAAGGCATATACTTAGGTTACATATTGACATAGCTGATTGAAAACTTCTGGATAGAATTTTGAACTTTGCATGATCTTAGAATATGTTATTAGAATTTTGTTTGTTGTTTTTTTTGGTTGGATTTTTCATTGCACCAACACTATACAAGTCATATGGCAACTTTCCAGTTAGACTGGTGGTCAGGAAGACCTCAGGTGCCCCTTTATGCATTATTTCAGGTGTAAGCGGGCACCTGAGTAGAACCTGAGTAGAGCCACCAATGTTCTGTAAGCTAGCTGGATAGCTTCCTGACAGGAAAGAATCCAAGGCTCTGGTAGGACTTGAAGCCACAGCATTGAAGGTCTCATGGTTTGAAGTCTTTGACCTCAGCCATGGACACCCAAAAGTTTGAGTTTTGAAAATACTTTGATTTGAATTGTAAAATAATCTTAGGTCTCATTGTGTTCAAAGTTAGGATCAATTACTGTTACTAATTTTATGTATCTTTGTTTTTACCATATGCCTTAAGAAGAATGCATTACTTTCACTGGAGGAAAGTTGCATTATTTCTCAGATATATAGGAAATTTCAAGCCTTGAGCATATTTATTCAGACACTGATTTCTCTCCTGTAATTATTTCTGTCATTATGGATGACAATTTACGGAAGATTACAGTTATAAATGAGGCTGTTCTGATGATAATTGGGTATAATAAAACTTTATACTGAAAAGATATATTTGCCTTATAAGATGTTTTCCCTGTAACAGTAAGATTAGGGGAATGTTATTTATACTGAGTAATGTTGTTAAGTTCTTGATTAAAACTTTTTTATTTTGAGCTCCTTTGTTCCGTAAAAAAAAGACAAGGTATTATGATCGCTGTAGCATCGTAGTTGTTGTGCAAAAATTTAAATGTAGCCGATTACTCAAACAATTTTAAAGGTATCAATATGAAACTTAAAATACTTGCTTATCATGCACAGAGACAGTTGTGGCATAATTCTGAAAGCTATATTTTTGGAGTCATATCCCTTTTTAATATAGAACTTTTGTCAAAAGTGGTTATTTCACAGACAAGTGTTAACATGGCATGCGGTGCATTTGTTATATTCCTTTATCTGATTTTTATATGCCTCCACTTATAAAGTGGCAAGTATACTGTGATGGGGGTGGCTAGTTCATACATAAACATAAGTATGACCTGTAACGTGTTTGATTTTCTCTAATCAGTTTCTTTAGAATTTTTTAGCCATAGTTTGTGTAACTTCAAAGGGGCATTTCCTATGGCCATTAGATTCATAACTAATATTGATTTTGAAGACATTTGGTCAAAGGTCAAGGTAAAAGATCAAGGTCACAGTAACAATGTATACAATTCTTGTCTGATCAATAACTTGGAAAGGAATAAGCTGAAATTTGTTTTGCAGATTGTATTCATGATAAATTACATATTATCATGCTAAATCAAGGGAAGGGAGGTTATTCAAATAGAAGAAAATTCAGTGGAGCCACAGTTCTGTCCCCTTGCTTGAAGAAGAAGATGAATATTTAATTTCGTATTTTCTGTAGGCTGCAAAAAGAATAAACTATTTTCTGAACTAAGTTATTATTGATAACTGCCAAATGAATTTTAGATGAATTCAATGAATTATGATTTTCCTGTTGAAAACAAAAGAAGACTTTTTCTTTAAAGAGAAAGATGATAATTTATGGACAAAAATATAAAATTTGAAATGTCTATTGTTGACAGCGGTATCTCAGGTTTATTAAGATCAAAATGCCATATTAGAGCATCCATCAGATTGAGTTTTGTTGTTGATGGTGGTGGTATTGGTAGTTTTCACTCAGGATCACAGCAGTAACCCACATTGAATTTACCAGAGTAATTCAGCCATGCATTGTTCATGGGCAGGTTGTCAAACAGTCTACCAGTACTAGTTGTCCTCACTTTTGCAAGGAACTGAAACTTCTGTACATACCAAAGCAGAGGTACAGTGCAAATGACTGTAGAAAGGATTTCATGATCGATCCTGCGCCGTCCAGGAATGGAACCCGGGTCGCCAGATTCACAGTCCAACTCTCTACCTATTGAGCTAACCGGATGGCTATAGAGTTCTGTTATGTCATTCTATCATTTATATAATGCAAGCATCATCATTGCACCATTTAATCAGGATCAGCAGTCTGACCTAACAATAAACTGGTATCATAGGGAAATTTTAGCTGACATAATAATTATTCACATTTTTATGTGTGAAAGTTGCAAATTGTAGGTGATTTTTTCTTACTCTTTGAGGCACATGTATTGGCAGGATGTTGTTAGATTTGATAATGAACATTAAATACTTACAGTGATTATGAAAACTTCCCCAGGGTAAGAATTTTTGCAAGTGCTTTTTAATGAACTTGCAAAATGAGAAATTAACTTGCAAAATTGAATTTGCAGTGTTTGAAATTCAACTCCTATCAAAGAAATCAAGTAAGTATAAGATTTGTTATATCAAAATATTTAAAAATTTACCAATTTTACTGGTCATTCGTGATGTTTTTTTTCATTTACTGTGTAATCAGACTTTGTTGAAATAGTTTCTTTTTCAGCAGAAGAAGTCTTACAAAAGCTGCAAAACCAGTTTACATGTAAAAATGCCAAGTGTGTGAGTGTCTTACTTTAAATTGAGATGACAGACAATCATTATTATATTTTCTACTTTCAGGTGATGATATATTTAATAGACCATGTGCTTCCACAAGGTTACTTTGCCAACAATTTACGAGCATTGTCTGTTGACATGGCAGTGTTTCGAGACTTGTTGAAGATATTTCCAAAGTTGTCTCGACACCTCGACTACCTACAGCATGCTCAAGATCAGACCTCAGGTATAAATATAACCATAAACAAAATTTGAGCCGCGTCATGACAAAACCAACATAGTGCCTTTGCGACCAGCATGGATCCAGACCAGCCTGCGCATCCGCGCAGTCTGATCAGGATCCATGCTGTTCGCTATCAGTTTCTCTACTTGTAATAGGGTTGGTAAACGAACAGCATGGATCCTGATCAGACTGTGCGGATGCGCAGGCTGGTCTGGATCCATGCTTGTCACAAACCCATTATGTTGGTTTTGTGATACATTGGCTCATTTCTTTGTCTGTCCAGCTGTCTATCCGTAAACTGCTAGAATAGTGGAATGTGGAGACATCCATTTCCAGTGGACACATTTCTTGTTTCAACTAGGATTTTTGTAAAAAAACAGATTTTGCCTATAATTTTTAGGTCGACTTTTTCTGAGAAAAATAGCTGTTGCTATAGTTATGATGATGTTGTTGATGCTGCAGCTGTCTGAAACTTTATCATTGGTCATAATTTTTTATGCCCTCGGGCATATAGTAATTGAACCATCCGTCCGTCTGTCCGTACGAGGTTAACCTAGAACGGCAAGTTGGATTTTTCTTAAGTTCTACCTGTACCTATGGCTTCTTAGTTTACACACTTACTAATCAATACAAAGTACATGATCTGGTCAAGTTACATAACTATGGCTTCCATATTTACCAAGTTATTGCCCTTTTCAGCACTTAGAAAATGAATAATGGTTAACCTAAAACGGCAAGTTGGAAATATCTTAAGTTCTATCTATACTAATGGCTTCATAATTTCCACAGTTACTTATCAATACAAAGTTACATGATATTGCCAAGTTATATAACTGTGTCATCCATATTTCCCAGTTATTTCCCTTTTTTTCACTTTGAAAATAGGGCCTTGTCTGCTATTCCGGCAAGTTGAATTTATCGTAAATTTCTCTTAATTGCTTAATTTATTTAATGATATCTTGCATATTTGGTAGGTGGATACCTTAAATGGTCCTCTAATTTTTTGTGGAGTAAATGGTCTCTAGGGTCAAGGTCACTGGTTTAGAAAATAATGTAAACATTTTTAGCTCGACTATACGAAGTATATGGAGAGCTGTCCTACTCGCCCCGGCGTCGGCGTCCAGATTTCAGATTAAAGTTTTAGTGCAGTAAAATATTTTTCACTATAACTTTGTCATTTCTTAAGGTATCAACTTCAAACATCAAATATATGTTCCTTATCATCAACCACATCTTATATGACAAGGTTCATAACTCTAGCACCAATATTTTCAGATTTATCTCCCCTTGAACTTAGAATTTTCCTTAAAAAATACTATTTTTTACTGTTTCTTCTTTATTTCTTAAGGGATCAACCTCATACTTCAAATATATGTACCTTATCATCATCCCCATCTTATGTGACAAGGTTCATAACTTTAGCACCAATATTTTCAGATTTATCTCCCCTTGAAAATATTATTTTTTACTGGAACTTATTTATTTCTAAAGGGATCAATTTATTTCTAAAGGGATCAACTTCATACTTCAAATAAATGTACCTTATCATCATCCACATCTTATGTGACAAGGTTCATAACTCTAGCACCAATATTGCAAGAATTATCTCCCCATCAACTTAGATTTTTTTACTAGAAAAATGTTATTTTTTACTATAACTTTTTTAGTTTTAAAGGTGTCTACCTCAAACTTCAAATACTTATTCCTTATAATCAATTATATTTTATGTGACAATGTTCATAACTCTTGAAGTAATTATTACAGATTTATCTCTCTTTGAACTTAGGATTTTCTTTAAGAAATATTATAACTTTGTTACTTTTTTAGGTATCTACTTCAAACTTCAAATATATACTTCTTATCATTACATACATGTTGTGTGACAAGGTTCATAACTCTAGCGTGACTATTTCTAGAATTATTTCCCTTGATCTTGGAATTTATTTTAACAAATGTTATTTTTTTACTATAACTTAATACATAATTATACATAATTGATTTTTCTTTCATAGTTTTGTCCTCCTTACTGCGTCCAGTATTTTATTAGTCGAGCTTGGCTGTCTCCTGTGACAGCTCTTGTTGCTCATACAGCCTTTATTTTTTGGTTGATGTCTTTCATGTTTAATACAAACATGCCAAGGGAGGTCCTCCTTCTTTGGGTAAAGTAAGGGGTCATTGTCACCAATGTCAAGGTCACCAATGTTAAAAATAGATTTTTACAGGTGTATTAACCATATTCTATAGACAGATGTCATTATACCCCCAAAAACGAAGTTTGGGGGGGGTATATAGGAGTCACCCCAAGGTCGGTCGGTTGGTCGATCGGTCGGTCGGTCGGTCCAGCGGTCCGTTGCATTTTCCTTATCCGGAGCATAACTTGAAGACTAATGGTTGGAATTCAATATAACTTCATACAATGGTCAAGCACATTGAGAGGAAGTGCAGTGCACAAGAACCATAACTCCATCTTGACTAATTACAGAGTTATTGCCCTTTGTTACTTTTCCTTGTCCGGAGCATAACTTGAAAACTACTGGTTGAAACTCGAAACAACTTCATACAGTTGTCAAGCACAAAAAGGGGAAGTGCAGTGCACAATAACCATAACTCTATCTAAAGTAATTACAGAGTTATTGCCCTTTGTTATTTTTCCATTGCTTTCTTTTGTCCGGACTATAACTTGAAGACTAATAGTTGGAATTCAATATAACTTCATACAATGGTCAAACACATTGAGAGGAAGTGCAGTGTACAAGAACCATAACTCCATCTTGACTAATTACAGAGTTACTGCACTTTGTTACTTTTCCTTGTCCGGAGCATAACTTGAAAACTACTGGTTGAAACTCGAAACAACTTCATACAATTGTCAAGCACAATAAGGGGAAGTGCAGTGCACAAGAACCATAACTCTATCTAAAGTAATTACAGAGTTATTGCCCTTTGTTATTTTTCCATTGCTTTCTTTTGTCCGGACTCAAACTTGAAGACTAATTGTTGGAATTCAATATAACTTCATACAATGGTCAAGCACATAGAGAGGAAGTGCAGTGCACAAGAACCATAACTCCATTTTGACTAATTACAGAGTTACTGCCCTTTGTTACTTTTCTTTGTCCGGAGCATAACTTAAAAACTACTGGTTGGATTTCAAAACAACTTCATACAATGGCTAAGCACAATAAGGGGAAGTGCCATGCACAAGAACCATAACTCCATTTTGACTAATTACAGAGTTATTGCCCTTTGTTACTTTTCGATTGCTTTTTTTTGTCCGAAGCATAACTTGAAGACTACTGGTTGGAATTCAATATAACTTCATACAATGGTCAAGCACATTGAGAGGAAGTGCAGTGCATGAGAACCATAACTCCATCTTGACTAATGACAGAGTTATTGCCCTTTGATACTTTTCCTTGTCTGGAGCATAACTTAAAATATACTGGTTGGAAATTAAAACAACTACATACAATGGTCAAGCACAATAAGAGGAAGTGCAGTGCACAAGAACCATAACTCCATTTTGACTAATTACAGAGTTACTGCCCTTTGTTACTTTTCCTTGTCCAGAGCATAACTTGAAAACTACTGGTTGGAATTCAAAATAACTTCATACAATGGTCAAGCACAAGAACTATAACTCTGTTCAGAGTAATTATAGAGTAATTGCCCTTTGTTACTTTTCCATTGCTTTTTTCTTGTCCAGAGCATAACTTGAAAACTACTAGTTGGAATTCAAAACTATTTCATACTATGGTGAAGTATATTGAGAGGAAGTGCAGTGCACAGAAAGCATAACTCTTTTTTAACTAATTTAAAAGTTTTGCCCTTTGTTACTTTTTATTGTCCAGTGCATAACTTGAAAATTAATGGTTGGAATTCAATGATCAAGGGCAGTGAGATGAAGTGCAGTGCACAAGAACAATAACTCTATTTGGACTGATTACAGTTATTGCTTTTGTTTCTTTTTTGTCCAGTGCATAACTTGAAAACTAGTAGTTTGAATTCAATACAACTTCATACAATGGTCAAGCGCAATGAAAGGAAGTGCAGTGTACAATAGCCATAACTCAATCTTCAGTATTTATAGAGTTATTGCCCTTTGTTCCTTTTCCTTGTCTTTCTGGACTTCTTACAGAGTAATCCAATAAAACTTCATCAATGGCCAACCACATTGAAAGGAAATGCAACATACAAGAACCACAACTATCTTTATTTGCCCACAACCATAACTCTGTTTTAATTCTTTACAAGGTATTCTGTTACTAGTAACATCCTCATTTCCGAAGCAGTCTTGCGGGGGTATTAATCACATTTAGTGATAGTTCTAGTTTATAATTGATAGGAACATAAAATTTGATGGAGTTAGGGGTCAGTTGAGTCAGGGTCACCAGTGCTAAAAATAGATTTTTACACTTTTGCCTATACAGCCTTTATTTAATGACAGATGTATGTCATATTTCGTAGGAAGATAACTTGCATGAAGTTGAATATTTTTCAACTTCACAAGTCAGAGCAATGACTTGGCAACTTATATTTTTCGCAATTACAAAATGCCATGACTTTGTCAGGCTATATAACTTATTAGTCCCCTACCGGTTTACCGGAGGGGACTTTAGGTTTACCGTCCGTCTGTCTGTCCGTCCGTCCACAAATCTGGATCCCGCGATAACTTGAAAAGTACTGAAAATATTTTTATGAAACTTGATATATGGATAGATGGCAGTATGGAGATTATGCACGTCTTTTTCTTTTCTTCCTATGTTGAAAATTCTGGTTGCTATGGCAACAAATAGGCTGAAAATATGGCAAATTTTACACATAAACTGGATCCAGTGATAACCCAAAAAGTACTGGAAATATTTTTATGAAACTTGAAATATGGGTAGATGGCAGTCTGGAGATTATGCACAACTTTTTCTTTTCTTCCTATGTTGAAAATTCTGGTTGCTATGGCAACAAATAGACTGAAAATATGGCAATTTTTACACATAAACTGGATCCAGTGTTAACACAAAAAGTAATAGAAATATTTTTATGAAACTTGTAATATGTGTAGATGGCAGTTTGGAGATTATACAAGTCTTTTTCTTTTCTTCCTATGTTGAAAATTCTGGTTGCTATGGCAACACATAGACTGAAAATATGGCAAATTTTACACATAAACTGAATCCAGTGATAACTCAAAAGTACTGGAAATATTTTTATGAAACTTGACATATGGGTTACTAAGATGGCAGTCTTGAGATTATGCATGTCTTATCTGTTCTTCCTATTTAAAAAAAATATTGGTTGCCTTATTGGCTTAAAACATGGCAAATATAACAATATTTGTGATTAGTCAAAAAGAGCTGAAAATTTTTATGAAATTGCATCTTTAATTCCAGAGTTATCTCCTCTTTAAGAATTTTGTTTTTTAAAATGTTATATTTTGGTAACAGGGATGTTTCAAATATTAACTTTAGAGTGTCCTTCAGTCCGTCTGTCTGTCTGTTCATAAAAACTTTTTCCTGTGATCACTTTTAAAGAACTTTTCCAACAAATTTACTTAAAATAGAGAAAAATTTAAACATTAGTGAATGGCCAGTGGCCCTTCAGAATGCTGATGGGGTTCTAACCGGTAGGGGACTTATGGATTGCTTGCAATACTATGATAATTGCTTGTGTTTACAATTTTTTGGCAATGTTTCTGTCCATAACTGAGTGAATGGGTAAACATTTTTTGAAATATTGCTACTGACAAGAATCTGAGCGGGGGGCATTTGTGTTTAACAAACACGTTCTTGTTAATTTTTAGCTCACCTGAGCAAGCTCAGGGTGAGCTTTTAGGATCGATGATTGTCCGTCGTCCGTTCACATTTAGTTGTAAACACTGAGACTAGCGGTCGCATTTTTGCCTCAATCATCATCAAACTTGGTCAGGATGTTTGTCTAGGTGATAGATCGGATGAGTTCAAACATAGGTCATCTCAGATGAAAAAGTAGGTCACCGGAGCTAAAAATAGAAAAACCTTGTTAACACTCTAGCGGTCACATTTTTGCATCAATCATCATCAAACTTGGTCAGGATGCTTGTCTAGGTGATAGCTCGGATGAGTTTGAACATGGGTCATCTCGGATGAAAAACTAGGTCACCGGAGCTCAAAATAGAAAAACCTTGTTAACACTCCAGCGGTCACATTTTTGCCTCAATCATCATCAAACTTGGTCAGGATGCTTGTCTAGGTGATATCTCGGATGAGTTTGAACATGGGTCATCTCAGATGAAAAACTAGGTCACCGGAGCTAAAAATAGAAAGACCTTGTTAACACTCCAGCGGTCACATTTTTGCCTCAATCATCATCAAACTTGGTCAGGATGCTTATCTAGTTGATAGCTAGGGTGAGTTCGAACATGGGTCATCTCGGATGAAAAAGTATGTCACCGGAGCTAAAAATAGAAAAACCTTGTTAACACTCTAGAGGTCACAATGTTGCCTCAATCATCATCAAACTTGGTCAGGGTGTTTGTCTAGGTGATAGCTCGGATGAGTTTGAACATGGCTCACCTCGGATGAAAAAGTAGGTCACCGGAGCTAAAAATAGAAAAACTTTGTTAACACTCTAGAGGTCACATTTTTGCATCAATCATCATCAAACTTGGTCAGGATGCTTGTCTAGGTGATAGCTTTGATGAGTTCGAACATGGGTCATCCCGGATGAAAAACTAGGTCACGGGAGCTAAAAATAGAAAAATCTTGTTAACACTCCAGCAGTCACATTTTTGCCTTAATTATCATCAAACTTGGTCAGGATGCTTATCTAGTTGATAGCTCGGATGAGTTTGAACATGGGTCATCTCGGAAAAAAAACTAGGTCACAAGAGCTAAAAATAGAAAAACCATGTTAACACTCTAGCCGTCACAATTTTGTCTTATTCATCATCAAACTTGGTCAGGATGCTTGTCTAGGTGATAGCTCGGATGAGTTCGAACATGGGTAATCTCAGATGAAAAAGGAGGTAACCGTAGCTAAAAATAGAAAAACCTTGTTAACACTCTAGCGGTCACATTTTTGCATCAATTATCATCAAACTTGGTCAAGATGCTTGTCTAGGTGATAGCTTGGATGAGTTTAAACATGGGTCATCCTGGATGAAAAACTAGGTCACCGGAGCTAAAAATAGAAAAAACCTTATTAACACTCTAGTGGTCACATTTTTGCCTCAATCATCATCAAACTTGGTCAGGATGCTTGTCTAGGTGATAGCTTGGATGAGTTCGAACATGGGTCATCTCAGATAAAAAAACTAGATCCAAGGAGCTAAAAATAAAAAAATCTTGTTAATACTCTAGCGGTCACATTTTTGACACAAGTGTCATCAAACTTGATCAGGATGCTTGTCTAGGTACTTGCTTGGATGAGTTCGAACATGGGTCATCTCGGATGAAAAACTAGGTCACAGGAGCTAAAAATAGAAAAACCTTGTTAACACTCTAGTGGTCACAATTTTGACTCAATTGTCATCAAACTTGGTCAGGAAACTTGTCTAGGTCATTGCTGGGATTAAATCAAACATGGGTCATCTCGGATGAAAAACTAGGTCACAGGAGCTAAAAATAAAAAAATATTGTTAACACTCTAGTGGCTACTATTGTGATCTAAATATCCTGTAAAGTGGTCTGAAAGTTTGTTTTGATGATTTCTAAGTCAAGTTTGAACATGGGTCATCTTGGATGAAAAACTAGGTCACACCGCCCAAATATGGAAAAACCTTGTTAACATTCTAGTGGTCACATTTTCGACTCAATTATCATCAAACTTGGTCAGGATTCTTGTCTAGGTAATTGCTCGGATGAGTTCCAAATCACATGTGAAACTAGGTCACCGGAGCTAAAAATAGAAAAATCTTGTTAACACTCTAGTTGCTACTGTTTTGATCCAAGTATCCTGGAAATTGGTCTGAAAGTTTGTTTTGATGATTTCTAGGTCAAGTTTGAATATGGGTCACCTGGGTGAAAAACTAGGTCACACTGCTCAAATGTGGATAATCCTTGTTAACACTGTAGTGGTCACATTTTTGACTCACCTGTCATGAGACTTGGTCAGAATGCTTGTCTAGGTAATTGTTTGGATGAGTTTGATGGGTCAGGTGAGCGATCTAGGGCCATCATGGCCCTCTTGTTTCATTTCTCAATGAATTGCCTTCACACTTAGACAAGACCTTCAAGTTGATAAAATTGAACTTGACCTCCACTCATAAATGATCTTGACCTTGAGGGTCAAATTTTTTAATTTTGCTTAATCTTTAACTTTGTTTTATGAATGGATTGTATTTATACTTTGTCACAAAAACAGACATGTTGTATTATTCTAAAATGACCTTTACCTTTAATTGACCTTTGTCATCAAGGTGAAATTATTGAAATTGGCTAAAACTGTTATAACTTATGTATATATTTATATGTTATTTATTTATAGATTTGATTCATTCTTAGACAAAAAGCACTTACGACAAAACTCACATGATGTTTAATTCTGATTTGATCTTTGAATGACCTTGACCCTCAAGGTCAAATGTGAAATTTGTATTATATTTTGTTCAAGACAGTAGAATTTCTGGGGGTATTCTCTACTACAAAATTCTTCCTCCAATATGTTTGACTTCAGAAAAAGTAGATTGTCCCTGCTTGGTGGTGGTTCTTGTAGTTTCTTCCTAATTTGTGAAATATGGTTGCTATAGCAACAAAAGAACAGTTTCATGAAATTTGAGACATGAATAGATTTCAAAAAGGAGATTTATATTATTTCATTTATTTTTTGTGTTGAGAAATGTGTTTGCTAATTGGCAAGAAATAGATAAAATATATTAAAATGTTGAATCCTGTGAATATTCAAAAAAAGATAGTTATTGTCCTTCTTCCATGCATGAAAATACAGTTTTATGGTCTATCGTTGGAAAGTCTGTGGAAGTTCCAGATTTCTTGACAATGGTAACTCTATCCAATATTTTTGATGAACCAAAAGTTACACAAATAAATTAAGTGAAGAATGAACTCCTAGCAAAAATTTAGATTTACAAATATAAAGTGATTTATATCAATCATAAGAAAAGACTTTTTGACCCTTCTAATGTTTAGTCTGAACAAAATTTTTCTTCTTTTATTGTATTGAATCAAAGGGACACAACTCATTTTATAAGAAGTTCTTGAGAATAGAAGTGAATGATGAGTTTTGTCTCTTTATTTATCAACATTCTACAAAAATATATGAGCCGCGTCACGACAAAACCAACATAATGGGTTTGCGACCAGCATGGTCCATGCTGGTCGCAAACGCATTATGTTGGTTTTGTCATGGCGCGGCTCATATTATGATATATAAAGAGTAGATTTTTGTATTTCAGGAGGATGTTATGAGCCACCATTAACTAATGTGTTCACTATGCAATGGTTCCTCACATTGTTCGCAACCTGCTTGCCAAAATCTACAGTTTTACGGGTCTGGGACTCGATCCTCCTTGATGGCTCAGAGATTTTACTGAGGACAGCTCTAGTCATCTGGGGAAAACTTTCTAGGTAAGCAGCTTTCTTTCTAAACAAAAAAGACGTGACAATTTTGTTGAATTGCATTGAACTTTGTGTTTTTTACTGACTTCTAAATACAGTTGTATTTGATTGGATTACACTATTTATAACATACCGGTACATACTATGATACAAGCACATTGAGTAAATGATGTTTTGTGTGCATGGTTCATTTCAATAATGTCAAAGATCAGAGTAACAGCAGAAGTTAAATACTCTGAAGTTCATTCTTTACATGCAACTTACTTCAAAAACATATCACATAAATGACAATTTTAGGTGCCAGTTTCCAGTTCTCACCACATCCATATTTTTATAACATAAACTGGGGCGCAGGAGTGTAATAAAGCCTTTTAATAAAAAGGATATTACACTAGTGTTATTAACACTTTGACGTGACGTCATTTGCACGATAAACAACCGTTAAAGCACAATAATGTTAGCGTTACACTACAGGCGCGTCAAATAAAAATGAGTCTTGTTAACAGTTTACTGTTCTTATTTTATGATATATATGTGATAAATAGGATGTTATTAGCTCACCTGTCACAAAGTGACAGGGTGAGCTTTTGTGATCGCTTTTCGTCCGGCGTCCGTCCGGCGTCTGTCCGGCGTCCGTAAACTTTTACTTTAAATTTTACTCTCCTCATAAACCACTGAGCCAATTTTATCCAAACTTCACAGGAATGTTCCTTTGGTGGTCACCTTTGAAAATTGTTCAAAGAATTTAATTCCATGCAGAACTCTGGTTGCCATGGCAACCAAATGAAAAAACTTTAAATATCTTCTTCTAAAAAACCCTAAGAGCTAGTGCTTAGATATTTGGCATGAAACATCTTCTAGTGAGTGTCTACCAAGTTTGTTCAAATAAAAGCCCTGGGGTCAAAATTGGCCCCGCCCCAGGGGGTCATTGATTTTCCCTATATGCATATAGTAAAAACTTAAAAAATCTTCTTTTAAAGAACCCAAAGAGCTAGAGCTAAGAAATTTAGCATGAAACATCTTCTAATGGGTGTCTACCAAGTTTGTTCAAATAAAAGCCCTGGGGTCAAAATTGGCCCCGCCCCAGGGGGTCATTGATTTTCCCTATATGCATATAGTAAAAACTTAAAAAATCTTCTTTTAAAGAACCCAAAGAGCTAGAGCTAAGATATTTAGCATGAAACATGTTTTAATGGATGTCTACCAAGTTTGTTCAAATAAGAACCCTTGGGTCAAAATTGGCCCCGCCCCGGGGGTCATTGATTTTCCTTATATGTGTATAGCAAAAACTTAAAAAATCTTCTTTGAAAAAAACCAAATAGCTAGAGTTTAGATACTAAGCATGAAACATCTTCTAGTGAGTGTCTACCAAGTTTGTTCAAATAAAAGCCCTGGGGTCAAAATTGGCCCCGCCCTGGTGGTCATTATTTTTCCTTATATGTGTATAACAAAAACTTAAAAAATATTCTTTGAAAAAACTCAAATAGCTAGAGTTTAGATATTAAGCACAAAGCATCTTCTAGTGAGTGTCTACAAAGTTTGTTCAAATAAAAGCCCTGGGGTCAAAATTGGCCCCACCCCAGGGGACATTGATTTTCCTTATATGTGTATAACAAAGACTTAAAAATATTCTTTGAAAAAACCCAAATAGCTAGAGTTTAGATATTAAGCATGAAACATCTTTTAGTAAGTGTCTACAAAGTTTGTTCAAATAAAAGCCCTGGGGTCAAAATTGGCCCCACCCCCGGGGTCATTGATTTTCCTTATATGCTTATAGCAAAAACTTAAAAATCTTCTTCGAAAAATCTGAATAGCTAGGGTTCAGATATTAAGCATGAAACATTTTCTAGTAGGTGTCTACAAAGATTGTTCAAATAAAAACCCTTGGGTCCAAACTGGCCCTGACCCAGGTGTGTCATTGTTTTTAACTAAAAACTTGACCAGCTAGACCTTAGATGTTAAGCATGAAACATTATCTAATGGGTGTCTACCAAGTTTGTTCAAATAAAAGCCCTGGGGTTTAAACTGGCCCCGCTACGGGGGCCTATATACAGGTGAGCGACTTCAGGGCCATCATGGCCCTCTTGTTTTATATATATGTGATAAATAGAATATTATCTTTGTGTAGATTCAATACTAGATTTATTGAACTTGTTGAATAAAACAATATTATGCTCGCCAGAGGCTCGCATAATATGATTTTATTCAACTCGTTCAATAAATTTAGTATTAAACCTACACTCATTCAATATCCTCTATGTTTCAAATTCATGGATACATGATAGCATTACCTCTAAGCTTGAACACCATAGGAAAAGAAAACAATAATATTTGTCAATTTATAGCCTGTGTTCTAGAGGCAACCATGTCCTTAGACCCATGTCTATTTTTTAGCAATCTTAGCAAATTACTATAAATATTATAGTTTGACAACTGTTGACGCTCTGATTACTTGTGGAGTTTTCATATTTTTAAAAACTTTATAGTGAGCTGACCAGTTAAACATTTATCATATTTTCACTGGCATTGATGGTACTGTAGAATATAATGGAAAACAGAAGGAGCACATTTCGTTAGACAGTAAAACTAAAAGTATTTTGTGTAAGAACTTGTACTCCACATAATGTATTTTTAAAGTGACAAAATATGCACCCTTAAATTAGAGTATTAATATGTAAATAAAAAAAGTAAACTAAGCCATATTTTGTATTATGATATGCAAAGTTTCCCATGGATTGTGGACATATTGTATTTTACATTAAATTTTCTTAAACTTATATTTTTTTTGCAAGTTTGAACTTTTAAAGAAAAATTCATGTATATAGAAGTGTTCAACTTTAAACCCTTTGTGAAAATGAACCCTTTATATTTCTGCTGGTAATTATGTGAGTAGTCTGAAGTCTGGGAGATTTTCTGTGAAAATTAATTCTCACCAAGACATAAAAAAACAAAACAATGTTGTTGAAAACCTTAGAGAAAGTTTGGTGTAGACAATATGTTTTAATAGCTCACCTGAAAGCAAAGTGCTTAGAAGATGGCATGAGGTCAGTCTTGTGCCAATTCTTTGTAAGTTGTGTGACATCCATTAGTGGCGGTGTGGCTGAGTGGTTAATGTGTCTGACTAGTAATCTAAGGATTGTTAGCTGCATGGGTTCAAACCCTGTCAGGGGCAAGCCGTTGTTTCTGTTAGCAAGAAACTTTACACTCATTGCTTTGTACTGGTTGGTTCCAGGAACAGATTCGGGAGTGTTTCAATAAGCTTATAGTTTCCAACACATTCTAAACCACTAGATGTATTTAGATCAAAACTTGACAAAATGAAATCTTTAAAAAACGACCTTCTCAGAGACTACAATGCCCAGATCTTAGATATTTGGCATGTAGCATTGGACTTCTACATAATTTGTAACAGTCATGAGGTCAAAATTGGTTAAGCTTTGGGGGTCACTTAGATAACATTGCCCCATGTAGTAAAAATATCATAAAATTCTTCTTCTCTGAGATATTTTGAATGTAGCATCATCACATGTGGTCCTCTATTTAAAATCATTCCCATTGGGTCAGCCTGGGGGTATGTTAGTTTATATAGACTTACATATGGTAGTTTAAACACATTTAATTAAGTCTTCTTGTGTGAAATAACTATGCCAAGTGCTAAGATATTTTTCATTAAGCATTTCTTAGTATGGCATCTTCAAATATTTAAAGAATCATGCAGCTTGGGTAAAAAATTTAATGTGGCCTCCATACTGACTTTAACCTTGAAAAAGAAAAATTGTGGCAATTTCTAGCAATGTTTCTCAAGTGAGCAACCCAGGCCCATCATGGCCTTCTTGTTTGTGATAGGGGATCACTTGAAAGCTTAAAACATTAATTCAGGATAGTAAGTTAAAGCCACTGTCAAATGCCCTCTCTTACTTAAAATATGATTGATTTATGGCCCTTTGTAAACAGAAATTTATTAACAAAAGTTTTGCATGCTATATCAATCTCCAAAACCACTGAAAGTATTAATTCACTTGAAACTTAATTCATGCCTTCGGAATTATAACTGAAGGTCACTTGACCTTCTTGTTTTTTATTTTTAAATAAACATAGACAAATATCTCAAATAATGTCACTCTTTTATCATCTTCATTAAGTGATATTCAATTTACTGAGCTTTGACATTGATTTTCAATACCACAACTTGATTTAGTGAACCTCTCAACATTTTAATTGTAAAATCCATGTTTACTTTTCATTTGTTCAGTAGAATAATGTCTACCTGTTTATTATTTGATCTTTTATAACAACAGTCAATTACCATACACCATGAAGTGAAAAACATTTTTTTAAACTATTATACTTCATGGCATTTTACTTATTCCTTATTATGTATGAAGGCTCAAATCTCTTATTTAGAAAAATAGATAAATATTGGTTTAAGAATATTTTAGCCATGGATTTTGAAATACTTCTATCTTTAAAAGAAATACAGTGACTAACATTTGTTGAAAAAATTAAAATTTGCAGATGTTAAACCTTTATATAACTGATTGACAAAAGTGTATGTTTTTTAAACTGAAATAATTTTAACAAATGTTTATAGCAAGATTATTTGGCTAGTGTGTAAAATTGGGTAAGAAGTATCGCTCAATGATATTTCATAAAAAAATATTAATGACAAAATAATGTGAGTTTACAGTACAATGATAATTATTTACTTCATTTCAACCTCTTATGATTTATCAATAGTCTTGTATTTATCACATTATGCATAACAACCGTTACTGGGGGAAGTGGAATTTGGCAATTTAAATTTTCAAAACAGATTCATTGCATTGGAAAACCTTTGTTTCTATTGTTTGTATCTAAATAGGGAATGTTAATGCATTAAGTTCTTATTGATCGTGAATTTTGAAATGAAAGGATCGTGAATAGTGCATGAGCCTAACTCTACTTGTATTACGTTAGAAGTCAACATATTTTTTTTGACGTATTGCAGTCGTATCCTCACCGTGTCGACTGCTGACGAGTTCTACACGCTGATGGGAGACATCACCCAGGAGATGTTAGAAGGAAATATTCTCGATGCAGATTCTATGATCAAGGTAATACTTCTTGTATGTTACTGCTATAGTGATGCTTTAATTGATTTTTATCTTGTCTTTTCTTTTCTCACATTCTGTTTTCAGAGGGGAGTTGGGGAGGGGGATAGTCAAACTTCCTTTATTGTGCCTTTGAGAGGGAAGTGTGCAACATTGCTGAAATCTTCTCATCTTGTGTTTTTGTTTATTTTTTCCATATTGGTAGTTTAGGACATGAGGTCATATTTATTATAACAGAAAGTTAGATTTATTTGTATTTAAAGTTTTGAAGCAAGCTTCATTTATGCTGTTCCTGATGAATGTTGTATGCACAATTACAGCTTGATTCTTTTAAGAAATTAACATCTATGTATGGGTGTTATATATTATGAAAAAGAGTGACCCAATAGTTATTTATAGTCTATTATTATGATATGTTTACCATTTTAACGTTTATATTATAATTAAATGCAGATTAAATATCTTTGTTTTGTTAGAAGGCAGTATAATATGTGCATGTTCTTTAATTTAAATTGAATTTTTTCAGAGTATCTATTGTATTGCCCCGTTCCCACTACCGCAGTTGACAGAATTACGTGAAAAATATACATACAATATACGACCTTTCACACCTGCCTCAAAGAAGGCTTCATGGCCCGAGGGAACTGTGTTGCCTAGCGATGAGGACGACCTTGAAGATGAAGATTTAGAGAATATCACATGTTTTACAGGATTTATACCAACTAACGTTTCATCTAGTGTCAAACACGCTAAAGGTAAATATTATATATTTATATACTGAATAGGGGCCTTTATAGGTTGCTGAATGTAGATGATATGTATTTCTGTGCTAAGACTTGATGGCTTAAAAACCATTTGCCACACTTTCTTGGGATTTATATTGTCATCTAGGCTATGTAAAAGATAGGTTATGAATCTATATTGTTCAACTTATATGTTTACACTGGGGATAAGAAAAAGGAAAACTTAATTTGTTCCTTTAACAAGCAATGATCTTAAATAAAGAGTGTAAAATATCTTTACTTTATTTACCATAATGTTTTTGAACAGATGAGCATAGCACCTAACCTGCTGTAAAAGGAATTTACCCTGTTTTGAATTTGGAACAGTTCATTTAAAGAGATTTTGAATTCATAATACAGAATTTGAGCTACACCCCGTAGAGAGCCTGATCAAACTTTAGGGTCAATTTGGGGCTCAAATTCAACCCTTGTCCAAACAAATTCAACCCTTGTCCAAAAAGTATATATTTTCCCCCTTTTGCTGATATATCTTCAAGGAATTTATATTCATAAAGATTCATTTTATCAAAAACATAAGGACATTTCTTTGTAGTTTGAATATGATAATGGTTAACAAGTTATCATAAAATAGATTGTTTTCTCGGGTTATAAATGTTCCCCATTTTTCCCCGCGGCAAAACAAAACTCCCCTCTCCATTGACCCTGTCACTATTCACCTAGAAGTAAGAAATTGAAAGATTGCAAATTCTTTGATGTTTTATTTAATTTTGTTTAAATGTTGTATTCAAGTGTCATATGCAGTTTATGAATATGAGCCGCGTCATGACAAAACCAACATAGTGCGTTTGCGACCAGCATGGATCCAGACCAGCCTGCCCATTCGAGCAGTCTAATCAGGATCCATGCTGTTCGCTTACAAACTCTATTTCAAGTAGAGAAACTGGTAGTGAACAGCATGGATCCTGATCAGGCTGGTCTGGATCCATGCTGGTCGCAAACGCACTATGTTGGTTTTGTCATGACGCGGCTCATATGATAAATGGTTCGGCTACATTTGTGTACCCTCTTTTATTATGGATGAAAGACATGTTTTTACCATTTAGGCTACGAAAATGCTATTTATAGAATTTTCAAAACATATGAAAAAAAACCCATCAGTTTTTAGCATTGTAATAAGATGTATTTGAAAAAATAATATTTTGCAAGGATTCATTTTGCAAGTATGAAAGAATCAGACATATTTAGCCTTGAAGGCATGAATTAATAATGAAGTTATGATTTTAAGGATTGATAACCTTGGGCTTGTCTCTCTCATTCTGAGAACTTCTGCAATTATAAAAGCCTCAATTCCGTAGGGACCGTATGTGTTTTAGACATCATATTACAGAAACAGAGATTAGCTTTAATAATGTAGAGGGAAAATAGTGAGAATGTTTGAAATTTTATTTCACTAATGTATTATATTGTGGTTTTAGTTGTGGTTGAATAAGTTTTCTGTTGGTTAATTAATTTAAAAGCCTGTAAAAGAGTTAAGGAATTGGTTTTGGTTTTCCTACTTTAACTATTAAAATGAAATCCTACTTATTGATAAGATCTTAAATGTAAGAGTCATATTTAAGGGCTCTTTCTGTGATGGATTTTGTTAAAATTTTCAACTGCTAAATTTGTGCAGTGTCATACCAGTCATGCCACAAGTCTAGCTATAGTCAGAACAGTTGTGCCACAAGTCTAGCTAGAACCAGGCCAGAGGTGTCACAAATCTAGTTAGTTGCAGAATAGCCATGTGACAAGTCTACAAAAAGCCATTCCAGTCATGCCACAAGTCTAGCTATAGCCAGAACAGTTGTGCCACAAGTCTAGCTAGAACCAAGCCAGAGGTGTCACAAATCTAGTTAGTTGCAGGAATAGCCATGTGACAAGTCCTACAAAGAGCCATTCCAGTCATGCCACAAGTCTAGCTACAGTCAGGCCAGCACTGCCTACAAGTCTACCTAGAGATAGGCCAGCAGTGCTAGAAGTCTAGCTAGAGATAGGGCAGCAGTGCTACAAGTCTAGCTAGAGATAGGGCAGCCATGCTACAAATGAAGCTACAGTCAGGCCAGCACTGCTACAAGTCTACCTAGAGATAGGCCAGCCATGCTACAAGTCTAGCTAGAGATAGCACAGCACTGCTACAAGTAAGGCTAGAGATAGGCCAGCAGAACTACAAGTCTAGCTAGAGATAGGCCAGCCATGCTACAAGTCTAGCTAGAGATAGGCCAGTCATGCTACAAGTCTAGCTAGAGATAGGCCAGCACTGCTACAAGTCTAGCTAGAGATAGGCCAGTCATGCTACAAGTCTAGCTAGAGATAGGCCAGTCATGCTACAAGTCCAGCTAGAGATAGGCCAGTCATGTTACAAGTCTAGCTAGAGATAGGCCAGCACTGCTACTAATCTAGCTAGAGATAGGCCAGTCATGTTACTAGTCTAGCTAGAGATAGGCCAGTCATGCTACAAGTCTAGCTAGATATAGGCCTGTCATGCTACAAGTCTAGCTAGAGATAGGCCAGCACTGCTACTAATCTAGCTAGAGATAGGCCAGTCATGTTACAAGTCTAGCTAGAGATAGGCCAGTCATGTTACAAGTCTAGCTAGAGATAGGCCAATCATGCTACTAGTCTAGCTAGAGATAGGCCAATTATGTTACAAGTCTAGCTAGAGATAGGCCAGTCATGCTACTAGTCTAGCTAGAGATAGGCCAATCATGCTAAAAGTCTAGCTAGAGATAGGCCTGTCATGCTTCTAGTCTAGCTAGAGATAGGCCAATCATGCTACAAGTCTAGCTAGAGATAGGCCTGTCATGTTACAAGTGTAGCTAGAGATAGGCCTGTCATTCTTCTAGTCTAGTTAGAGATAGGCCAGTCATGCTAGAAGTCTAGCTAGAGATAGGCCAGCACTGCTACTAATCTAGCTAGAGATAGGCCAGTCATGTTACAAGTCTAGCTAGAGATAGGCCAGTCAAGTTACAAGTCCAGCTAGAGATAGGCCTGTCATGCTACAAGTCTAGCTAGAGATAGGCCTGTCATGCTTCTAGTCTAGCTAGAGATAGGCCAGTCATGTTACAAGTCCAGCTAGAGATAGGCCAGCACTGCTTCAAGTCTAGCTAGAGATAGGCCAGTCATGCTACAAGTCCAGCTAGAGATAGGGCAGCAGTGCTACAAGTCTAGCTAGAGATAGGCCTGTCATGCTACAAGTCTAGCTAGAGAAAGGCCTGTCATGCTTCTAGTCTAGCTAGAGATAGGCCATTCATGTTACAAGTCCAGCTAGAGATAGGCCAGCACTGCTTCAAGTCTAGCTAGAGATAGGCAAGTCATGCTACAAGTCCAGCTAGAGATAGGGCAGCAGTGCTTCAAGTCTAGCTAGAGATAGGGCTGCAGTGCTAAAAGTCTAGCTAGAGATAAGGCTGCAGTGCTACAAGTCTAGCTAGAGATAGCACAGCACTGCGTCAAGTCTAGCTAGAGATTAGGCCAGTCATGCTACAAGTCCAGCTAGAGACAGGCCTGTCATGCTACAAGTCTACCTAGAGATAGGCCAAGTCATGCTACAAGTCCAGCTAGAGATAGGCCTGTCATGCTACAAGTCTAGCTAGAGATAGGCCAGTCATGTTACAAGTCTAGCTAGAGATAAGCCAGCCATGATACAAGTCTAGCTAGAGATAGGGCTGCAGTGCTACAAGTCTAGCTAGAGATAGCACAGCACTGCTTCAAGTCTAGCTAGAGATAGGCCTGTCATGCTACAAGTGTAGCTAGAGATAGGCCAGTCATGCTACAAGTCTAGCTAGAGATAGGCCAGCCATGATATATATGTGATCAAAAGTATCCATCCGATTGGTTAAAACTATTTTATTATGATAGTGATGTTAGATAATAAAAATAACAAATGCCAGTTTCTTTCTAGCATGATTAATGGATCCTCTTAATACAGGGGTATGTTTTTGTCACATCTGTTTCATTGTTGACAAACATTCGTTGAAATGGATATCAAACTTAGTATATCATATTCTAAGCAGTTCTCATTAACATTTTTACAACAAGATGCTGGTTATTTTTGAATCATCAATTTCTAGTTGATTAATATGGGAATATAAAGGTTATGTTTATCAGTTCTGACCATCCTTATGTTATTGATTTTAAAAAATTAGATTTCTAACCACCTTGTTTACAACTAGCTTTCCCTGAATATAAAATTTACATTTTGCTGATGATCTAGTGCCGATTAGTGTTATTTAAAAGAAAATTTTTTAAGCTAAAAGACTTTAAATTTTTTTATTTTTTAATTGCCGGTTTGAAAAGTGATCCGTAACAGGGAGTTTTACTGATAAGCTCCTGGGTTCCCGGAGCATATGGGATGGGCAGCCCACGGTTTCCGTCAAAAACATTCCCGTACTGGAGAGAAAAAGCAACCGATATAAATGACTTTAAAAACGTACACAAAGCTGCGTCAGAACAGAAACCAACTCTATTTTTATTACTTGTAAATTTTTTGCAGCATACCTTTTTTTGCATATTAGACAGGTTTTATGTGGGTTTTTTTCAAATATGGAAATTTTTTTGGGGGGTGGGGGCCCGATTGGTCATTGCTCCAAAAAAGGTCATTTTGGGGGCTTTTATGAATAAAAGCTTTTAAAGCTCATTTACCCTTTAAAAGAAGTTGCAAAAAATTTTTACATTACTGGAAAAAAAAAGTAAAAGATGACATGACTTATTTCCATGTCAAATTAGTTTCTGAAAAAATATGTGACATGAGTTTGCAGTCCAGATTGGAAAGTCTGTCAGGGGTACCTGCCCATGTTCGGTAATTTAGAAAGCCTCATTACCACCCAAAGGGCAGGTACCCTCGGGACGTATAATCTGGTCTGAACTGCAATGTATATTTTATCTAATATAACATTATTGCAATATGCTAACAATCTAGATAAACGATGTGAACATAATATTTTATTTTGATTTAAGTTTTGGCATTTAATGCCATATATCTGTTTATTTCGCAGATTTTCAAAATTTGGGATTTAATGTGCTTATATTTAAGTGTCCCCTTTATCCCGAAATATTAGGACTCTATTTTACAAAAACAAAACCATTAACCATTTTAAAAAGCATAATAAACCGCGTCACGACAAAACCCAAGGGTTTTGCACCAACCCCCGGTCCGACACCTGCGCATCCCGGAGTTTCAGTTTCCATGCTGTTCTTTAGTTTCTTACTTTAATAAGATTGGTAAGGAAAGCATGGGGGTCCCCATCAGATCGCGGGCGCAGGCTGGGCTGGATCCATGTGGCAAAACGCACTATGTTGGTTTTGTCATGACGCGGCTCAATTATGTAAGACATTGTTTGGTCATTAAGCGCACTCCCATTAATAATCTCTTGTTGACAGGCTGTCATGGGAGCAAACACAGGTTTATACATAGCTCTTGTTTAATTCACAGATCTTGTTTAATTGAATAACCCTTTCAGACATCTGTCTTTAAAGTTGACCCTGAACTTCTGGTTTTAGCTATCTGTCAATATTTAGATTGAATATTTGTTAGACAACATGCCAAACAAATAACATAAACACCTTAATGCATACCCTTTTTTTTAAGGCAACAGCTTGGAGGATGAAAAATTATATATTTATTTTTCCTATTTACATAAGTACGTAAACAAACAATTCTGAAATTCTACACCTTATGCATTATTGAAAAGCGAAATATGTTGTTTCAACAATATTGTACATAGTTGTATTATATACTTACAAATGAAATATTGAGAATTATTGTTGAAATAAAAGCATATTTTCATTTTCCATGTTTTTGCAGCGAACAATATTTTCCTTTTTTCCACTGGGGTCTTGCAGGACTATTTTTTTTCTTTATCCGGCCAATACACAAAAATTAAAGAAGAAGTCTTAAGAATTGTAAGTTCAAAAAAAGAGAAAGTATATAATAAACAGAAAATTCAAGTTTTTCCTATAGAATCTAATACAGGATTAATTTTTATCTTTGTGGTATGAAAATAAATATTTCATGAATGGCAGTAAATGAAAATAAATCCTGTATTTATAGAAAAAAAAACTTGAATATCATATATGTATTGAGGAAAATATATTTTAAGTATTTGACTATTACAGCTGCAACAGCCAGACAACAGGCCATGAAATCAAAGCCAATGGTACCAAAGATAGAAACACCTACAGCAATGAATCATCTATTCCTTAACAAACAAAACATCAAGGGACGTAACCGGTTTATAGCCGAGGGACCAAGGATAGCAAATATGTACCCTGTGTTCGAACCTCAGGCATTGAATAAATTGGCCAAGAAGAGTAAAAATAAAGATGGACAGGTAAAAACATTTATATGGCCCCTGGTGTAAATGAAATTTATGTTGGCAATGTTCAGGGTCTCTGTGTTGAAAGTTTTCAAAAGCAGTACAATGAATGTACTTTAATTATTTTAAAAAAATCATTATAGATAGTATAACTAGAATTTATTTAAAATTAAAAAGAATAATTCAAAAGCTAAGATAAGATTTTAAAAGTGAACTATTTTGTGTACATTGAATATTTTATCTTCAAAGGCCCACATAAAGTTAGATGTATAGATAATAATAATTTATCAGTGTAAGTCAAACTCATGTACTTTGTAGAGCAATGGAAAGTGGAAATAGCCAACTTTATCTGATATATTGTTTAAACCAATCAGAATATAATAGATATATATCTTTAAAATAAATTGTTTATGCTTTTGTTTATCTTAAAGCCTACAAGTTAAAGAACAGTCGTATTAATATGTCTGCATGTAGTGGGCGGGGTAATCACAGTACACTGTAATAGTACTTATTCATGTATTCAATAATAATATTGATAATGATGTAACATCTGTCTGTCCATGATTCATAATCATACATACTTACTACAGGTGGGATTAATCAATCAGAAAAATGTGTAGGAGATTGCTAGTGTTATTTCTCTTGTACAAATGTTTATCTTCATCTTTCTCCTCTCATGCAGTGCATGATCAATTCTTCTAATGGCTTTTAAATAGATTTACCATGTCATGTATTTGTATACATGTCTGATAATGAATCATATAAAGTCATGAACGATATAAGGATAAGATTTATGGACATATTGTTTCCAGTTTTATTTTAATAATGACTTATATTGGTTAATTTTATATTTTAATCTTCATGGGTCTTAATTTGTCTTTATTCACGTTGCTTTACATTATGTTTGGCCTCTCCAGCCCAACAGGATACCTTGAACTGCGTTATCTTTTATGATGTGATTATTTTATTCCCTGTGGCTGGGTAGTTTAGGTTGTTTACTTCAAACCACTTTCCCTTCACCTCTATGGGTTTGAATCCCCCTGGAGGAAACTATCTTGTTAGCTTATAGAAAGTCAGTGGTTCTTCTTAGGTATCTGCTTGTGTCTGAAATAATGTAAAGAGGGGCACCTGTGGTCTTCCTCCACCAGTTTAGCTGGAAAGTAGCCATATGACCATTAAGGTTCAAGCTTAATTACAGAAATAAAGAAATGTATGTTACTTTAATCATGCTAAGACATGCCATTTGCCTTTTCTTCCTCTAACTGCATCAAGAAAAATATGAAAGCTGTCATTGTTATGTAAGATCCAACATGTATGATAAATACATTAACATGAAAGAAAATAAAATTCTTTTGATATTTCAGTTGATGAATGAAAGACCAAAGTGGAATCCAAAAGCTAAAGCAGATAAAACTATTGAACAAAAAGCTTCAAAGAGCCATAGTCAGTCACAGGTGGTAAAAGAAACACCAGAAAACCTAAACAACTCTAATTCTGTAGATGGTACTGGAGATATGCTTAAAGCTGTGGTTAACAATATGTCTAAATGTGATGAAATAAATGGTGCTGAATGTTCTGGTGATGGAAGAGAAGAGAAAAATTCTGGCAGATGTGTTCAAAAAGTTCTTCAACACAACGATTCTGGGCTTGGATATTCAGTGAGCTCACCATTGTTTTCAGGTTCTTCTTCAGAAAGTTCACCACAACATTCAAACTCTTCTGATACTAAAACAAAGTCTAATTTAGGTGTTGAAGTTTCATCAGGTTTGGTAAAAAAGGGTAAAACCATTGAAGTAGATAGTTCTGACATTGTAGATTCCAGTCTGTCAGACAATTATGATAATCATATTAGTGATTTGACTAATCTGGTTAAGGAAATATGTGATGCTCAATTAAATGATTGGCCTAGCAAAGAACAGGACTTGGATGGTGTGTTAAAGGGTAAAGTGAAAGAACACATAGGGGAAAAGGATATTGATGAATGTGAAAGTGGAATAAGTGTTGCCTCTCTTGAAAGTAAGGATGATAGCAAATGTGATAAAAGTAGTGCAGACATTGCTGAAAGGGTAAATTTTAATAGTAACAAACAGGAAGTATCAACTGTTGAAGGGTTTGGTGATAGTGAACACAATAAAGCATTGGAAAGTGTAGAAAGAGGTAACACTGGTGCTAGTGGAGATAATAGAAACATTGGAGAGGACTATGCAGATGTCAGTGTTGAAAAGGGTAGTGCTGATGTAAATATACATCATGAAACAGACATAGTTGTAAATTCTAAAGAAGATGTAAAGTCATATGACAGTGATTGCATGAGAGAGCAAGATGATGAACATTCTTTGACTCAAACTGGAATTAAAAGTGAGAAAGAATTAGGCAATGAAGGGCCAGATCTGACTCTTGGTATATCAACTAAATCTTCACAAATATGCACTGGGGATGTTAATTCTCCACATAGAACTGCTGGTAAATCAGACAGTTGTACTTCTACAGCTTCGTCTCATTCAGTTGATGATACTGAAACATTTCCTGAAGTGTTCAGTCCAAGCACCTCATCTGGTCAGGCCTCCTTCCAACAGTATTATATTAACAAGAGAAATTTGAGCTCAGAATCAGTCAAAGGGATAGACTCTCAAGTGAAGAAAACACAAATGCCTAAGAAAGTATTTAATCCATTTCCAGTCAAACATATGAATCAAAATCGAGCAAGAACTGGTATTAAACTTGGACTTTACACGCCATCAACTCTTCAAGAATATGAGAGAAATCTGAAGGGGCAGCCATTGTGGGGAAAGTAATGATGTAAAGTTGTAAGACTGTGTTAAAGAACAAAGTGTTTTGGAATGATTTGAATACATAAAGTATTAATGTGAAGAACTTCAGGATGATGTGAATTGATTGTTATGTAAACTGCTTGCCAGCCAAAAGTAGAATATAGAATCAGGAAAAGCTCATAAAAAGTGGTAACAGTTAACTATATTTTCACTATTCTATGTAAGTTGATATACAAGAACTTTTTTTTTATTGTTCGAGTATGAAACATCTTGAAACCATAGTGTACAAAGCCCAATGTTTATATGCATGTGAAAATTACTTACTGGTTAATATAGTTAACGTTGTTTGGGTAGGGAATGGGATAACGACAGGTTTTGGTGTTTTTGGTTTATTAACTCAAAGTAATTTAGAAATATTTTGCCATATTCAAGAATCTCATGATGATTGTTTACAGTAAATTGTTGCATTTATGTTATATAGGTTATTTATATTTACTTTCTTTTGTTTTTCCCCAAAATTATTCATGTAAATATCTTATAAAGGAAACATTGATTTAGAACAATATCTGCTCATATCAATTTGTTCTTCTGGTATGCTGTCTCCATGCTTTTACAATAATAAGCAAATGTCTGCCATAATCAACACAAAAAGTCACTGTACCAATAATTGAAGTTCGAAACATTCTAGACATCTGAAATTTTTACATATGCCATTTTGCTTCATAGACCAATTATAGATTTGTTTACAGTTTATTTTAAGACATCTTGTCTTTGACAGTAATTTTTACAACAGTATGGTCTAGGATAAATTTGTTTTAAGATAGTACAGCTGGCAGTATTGTCATGGCAACCAACAGCTCATTGGTACATTAACTTATACATTAACTGTAACAATGTTTCACTGAACTTACAATTACTCATATGTACTTTCTACATATAAATTAGTTATTTAATTTTCCATATATAAAGATTTAGGTTGAAGGTTTAGTTGTTTTTCTTTGCTCTGAGTTTTTTTCTTTATTTATTTCTTTGTTATTTTTTATTATTTTGTTTAATTTTTAGTGCAATAGCCATTCTGCTCATTAAATTTGCTGAAATCCATTATTTTTGGTTGTTATCTCAATATTTACAATTCTATATATATCAGTTTCTTTCTTTGTTTCTAGATTTTGATTTTGTTATATGTAATACATTTGTATTACTGTTAAAGAACTTTGTTGATTTTTTGTTGTTTTTGCTAAAAAAATTTAAAGGCATTGATTGATTATGGATTATATAATGTTGTTATTGAATTATTCTGTATGTGAACAATATGTTTTATCTCATGAGAAACTGAATTTTTTTTGTGATTTAGGACATAGCCCAATTGTGCTAGTGTAATATTACACTTTTCTAGCCTTATACGATTTGTAATGCTGAATCTTTGAAAAAAGAAAAGGAACAACAGGGTTGCAGTTGACTTTTGCATAAATTGCACTGATTTTCATTTTATAGTGTTGCATTATCTCAAGATTAAACTTGACATCTGGTATATAAATTGTCATATTAAACACACGTTTTTTTTCTCATGACAAAAGTTTGGATACTTGGAAATTTAAATGTCTGTCTTGTTTTAATGTACATTGTATTTATCCATGATGCTATTTATGATAATGTCCCAATATTTTTAGTTTGTCAACTGTTCAGTTATGATTTTATTTCATCTTCAATAATTATTTGTATGATATCAAAACAATTAAAATTTAATATAATTGTGTATTTATAGGTCACATAGCATGAAAAATGAACTTATTCTGCATGAATAATGATCTTTTCTTTGTACATAAAGAAAATTTTTCAATCTGATACGAGCAGTCAAACTAGACTTTACAATGTTATCTGTTTAGTGGTGTATGTTAAATTGTACAAAAACTGAAACCAGGCTAAGTATAAAAGTTATGTGATGGTGAACTACATGTAGCATATACAGTATATTCTAACACGACCTGAATTTTTTTCCTATTGAACATAGAAGAACCGAAAGTGTGTGTTATTATGCAATAAAATCACTGTTTGACATTCTATATTTAGACATGTGACGTAATCATTATACACATGACGTAACCACTAAAAATGTGACGCGCTGACAATTATTAAAGTACGGAAACAAATCAGACGCAATTTAGCTAATTATTATGTACGGCAGCATTTATTTGTTGATGTCGTGTTAGAATCGAAATAATATATCCAAATCGATGATTTTATTGCTTGATAACATCACTGTTTGTCGTTCGGATGCGCATCATTATATCACTCGGGCTACGCCCTCTTGATATAATTCCCCGCATCGGAACTCCAAACAGTGATGTTATTGAGCAATAAAATCACAGTTTGGGATATATTATTTCTTAATTAGATTATTAAATCATTTAATTTTGATTTTAAGTTCAAGTTTTTTAGAAGAACCGCACATCATTTAAGTATATATGCTTTTTAAGGTTAACACTTTCTCTTCATTTCTCTTCATTACAATATGGGAACCAAATCTGTAGAGCTTTTTCCAGTTTTTTCCCCCCCCAAAATCTTATTGTAATATCCCTAGCATTGATAATGTACTGCTCTAATATATAAAATATAGGTTGGACTAGTCCATTTCTGATGTTCCGTAAGCTAACAGTTAAAATTGTTTGATAATTTGATAATCAAGTTATAAAAATATGAATCATCTGGAGAAGTTGACAGTTTCAGGAACATACATGTTACATCTGACCTGCATTTTGTCTATTTATTTATAACCAAATATAGTATTGCAAACAGCTACCATCTGGTGATTAGCCTTACAAAATCACTTTGACAGATATATTAAATATACTCTGTAGATTTAAAGTGGAGCAACTGGTGAGAAATTGTAAGGTCAAAAGTTCAGACCTATTTACAAAATAAGCTGTAATTGCCATACAGTGCTGTAATACTATGGTTTCTGACATTTTTCACAAATTCTCATTTTACTCCAATTGTACCTACAGAAGGTTTTCACACTCAATTGTAGGAAAGAGGGCCACTCTCAAATTTCATAAATAAGAACATAAACACAATATCATGTTTAGTCATTGAGGCCGAAACATTTAATCACCTGTTTAAAGAATTGAATCTCAAGTGGTCATTCTATTCACATCTTTTATTCTTCTATTCTACATTTTATCTGCTAAACAAGCTAGTTGGTTCGGTTGTCTTTTTTTTTCAATATTTGCACAAGATATGTAAAAGCTTCGTTTCGAAACAACTACAATACATTAGTCATGTATTAATCTAAATATTGCTGAAATGGTCTGTTTATTTTCCTGTAGATATTACATGATAAGTCCAGTAAATTTGAACTTGTGTTGAAAAGTAGGTAAAAAATTGATCCATATGACTTTATACTCTTCTCTAGCTCGATGCACACGATCCCAGGGCTCCCGTAATATTTAATGTCACAAATGCTATTTCATACCAGATCGTTTTATTTCATTTCCATTTGAAATTTCACCCTAAAAGTTATGTGTTGAACAATTAAAGGCAACAAAAATATCAATTCAAAATTAAATTTTTCTGATACCAAACTGTTTCGTTTTCGTTAAAAGTTTCAGTGGAAAAAGTGTCATTCAACTGTTGACAAAAAACAACAAACCAACTATCACATGACACACACAGTTGCGTGATAGTATCTATTTCTGTGTTGAGCAATTTATGAATTGTGCAGGGTTTTTTGTTGTGAATGATATTGAGGATTACATTGAAAACATCTTGTGAGAAATCCACACATTTGTAAGTTATATTTTCTTTAATTGCTTTCATTTATGTTATTGAAATTTTTAAATTGCATGTATTTTTTTCAATGTTGAAGATAAGATTTTGTAAAAACTAAGTTTATTTGAGCCGCGTCATGACAAAACCAACATAATGGGTTTGGGACCAGCATGGATCCAGATCAGCCTGCGCATCCGCACAGTCTGATCAGGATCGATGATGTTACCTATCAGTTTCTCTACTTGTAAAAGGGTTTGTAAGCAAACAGCTGGTCTGGATCCATGCTGGTCGCAAAGGCATTACGTTGGTTTTGTCATGGCACGGCTCATTTGTTTTGATTAAAGTTACATCTTTTTATGGAAAACTCATGTGTCTTCTCAAAATGAGGCATGCCTCAAGGTTTATTTTATGATTTTTTTTAAACTTTATGAAAATAATGATAATGTTATAAAGGAAATTACATTGTAGCTACATTGCAGTATTGTGCACCAGTGCATTTGAAATACTTGAAAGCTATATTTAGTTTAAATTTGTAATAAAATTTCTTTCCCGTATAAAGTACTTAAATTATGCAGCAAGTATGTATGCATAATTTGTTAAACTACATCTATATAAAAACACAAAGTAAACCGGATGGAAACTAAAAAAAAAAAACCCAACTAATGTTATTGATTCTACATTGTATTTAATTTAACTTACCACCTGCTGAATTTGTATAATGGGTTTGTCAAGCTTTGAATTTGGAATATTCCATTTAAGGGATTTAAGTACACAAAAATTGTACTACTTACTTTATAGAACCATGTGACTGCATGTGTAACTTATGTAGGCTGGCCTGACTGTAATATTGATGACAAATGCTTAAAATAAACCCTTCCTGTTCCAGCAGTTGAAGATAAAAAGTGTCATTGCTTTTAAGGGAAGATGACTTTGAGGAGTAATGACTCTCATTATCTACTTTACTGCATAAAAATCTCAATTTCCACATTTTTCATGAGGCATGTCCTCTTAATGTCTGACAGGAACTATGTAATTCTCATTTGATTTGTTATTATGATCTGTAGTCTCATTTTTAACTGACTTTTCATATGACCTGATTCCCCGTGGCTGTCTTATGTTAATGTTTATCATGGTTTTATAAAAACAGTACTGAAAAAATTTACAGGGCTTAACCTACATAGCTGGGCAATCCTTACTAGTCTTTACTAGTCTGATGTGTTAACCACTAGGCCATGCCACTATTCTTTATTTTGCCTGACATGGTGGAAGGTCTTACTCCATATGTGAAGCTGGAATGCCCCAATGAAAACTGGGTAGTATTATTGTGACCAAAACTCTTGTCCAGGGAAATCTCGTAAAAAAAATAATAAATTAACAGAGGTAGTGTTCTAATTATAGTTCACTAAAACTTCTTTTACAAAATAAATTAAATTAAGACATTCATAAATATGGTCCAGAGAGATTTTTGGAATATTATTAAAGATTACATGAGAAAATAATTATCACCAGAAATTCTTGAAATCTTTTTTGTGTGTGTGAAAATAAAATTTGATAAATTTGGAAGAATTTTCTCTTTTGTACAAATACAATGAGCATTTAGGGCCTATAAATATCAATTAGTTCTGTTAATTTCCTGTAGTGAAAATCAATATTGTTCCATTAATTGATAATGAAATAGAGCATTGTTTGTTGTTGTTGTTTTTTTCTAAGTTAGCATACATGTTTCACTGAGATACTGTTAGTAATAGCTTTTTAGGATATATTTAACGAGTATAAAAATATTGTATCTGATTGTTACAATAAACATGTTTGATAAAATTATCTTAGATATTTGTGTACCAGTAATGTATTAGTTCTAATGTATTTTAGTTCTAATACAGTCAAGACATTTCCTGATATTTTTCTTCACCTATTTAAACAAGTACTGGGTATAAGCATTTTTCACCATTGTCAGGGGTTTAAAACACATTTTTTCCCTCCAAACTAGCTTTAAAATATTGTTTATCATTTATATTTATTGAAAATGGTATCTAGCAATGTTAATTACAATTCCAGAATAATTTGCCATTTCATATTTGCTTAAAAAAAAATTTGATACCATCATATAGTAATAGTTTTACTTTGCTTTAAAAATGTTTACCTTTATATTATCTTACTTAAAACTTTCAATATTGTTAAGAGAGAGCTTATCATCTTGCATTCCAGTGAAAGTTTACCATTCCTTATTGATATTTAAATTTACAAAAAAATTGTTTACCATTCCATATTGACATAAAAAGTTTTACAAACTTACATAATGCTTTAAAATGGTTTGCTATTTTATATTGATTGAAAATTGTTTATGTTTTAAAATGGTTCACCATTCCATTTTATGTTGAAAATGTATACAATTATTCAATATTTATATATTGAACTATTCATAGATCTGATTACTTTTGTTCATGTATTTATTCCATGTACATTCTGTACAGCCTGTTATATATGTTTTTTTCCTTTATATGTAATTAAAAATGTTTCTCTTTTTCTGATATGAATTTTTTTATAGGGATTACAGGATCTGTTAATATTGGTTAAGTTTTGATGATTTTTGAGAACTTTAATTAAAAGATAAAAATCTTGATGTTTTGATTGATTTATTAAGGAGACCGGTGTGGCAGTTTATATGTGGTGATATAATCTATGAATCCGAATGTAACAGTCAGTGTGTAGGTGTTGTTGCAGCAGTGACAACATATATATATTACACCCAGGATTAAGATATTGTTCATAATCCATATTTGTTATTATATCCCTAAATGATAAAGTTAATATTTGTTCTGTGGAGCACTATTACCCTTACCACTGCTAAATATCTTAAACAGATTTGTTCATCTTTCAATCCCCCCACAAAAAATTATGGAAAATTTCAAAATATCTTTTTTACTGAATAAATAGAAAACAGTGCAGACCAAGATCACTGATGGCACAGCTGAGCCGACTCGGCTTGGTCTGAATCAGTTGCATGGGTATAATTTTTAAACGCCAAGGGTAAAGTTGCTGTTTTGCCTTATATTCTTGAAAGACTTGATTTTATATGCCTATAAAAAACACACACTCAATCCTAAGCCAAGTTAATGAGGTAGGCAATGTAAGGCAATTACAGCTAGTGACTTTGTTTTTTTCCTAGTCTATTCTGAGCATATTATTTATAGCTATTTATTTTGCGCAATAAAAATGCCATCAGAAATTGTCATGTAGCATTTTAGCTTTATTACTATAATGCTAACAGTGTTATCAGAAGCTTGGTAATAAAGACCAAATCTTTCCCATTTTTTATCCAATCTATTTGTATTAAGTAAATGAACTTTGTTGAGATCAGCTCCACTATTCTTCATATAGTAGCAGCCATCTGTGCCTATATGCTTCATAATTATAATAACTATGCCTTCAGATCACCTGAAATCAAGAGATTATTATAACTTAAGGCTATTTGCCTGTCAGGACATAGATTTCTTTTTGTCGAAGGAATGAATTGGGAAGTTGTTATTATGGCCTTTAAAGTGTAAATCGGGGTGTACTCTTAAAAAAAGAATCATGATTTGAAAAAAAAAGATTACACAATTTGGTCTCATAGACTTACATTTTAATACTTTATAATGTGTAAAGGAGTTACAAATTGAGCTGAGTAATGTTTAAGGTATCCTACAAATTGAGCAGAGTAAAGGTATCCTACAAATTGAGAGGAGTAAAGGTAAAGATATCCTACAAATCGAGCAGAGAAAGGGTACAGATATTCTACAAATTGAGCAGAGTAACGGTACAGGTATCCTACAAATTGAGCAGAGTAATGTTTAAGATATCCTACAAATTGAGCAGAGTAACAGTAAAGATATCCTACAGATTGAGCAGAGTAATGGTAAAGATATCCTACAAATTGAGCAGAGTAAGGGTTAAGGCATCCTACAAATTGAGCAAAGTAATGGTAAAGATATCCTACAGATTGAGCAGAGTATTGGTAAAGTTATCCTACAAATTGAGTAAGGGTAAAAATATCCTACAAATTGAGCATAGTAAGGGTAAAGGTATCCTACAAATTGAGCAGAGTAATTGTAAGGATATCCTACAAATTGAGCAGAGTAAGGGTTAAGGCATCCTACAAATTGAGCAGAGTAAGGTAAAAGCATCCTACAGATTGAGCAGAGTAAGGTAAAGGCATCCTACAAATTGAGTCAGGGTACAAATATCCTACAAATTGAGCAGAGTAATGGTAAAGATACCCTACAGATTGAGCAGAGTAATGGTAAAGATATCTTACAAATTGAGCAGAGTAAAGGTAAAGGCATCCTACAAATTGAGCATAGTAAGGTAAAGGCATCCTACAGATTGAGCAGAGTAATAATAAAGATATCCTACAAATTGAGCAGAGTAAGGGTTAAGGCATCCTACAAATTGAGCAGAGTAATGGTAAAGATATCCTACAAATTGAGCAGAGTAATGCTTAAGGTATCCTACAAATTGAGCAGAGTAAGAGTAAAGGTATCCTACAAATTGAGCAGAGTAACAGTAAAGGTATCCTACAAATTGAGCAGAGATACAGTAAAGGTATCCTATAAATTGAGCAGAATAACAGTAAAGGTATCCTACAAATTGAGCAGAGTAACAGTAAAGGTATCCTATAAATTGAGCAGAGTAATGCTAAAGGTATCCTACAAATTGAGCAGAGTAACATTAAAAGTATCCTATAAATTGAGCAGAATAACAGTAAAGGTATCCTACAAATTGAGCAGAGTAACAGTAAAGGTATCCTATAAATTGAGCAGAATAACAGTAAAGGTATCCTATAAATTGAGCAGAATAATGCTAAAGGTATCCTATATTTCTGCTAAATTTGACCAAAACTTGTCACAACAGGTCATTATAAAATGTACAGTGCAATTTCATCAATACCTGTCAATGCTTTAATATGACAATATCTTGAATAAACTGTGAAATATCTTTAAACTCTTGAACTTTTGATAGTAGAAGTTAATTATTTGGAAGTAATAAATAGTATCATTTAACAAAGTAAGTGTTTTATAACAATAAATCATTGTATTTGGTTTATGAGAAGAAACTTACTTGATTTTTTCCACTTCATATGTTAAAGCTATGAATATAAATTATAATTATTATAGCTGATTCAATGTATGTTGCGAAAAAAATTAGTGACTTCAAGTTCATCATAAAACAAATGCAAAAATAGACGGAGATTTTAACATGATTATATAGTTATGTATAAAGAGAATAGAAATATAAACAGAATTTGTATGAGAAGAAAATAAAACAAGGACCAGGGTTTGACTTAATGAGCAAACCACATAACAGCAGCCACAATTGACACAATTTCACACAGAGTAATATGCGGCAAAAAGCCACAGTAATATCAATATTAACAAAAGCTTAAATGATCTGCCGCAGATATCAAGCTCTGCTGTAGACATTATTGATTCTAAAGCTTTTTCGAATATATATATCTTTAGGGGAAACAAACGAAATCTTTCGCTCACCTGAAAAACAATGCAGCTTGTTGAATTATGCTCGCAGCATATGTTACTGTTTCAATGGCAATATTATCTCCTGTCATTCTAATAATATCATGGTTAATAGCCGAGTATTAAATATTTGTCATGCGATAGTTTAGTCGTCAGATATTCTCTAGTCAGATATTTTGTTGTCACATTATTCCAGAAGCTGTATCGCATGTTTCCAAATATTGTAGGAGAGAAGGATAGATGTCCAATAGTGTACCGTGACTCGTTTTAAACGTGGAGGGTTTAATTACACGATGAGATAATAACATATAGTTACTAAAGGTATCAATTTATTTCTATAATTTTGTGATTTTTATAATTAAAAAGAAAAATGAGATATGTATATTAACATATATGTAACAAATGCTGGTAACAATTAAAATGTATATTAAAAAAATTTAACTAATAATGAAAATTATACAATAATAAAGCAAATAGAATTTATGGAAATTTATTTCTGTTTAATGAACTGGTACAGAATTATGCAAGAATTCGATAAAGCTTTTATGCCAAAAATAAAATTTATATAAAATCACACATAAAATTAATACTTCATTACTAATATTTTTGAAAATCATGTTTGATAGAAAAAGACATAATTATATATGAGCCGCGTCATGACAAAACCAACATAGTGCGTTTGCGACCAGCATGGATCCAGACCAGCCTGCACGTCCGTGCAGTCTGATCAGGATCCATGCTGTTCGCTATCAGTTTCTCTACTTGTAATAGAGTTGGTAAACAAACAGCATGGATCCTGATCAGACTGCGCGGATGCGCAGGCTGGTCTGGATCCATGCTGGTTGCAAACCCACTATGTTGGTTTTGTCGTGACACGGCTCAATTATTATTTTTTTAAAACAATGGGCAAAAACTGTGTATTATGATTTATATATAGATTTTTCTACATTGTATTTTATAATTCATGAAGTTGCGAGACTAGAAATCTAATTGAATTTTCTAATGATGATCTGAAACTTGTTCATTTGTCAGGGTCATTTTGAAGTTTTATTTTTGATACATGGAACCAAAAACATTGAATTTTATGAGGTTTGTGACATCTGTTGGACATTTACTGAATTAGGGAAACATGACGTTCTGAGTTTTAAAGTCACTTTGACCTTCCCCTAATATGATTGTTCTTAAAATAATTCTCGGGGCTCCAGGTAACCACTGAATCCATAATGAATAAAAAAGATTTATCAGATTCTGAATTATTAAAACATTTACAGCTCGCAGAATTTTTAAAGGTTTTGTAAGATTAATGCAGAAATTACAATCAAACTGAAAAATTATTCTTGTATTGACTGAATCATCAAGTATTTCACATATCATTTTGTATGCACTCAGATGTGTAAGAAATTAAAGTTATTTGTTTTTCAATATATCTACAATAAGTGTTCATTACATTAAAACAAGGAATTTAAATCAATCAATTTCTATTACTCACTTAAGTAAAGACAATTTTGTTTACATTAAAATTTGTAATTTTGAATGCTAAATGAAAAAAGTACATATTTAATATTACCGTCTGGAAATAACAAATTATCTTGTAGTCACGTTAGACATTTACTTTACAAGGATATACAGAGATATTAAAGAGATGATTGGGAGAAATATTCAGAAAGACGTTCAGCCTCTCCAGACATTATTACAATCTTGTCAATAGCCAGAGATTTCTATCCATGACAACAAATAACACTATATGAAATTTTACGCTAAATTATATGACATTGACCTGTTTTGATTTTTTTTTTATAAATTTTGTTTTTATTTATTTATTTTCCCTTAATCTTTTTATATGGTATACAAATTTGATAAAACTAGTCTATCTAAATGATGATATAATTGACTCAGAACATACATGTGAACTCTCCCACTTTTAGCGGATGACTCCCACTTTCTCCAGCCATATTTTCAAAGATTTTTCTTAAAATAAGGGGTATTTTCACAAATTAAAGAAATCTCCCTCTTTTTGATCTATGTTTATTGCAAATTCTAAAATCTCCCTCTTTTTGAAGAAAAATCTCCCACTTGATTATCGAAAAAAGTTCACATGTTTGTCAGAACCACGACTTACTGGGTATCGTCATCAGCATACATGTACATAATTATGCTTCAACTCAGACTAAAATATATACTCTTTCTGATGGAAAATTGGTTGGAAAAAGTTATTAATGTAAGGAATGAATGGATGATTAATTTATTTTATACATTGATTCACAATACAATGTACGTGTGTGTCAACTGTTTACAACTGTTGTAACACCAGTGACCTAATCCCAAGTCAAATAAAAAATCAAGTAAAAATGTCACTGTACTTGGGTTTATCAAATATAAATCGAAAATTATAATACAAATACTGAAAAATCAGTCTAGACATTTGTCAATTTCAAACTTGAGTTAACCAACCAGAAAAGCTTGAGATTATTCTTGACCAGTCAGAAATGGTTGAGAATTTTCTTGACCAATTAGAAATGATTGACATTTTTCTTGACCAATCAGTTGCTTGATATTTTTCTTGACCAATCTGTTGCTTGAGATTTAAGACTGCTTTATGTCATACTTATATATGTTACATTTTTAAACTAGAAATGCTTTTGTTACATCCAGTAATAGTATCCAAAATGTTACTTTTTGGCTATATTACCAGAACCATTTTTAGTGGGTTTTATTTTTTGCTCTTTGGCATTTAGCACAGTTAATGTGATTTAGTATTAAAATTTTGTCTGAAAGTCGAATACCTGCTTTGTTTAAATTTTGTTATTTTGACGACAAAAAATGTCAAATTCCGAGATACTTCCTCTAGGTGATAAGCATCTAATAATCTCTAAAATTAATATATTCAAATGTTTTAAAACACATGTTTGCTATTTCTTATGATTGAAAAATTTATGATATCTTTCTGAGGCATAATGTGGCTTTAAAAAAATGAAATTATTGTTTACTTTGTTTTCTTTTTTTATATTGTAAACATATTTCTCCACAACAAAATGAAATAAAAAAATGTCAGCGCACAATTTTCTGACAGTTCTCACCATAATCAATTTTTTTATTTCCTCAGAGAAAACTGATTACAGTGCAAAGATGTCTCTCTTTTCACCATTTTGAGCATATTTTATTAGAAAGAGAAGACAAATTAAATTAAGGCAGTATTTTTCTTTATTTTTTGTGAACCACTTACAAGAAAGAAAAGGGCAATCTTATTAGAAATTTACAATAACAGAAAGTTACAAAAAAATATCTGACTTATTTTGTATATAAGTATTAAAAAAAGAGATATAAAAATGTATCATAATTAGCATCTGCTTGATGTTTCAATAAGCAAAATGATTCTTAACTTAATATTTTAAGAAAGGAAACATTAAACATTGATTTGATATCTTGTTACAGATAAAGAAAACATTTTAATGACCTATACTGGAAATAATAAAATATATATTTAGTTTTAGTGAGTTATTGTAATATAATATTGCATGTTTACACTGCAAAACAATCATAAAGTCTGCTGTGACGTGTGTCATTAATTACAATGCGTCTGGAGTTTCAAAATGGTTACGTACTGAAAATTAATTTTCATACAAAATGCTGACATTGAGAACTAATGGCTAGAAGGGAACGCCATTCAATACATGTCAAACTCCCTTTCTTATATTGAAGATATTTTTATTAAATTGAAGATATAATATCCAAATACTCACCTTTTTCTAAAACAAGCATATTTCAAACAGTGCATTCAAATGGGCAGATAATCACTCTTGTGGTGAAACATTTTCAGCTCGACTCTTTCTCGAAAATAATAGACATTTTGTTACAGTCATGGCAGCCATCCCATTGCAAACTTTAATCTTGATCATAACTTTTAAAGTATTTGCTGTATTGTCTTCATACTTGGCCACAATAACCCTTTAAGAATACTGTAGACCAGACTTAACTTGACCTTCATGCATAAATGACCTTATCTTTCAAGGTCAAATGTCTAAATTTTGCTTGATTTTTGCTATTAGTGGCTATTACTTTGTTAATTTTAGATAGATTGTCTTCAAACTTGAAACAAAACTATCTTTAAGGATAGACCTTCAAGTTAAGTAGACAGACCTTGACCTTCACTCATTAATTACCTTGACGGTCAAATTGAAGCAAGACTCAAAAATGTTTCACTAAATAACCTTGTACAAGAAAAAATGGGTAATAGCTACTGATATAAGGGCATATTTTCACTGTGTAAATTGGATAATACTGGTTGAAGCATTTAAAATCAAAACTTCTCTTCTCTTTTCCCTTTTTTGACAGAAAAAAAAAATTGTATTGCTTGCTGAAACCTGAGGGACAAAATCATTCTGTTTTAACTGGTTTAACCTGAGTGAGTTTCTTATAATAATTGTTAAAGTGAAAGACCCATATTGAAAACTTAAAACTTTATTGAACATAAAACTTAAATAAAGTTACATACCGGTACATTGTATAAGGTTAGAGCAAAATGTATGCTTAATGCTGCCTTATTCAAGCTATAGCCAGGAAACAAGAATTACCCGACTTGTTTGATTAGAATCATCAGCTGTCACAATGTTCATTAATAATACACAAGTAAATGTCTGAACAATACTGCTGGCTCTATGTACACTGTATTGTGACAAGAGATTCTACAGAAATAGAGAAACAATAGCAATAGAAACAAAATGAAGAAACAATACAACAACCTCTAGACAAATGAGCTAGTTGCAATATAATTATTTTTTTGCTGGATATTTTGTTTCCTACCATTGGTGTGATTACAACTGGCAGTGTTAGTATAAGCATGTACATAATTATACACACTGTATATATACAAATGTACCATATAAGGTAGGGATTTGTTTTATACTTTACTGGTTGAAAATTTTGAGCCAAGTCACATGCTTCAATGCTAAAACAATATTGTACATTATAATATCATAATTATTATCACAATAAAAAATGTTTTCCATGTAATGTACCTAAACTGCTACTGTATTGTTATCCCCTGGCATCATATACTTATAGCCACATTAAAGATTTAAGCTATATAAAAATCTTAATGAATGGATGGCATCTGTAACAATTACAGTTACCCTTTTTGGTTGTTGGTGGTTGTTTTTGTTTTGCTTTTTTTTTTTTTTTTTTGGGGGGGGGGTAGATGGGTATGATGTTGGAGTCCCTTCAACTTGAGATTTATTCTCATTGTATATACAGCTAGTCATAGATTGCTTCAAGCGTATTGTGAAAAATGGCGGTTTTCATTGAAAAGCCTTCTGTTACAAGGAAACTATGGAAAATGCTTCAATACTGATAAAACTTGTCACAATGTTAACTAGACCATAGCCTCTGTAACAACATGCTCAATCATAAAATTTCTGGTTACCATGGCAATGGGGGGACGTCTCAAAATTGCCAAAAATCACTATTTTGCATTGTTTTTTTTTTCCATCAAAACTGATTTCAAAGTGATGCAACTTCTCAATGAATTGAGATAGAGTAAAAGGCTTTTCAGCGTCGGTTACTAGTTACCCTAAGATTGACCTGAGGCCATTTTTAGCCTGTCACATGTCCAAAATTTTCTTGGCGATGAGGGGCACCCCCCTTCAAACCCCCCAAATAGAAGGGGGCACATCCCCCTTCTGACAACCCCCTGATATACCATTTTGATGGGGGGCTGCGCCGAAAAAGTGGTCACTTTTTTTAACAACATTTCTCAAACGATAAAACAGTGTTTGGGGCCTAAATAGGGCAATTTTTCACTGTTTGAGGCCTCAAAAAAAAGGGGGGGGGGGGCAAAAAAGCCGTCAAAACACATCTATATGAGGGAAAAGGTTAAAGATTCCATAAACCTGGCATTGGATGCATAATATAATAATTTAATTATTTACTTATGTGTAATTCTTGTGCAAATGTCAGTTTATTTACAAATACAATAAGTCTGTATATATATCAAAATTTCTGTAACTTGTAAAATATCAATATTTTAATTTATTCAACAGTCTTGCCTGATAACTGGTAGTTAATTATTAATTGTGCAATTAGTCTGATTTTGCATGAAGTAATCAACCACTGGAACTAAATGTTATCTAAATGGTCATGTTAGTTCAATAATGGTTACATTCTATCAAATTGTTTGTAATTTCTCACTTCGAAAAGAAGGTTTGATAATTATCAATAATCATAACAATGACTAGTTAATAGTTTTTAAGTTTATTCTCACAACATATTGGACGGGTGTAATCAACCATGCATGGAAATATAACTTGTATTCTAAAAGTGGTATGGTTAGGTATCATATCAATGTTACATTCTGATCAAACTGTCAGTGTAATTTCTCCACTTAGAAAAAGGGTTTGTTATAATTTATCATATAATACATAACAAATTATCTAGTTTGATGTTCTTTCAAGTTTATTTCTCACCAACATATTTGGACCGGGCAAAAATTAAAATAATAAATCGAGACTTTTACAATTTACATTAAGCATTGTAGTGCTATAAGCAGCCAATGGCATGCCTGTCACCAGTATCCCTGTATTCCAACCACATTCTTGCTATATTTTCAAATTTGGTATTCCTATATCTTAGCTTAAATATTTGAAGAATATTGAATTAATTGGGGCTATCTTACTAATCCATATGTGTCATCAACAGTTTTAACATAAAACATATAAAATGGTATAAATTTTGCATGCAACTTATTTTACAACTTTATTTTTCATCAACCTCAAAAGATTAAAAACAAATGTTTTTGATAGCGTTATAATTATTGGAGGTCCCTATCAAAGATTGTTAACTCTTATATGGATTTGACTGAATTACGGCCTTTTGTGTCACTTCTCAAAGTTTTATGTGCTACATCAAATCCTGGTATTCGTTGATACTTCACATATGTATTTGGGACCATAACAAAGGGGTATAGGTTTTAGAACTATTTCACATTGCATATGTAGTCAGTTCATGCTCAAATGAAATAAAAGAAAATAGAACAATTAACTTTGAAAAATGAACTTTGTATATCAATTATAAATTAACTCTGGCAATTTGTTTAGTCTGGTGTTGTCAGTTTAAGCAGCACTAAACTTTGTGCTCTAGTGAAATTAAGGGATGTTGTTAGAAATTACTGTCACAAGGAAAAGTCAGAGTACAATCATTTACACCAGTGCTTGACGATACTATTTACAGTAAAATGTCATTGTAGTGTAATCTGGATGTATTTATTACACACCAACAAACATGAAAAATGTAGTATCTTTACTTTTCTAACATCATGAGGTTCAATATCTCATGCTACACTTCAGAATGTAGCAATATTCCATTCAAGGGGTTATGTCAACCAAAGTAAAGCTTTTTTCAAAAATGTAAGGCAATCTGTGACAGGTGTTGCCATGGAACCTAGTTTTGTCTATGGTGCAACACATACAATGGCAAAACAAATATGTTAAAAGTACAAGAATATTGTTTTTGCTAAAACCCTAACTAACGTTACAGAATGCCAATTAATCATAACTTTTGATTAAGCATGTAGAATAATTACTTTTGTATGAGGAGATTTTTCCACTCTGCGGTAAAGACTTTTATTACATGCTTTTCGGTGGTTTATAGAAATATATCTGTGAAATATGAAACTGATATTTTCACTGTTTGAAACAGTGATATTACCACTTTGATAATTTCACTGTTTTGAATTTAAGCCCCTTTCGTTGTTTCAGTGAAATACCAGCATGCACAGTTCTGGAAACCAACTAAATGATGTGACGTCGTAAATCAGACCTCACGTCGTATTATTATTATTTGATGCGCTTTTAATTTAGCATTAGGTTAAAACGTCTTTTTAAACGTTTCTTTGCATGTAATAAAAAGAAAATTTGTTTAGTTTAGTGCAAGATCGAAATATATTTCACCTCATGAACACCAAAAGTTTATATTTCACTTGTGGCTGCGCCACTCGTGAAATAAACCTTTTGGGGCTCACTCAGTGAAATATATTCCGATCTTACACTGAACTAAACAAATATCCTCTATATATATTATATAGTCTCTCATATGAATCATTCTCTGGTGGTTAAATTAATTGTTAAAATAAGCCTGAACTAATCATTGCTGAAATATAGCATACAAATAACAAGCTTTATATGGGATATCTTTAACTTGTTTATTACTCGTTTTCTTTGATCTTTCATATGGAAAGTGCAGTCGGTCTACAATAGTGATTTTTGTTTTCTCTAAGTTTTCCTTGTGCACAGCTGTGTGTTACGCTGCATTTGAGAAATCTTTTATTTACAATAGAGACAATAGTGTGTATAGCTTCATGATTTTAAAAAAAAACAGACTTGCTTTATTATTCTTACGTCAGCCATATATGCTGTAATCAATTAAGTATAAAGTAACAAAAACATATTAAAAGAAAATTGGAAACAGTTTGTTGCTGCTTGAGTTATAAACCTTTATATTTCTACTTATTTGCTACATGATGATGATATATTTTGAATTTTATAAACAAAAAATGAAAATGTCAAAAAATCAATAGATTAGGTAACAATTTCATTAATACCCATTTTCAGCCAAATGGATGAAAGATAGATCTTCAATTAATTTCTGATTTTTGTTATTTCAGAAATATGTTTACAGATTTATTTTATATGACATTATTTTCAACATGTCAACAAAATGTTGTTTTCATGTGACCTAACTATCAATATGTCACAGAAATGTTGTTTCCATGGAACCTGATTTTTCAATGTCACAAAAATGTTGTTTTACATGGGACCTGATTTTTCAGTATGTCACAAAAATGTTGTTTACATGGGACCTGATTTTTAGTATGTCACAGAAATGTTGTTTCCATGGGACCTGATTTTTCAGTATGTCACAAAAATGTTGTTTACATGGGACCTGATTTTTAGTATGTCACAGAAATGTTGTTTACATGGGACCTGATTTTTCAGTATGTCACAAAAATGTTGTTTACATGGGACCTGATTTTTAGTATGTCACAGAAATGTTGTTTCCATGGGACCTGATTTTTCAGTATGTCACAGAAATGTTGTTTACATGGGACCTGATTTTTCAGTATGTCACAAAAATGTTGTTTACATGGGACCTGATTTTTCAGTATGTCACAAAAATGTTGTTCACATGGGACCTAATTTTTAGTATGTCACAGAAATGTTGTTTCCATGGGACCTAATTTTTGTATGTCACAAAAATGTTGATTTTCAAGCGATTCATTTTCAACGCTGTAAATTATAAATTAAAAAGTTACAAATATAGTAATACATCAAATTAGATGTGAAAGAAATCAAAAGTTAAAAGATGTCAAGATTTTTAACTCATTGTACAACCAGATTCAAGCAATATTATAAAAGTGCTAATTAAATGAAGCCATATTACAAAATGCTAAATATGGCACAAAATGAAGTAAGGTGACATTATCACTAGCAGGAGACTGTAGTTTTTTATAATGACATTCAATAGACGTTATCAGGACCTCGACAAATGTGGGTTTTTCTACAAACAAACTTTTATCATTATAATAGCTTCACGGTGCACTACCCGTCGCAATAGATGTACAGTCAACATGTTTCGCTTATTTTTGAAGCTGTAACTGTAAAATATTGTTTGTACCTACGGATTAGCTCAGGGAAAAACCCAGATGTTCTTCATTCCGGAGTTAGTCTAGCTATTCCAAACTAGTTCTGGGATGTTTCTCAGTTTTACTATAGAAATATGTTTATACTATTTCAGATAACACAAAATAATACACCAATATGAGTACTGATATTGTTGCCCTGGAAAAACAGTATGCCAAACTACGCCGAAAACAACATCATGCATGTGTTGTCATATCAGGTTAGTATGAAAAGTAATTCTTTCTTTAACTGTTTTAAATGGAAATTATGATTATTTTAATTGGTGAAGAATTTGTAATATTATGTAATGAGACTGGTTTATGTGACCACTTGTTCATACTTTTTCATACTTGGACATAACAACCCTTTGAACTTGACATTGACACATAAATGACCTTGAGCTTAAAGGTTAAATTTTTAAAATGTGCTTGATTTTTGCTTTGACTGGCTATATAAATTTTTATTTATGAATTGATTGTCTTCATACTTGGACACAACAATTCCTTGACAAGAATACAAGACCTTTAAATAATACAAGACCTTTAAATAATCCAGACAAACATTGACTCAGAAATGACCTTGACATGGAAGGTCAAATTTATTTAGCTTAAATTGTGATAACTGTTATTCATGCATGGATTAATTCATCTATGAACAAAAATACAACAAAATTTGTATAATAAAACCTACATGTTAAGATAATTTAGAGTTGACCATGACTGTTGACTGACCACAAAAGACAACTTGCATGTATTAGATATTGCAAAAATTGTGATATCTGTCTCATGCATTTATTGATTTGATTCATACTTTGGCAAAACAACACTTATGGCATAATGAGCATGTTAAATTATTCTAATTTGAGTTTGACCTTATAGTGAACCAGATTGTCAAAGTTTTGAATTTTGTTAAATTGCCTTAACATTGTTAATAATGGACATATGGATTCATACAAAAAAAAGAAGAATTATAACGTTACACTGACCTTGATCTGTAAATAACTTTTACTGTTAAAGTCAAATATGAAATCTTAATTAACTTCTGTACAAAAAATAATGTTTTCTTCGAAAAGCTTTCTCCTTTAAAATTTGTGTTTGCCTTTGGAAATAGTAAAAAGGCTGCCCACTAAATGGCAAGAATTTTCAGATATCTGATGCACTCTAACGCATTCAACTCTTGTTAATCTATTTTCATTTTAAATGCATAACATATACACTAAGCTTTATTAAATTCTTATTAAATTGCAGCTATATACAGAATTGTTCTATTTTTGCCCTAAGCTAAGGTAAGAAGAGAATCTACAGGCTGGTTCAATATACTGCTAATTACAATATGATAATTTATTGCATAAAATATCGTATTAGTTTAAGCATGAACAAGTAAATGATTATAGTGTGACATGACAATGTAACATGTGTTACATACAGATACATTTATACATGACAGGCATTAAACCAGCTCGGGCCGAGTCTGATGTTGACAAAGATAGTCCAGTCAGTCCCGGAGGGCCAGGATTACTGGAAGAGGAGGCTAACAATATGGAGGGCTCAGTTGCCATGCTTACCCTTTCTGTTCCCTTAGAAACTGAGAAAAGCAACCAAGATCTTACTGACCCTATATCTCCAACTGTAAGCCTTGTTTTCTTTTTTGTAAATTACTCTATATTTAAAAAAAATGATTTTAGATGTAGGTTATGCAAATACTATCAAGAAAGAGTAAGCTCACCTAAATTATAAGTGTTGAATTTAAAAGAATGACCAATATAAGAATATTCATGTCAGCTCAGTGTTGTCTAAGGAAGCTGCCATATCTAAACAAGATATGAGCCGCGTCATGACAAAACCAACATAGTGCGTTTGCGACCAGCATGGATCCAGACCAGTCTGGGCATCCGCGCAGTCTGATCAGGATCCATGCTGTTCGCTATCAGTTTCTCTACTTGTAATAGGGTTTGTAAGCGAACAGCATGGATCCTGATCAGACTGCGTGGGTGCGCAGGCTGGTCTGGATCCATGCTGATCGCAAACGCATTGCGTTGGTTTTGTCTTGACGCGGCTCATATTGGTAGCTGACATAGCTGACAGCTGTAAAACTTTAAACAACAGCAATTGAATATAACTTGTTGAATATACAAAATCTGAAATTCAGTAGTGCTAAAATCAGTCCTATAAGAACCAATGGTATAACTTTATTTTACTTAATTGCCTCCTGAGGACAGAAGAAATAATAGAAATCTTTTACATATTTTTCTTGCCAGGTGTTTGGAGATACCAAATGTTTCTTTGTCCAAAATCTCAAGAAGAAAACTAAAGAAAAGCATCATCCAAAACGCTCCAAGAGATGTAACAACTCTGATGATAACTTGCATTCAGACAAACCAAGCACTAGTGAAGATGGAAATGAAAGCACTGCATATCATGAAGATACTAGTAAAAAATCCAATAAGAAGAATAAAAAAGTTTGCTTCAAAGATGAAACAGATACTATAGATGTTAAGGAAGATATTCATGGTGAAGAACAAACATTTGACAATAAAAATGGTAGTGAGATGTGTGAAACCATTGAACAAAAACAAGAAAACAACATCAGTGATCCGCAAGAAGTAGAAATGAAGAAAACTGAAGAAATTTGTGTAGGTAATGGACATAAAGAAATAGGGTGTGTAGAAACTACAGTATCTGAAGAAATTGACAATGATACTGGTGCAACCAAAAATGGATTTAAAATTGATGGTGAATTTTCAGACAGAATTAAACAAGGGAATGACACTTCAGGTAATGGTGTAAAAGAAATTAAAGGCATGCCAGTTGAAGAAGAAGTGTCAGAGAAAGAAGAAAACGAAATTGATGACTCTAAAACAACATCTGAACTAAATACAAACATTCTAAAAACATCAAGAACTCAAGGTCTTAGAAATCCTTCTTTAAAGTACTCGAAGCAGTACTACCCTTCAAACCAAATATCACATAAAAAGCATAGAACCAAATCGGAAAGTGCAGAAAACTCAAACAAGCAGAGTATATACCAACATTTCAACCTGACCAAGAGGCAACTTAGTTTGGATTCTGCTTTCAGTGGTGGAAATAATAAATCTGCACAGGCTAAAAGCATAGAATTTCCTTTCCCTGTACATATGATTAATGAACATAAGATAAAGGCTGGTATGAAATTAGGACTTTATGACCATAAGGCCCTGGAGAAATTCGAGAAAACAAGAAAAATACCAAAGACAAAACTTCCAAATCTTACATTTGATTGACAAGCTTAAAACATTATTACATTGACACATTACTCACAAACAATGCACTGTCCTTAGTAACATGAATATATTTTGAATTATAAAATTCAAATTTTTTCTTGACTTAATCTATAACCTGTTGAAACTGGGTGATAAGCCTTTTCCACCTGTAAAGAGCCAGGCCAGCCTGCGCTGCCGTGCAGTCTTATCAGCTGTTTAACTGTTGGTAGCTCATTTTTTTCTGCATTTTGACACTAAAATCCCTGATTCTTTGAATGGACCATTCAAAATTCAAAGCATGCAAATTCAGAGGGTTAAAGCATTAGACAAATTTAGAATTTCTTCATTTGATATTAACAGGATGTAGTTATTGACGTCCCAGCATTCCACAGTGACAGTTTGATTTTTCATGCCATCTCTGATTTCAACTCTGTGCATAAAATACAAGACATAATTGATTTTAACTCATGCAGTAGTGTTATATTTTGCTTTTAAATAAATAAAAGTCATTTTGTTTCTGTCTCATTTAGAAATGTTTAACCTTTTTCTACAAGCAAAGACTTAATCTATAAAACATTCTGGCTCAATCGGATTTTGGTTTACGTAAGCAGACGTATCATACGAGAATAAATGAGTTATGTTTAGCATCATGAACATTATTGATAAAGCATAAAAAACCAGGAGTACAGACCTTGTAACTGTATGGTGTCAGGTGTTCTTACTTCTGTACTAGAGCTTATCTTGTTAAGTTGTTACATTACTGTTGTTTCTTTCTTTTTTTTGTATTATATTATGAGGGAATCTTAAAATTTTACAACTCTGGATAGTACATCTTAATAGTTAATAAATTCTGTATTTGTACTATGAACTATGATATCACTTGCAAAAAGAATTCTTTTTTAATGAAAATTAATTATTTGATAATTGTGTAATATTTTATTGATTTATTGATACCAATATTAATAGAGAATCACTATGCAAATTGATTCAGTTAAATCAATATTAATGTTAAGAATACGTTTGTTTTTATTCATTAAGAATATTATTTTAGGGCTCTTTGGAAATACCTTTACTAATTTAAACCTTACTTATTTTCAGTAGTATAAATAAATGTCATGTCATCACATATTTGAAGCTCAATAAAATCATATATTGTAAAATGTCGTTATTTGTTTTCTTGTGACATCTCTATCTCTGTCATTAAATAATAAAGTTCTCCATAGGTAACGGTCATTTTATAATAATTATTCCTTTTACGTAAATGTTCCGGAAATGCAATTCAAAAATGAGATACAAACATTTTGCACATACCCCTTCCTGCAACACTTGTAAAAGTGCCAAGTTCCGTACCAAAAACTAGTCAGTCCTTATAACATGAAGCTTAGTTAGTCAAATATGATTATGTTCAGTTGAAAGAAAATCAAATACACATCACTAATTATTATACAATGAAAAAGTTTAAAAAAGTAAAAAATAACATTTTTTACTCTGTTTGGATCTGTCACTTGAATATTTTTTTCTTTCTTCAAAATTCAATGCATCTGTAGTACCAACTGAATGCATGTCACCAAGTTTGGTTTTTTTGGTTGGGTTTTACATCACATCACACCAACACAGAGAGGTCATAATTATGTCTACTTTCCAGCTTTACTGGTGGAGGAAAACTTCAGATGCCTTTCCAAGCACCGGCATTCCGTACCCATGTTTAAGTAGTATACAAATATGGTAACGGGCCTTTGTATTCTATTTTTAGCCTATCATATACATGTAACTCCAACAGGTATAATTGCCATTCTTCCATTTATATTATTAACCTTTTACTGCATGAGCATATTGTAAAAAATGGCCGTTTTCATTGAAAAGCCTCCTGTTACATTTTTAGTTCAAACTGCTATGAAACTACGAAAAATGCTTCAATACTGATGAAACTTGGCACAAATGTTGACTGGACCATAGCCTCTGTAACAGCATGCCCAATCTTAAATTTCCTGTTACCATGGCAATGGGGGGACGTCTCAAAATTGCCAAAAATCACTATTTTTGCATTGTTTTTTTCCATCAAAACGAATTTCAAAGTGCTTCAACTTCTATATGGATTGATATCGAGTAAAAAGCTTTTCAGGGTATAAATAGGGCATTTTTTCACCGTTTGAGGCTTCAAAAAGAGGGGAGAGGGGCAAAAAGCTGACAAAAAACATGTCAGGTAAATAACATTAAATTTATTTTGCATTCCGTTTGGTGATTTGTATCATCTATCAGGGATTTTTTTAAGGATTTTGGGAGCATGACCCATACCCATGGAATTGGGAATTTCTGCGGTGTTTTGTTAAAAATTGGGGAAAAAATGCAATGACTGAAATTTAACAGTGATTAATTTTAAATGGATGCAAACAATTACTGTCTAGGATGGCATCTTCAAACATTTAAGCACTATTACAGTGAAGGAGCCCTTATTTTCAAAGATTTTAGAAATTTTATTCAATATTTTTATTTAGTAACATTTATTTGGGAATATTTTCCTGTGGATTTGGAAAATATATACTATTTTCAATTGGGAATATGACCCAATACGGCTATAAAATTAGCCAAAAAAATCCCTGTCAATTAAAATCTTGCAGCGTCATCTTAATTTGATTTGAATACATATTTGTTTTCGAGTTTATGTCATTTAAAGGTAAAGTTGAAGTTAGATAGTTAAAGATACTGTCAGTAACTTAAATCTGTTGGCGCTATGGATGCACTGGTTATTAATGAATTGTTACAATTGGTCTTATTATTGTTTGTATGGAACAACAAAACTGAGAGTCATCAAATAGTATTTTTCACATCTTATTACTCATTTGTTGTTCACAGCTTTTTCTTGATAAGTGAAATTAGCCAATTATCTAAACTTACAATACCAAACTGACATCACTATAGCAAAATGTCATTATTTTCATGTCTCTTATATCAATATCTTCACATCTCTGCTGTTCAACAATAGTAATTTTGCTAGAAATAAAGTCAAATAATACCTGCAAGGTATTACTCGTTAATTATTTCATACATAGGACATGACAGATACATGTAGCAAAACAAGCTATCATTTATAATGATTTATGGTATTTGATAAGCTTTACATATGTCATTGTATGTTTGTCTAAACCAATCACAATGTCATATTCCACATAAATAGTGAAATTTAAAATGTACTTCGTCTTTAATCATAATTCATATACAGAATCATTAGAAAACTGACCAATGCCAATTTAATTACATGTAAAAGATAAGATAGGTCATTCTTGTTTGTTTTTTCTTCAAGAGAAGTCAAAATATTTATAGAAAATCAAATTTGAGAAAAATGAGCTAATATTTTAAGAAAAATTAAACAGATTCAAGATTCGAGTTTTAATTTACATGCTTTGAGAAATTAATGTTTTTGTTTTATTTTTGTTGAGGATCATCTCGGGATCATTCCTGTTTGATAAAAATCTACACAATGGTTATGATTTCACAAAAGCTCATATCTGCTGAGAACTTTGTGTCAAAGGGGAGCTAACAGGAATAAACAAGCAGGAAAATAATCCGGTAAGCTCAACACTTTCACAATGAACAGCTTCATTTCTTCAAGCCATGATACATAAAAACAACTTTTATCATCTCAAAGATATTATGTCAATAACATTTACAGAAAGAGGAAAACAGTTGGGGTTGTTTCATGTAATTTTAATATAACAAATAATGCACAAGTTGAGAAGTATCAAGTTACAATCAAGTATTTTATAAAATGTCTGCACACACACGTTAATGATGGATGTCTCAGTGTCACGTCTGCTTTGTCATAATGGCATTCTGTAAATGAGAAATACAGAAACATATTAGCATAGATTGTATTACAAAGATAAAATTAATTTCTCAAATAAATACAGCAGCTGAACGAATTTGTTTGAAGTGACAGACATACATACTGCATTGGTACACCTATGCTGTTACATCATATATCTATTTTATATCTCTTTACCTTATGCAGATTAATGAGATGTTGTATTTCATCAGTAAGATATAATCAATATCACACACTGCATGTAAACCACTACATCTGTACATTTATATAAAATATCTTATACTGAAATTTATCAGTAAGATAAAATCAGTATCACATCCTGTGTAACTTTATCTTCACTAGTAGTTTTATTTTATGTTCAGTATCTTTTCAATTCCATCTTCATCTTATTCTTATTAAATATCTATACTGGCATATTACTCATTCCACTGTGAAAACTTGTTATTTTATTTTATTCAGCAAATTTCTTAACTATGTTATCCCTTATTATTCATTTTACATACAGTCCACCTTCGATCATTGGAACTTGTAAAACATCTGCAAATTTGTTCTACATTAGTTCAAATATTTGGACAAAAGAAAAATATGTCTAGACAATTCTTAACAAGTGCATCATTTTGTTGAATTGGTCATATTTTTCTTTTTGGAAATATTTAGGAATTTTTATTTTTTTTATTTTTGAAAATAAATACCTTTTTGATAGCATAACCAACAACACAAAAAGATATTACATAAATAATATCGGAAAAAGTCATTTATTGAACAGATGCTGCTTGGAATTCATTTTTTCTTATGTTCTTTTTGGAGTTTTGAGGACAATCACACTCACTTCTATGCAACTTAAAAGTTGAGCACTTTAAAGCAATGGTAGTACTACCAAAGTTTAACTGTTTATACATGAATAAATAATATACACATTAATTTTGCAAACTGGTATACTGATTTTCATCAGATTTCATACTATATTTAGAATGAGTTTTGAATTAACCTAAAGAGATAAATGTTACAAAAGGAATTACCTCTCTAGCTTTTTGTACTGCCTCTGTAAATGCTTTAACTTGTCTAGAACAATTAAGTGGTTGTTTCATGTTATTTTGATAGCATTCATACACTTCCTGTTGAAGATCCTGGCAGACTGGTCCACCACTTTGTTTTCTGAAATAACAAAAAAAATATCATAGAACATTTAAACCAGTCTATTCAAAATTCTATTTCTAACATAAATGACATTCTGTTGGCTTATCATGGGAATTAGGTGTTGTTACAATCAAATAGATTATTATCATTATTTCTAAAGCAGCATGCCTCCATATTTTTGTGTATTTTCATTAAAATTTAGGAAGATCCTTGAACAAACCAGTTACAAACCACCCTCATATTTGACATGTGTTCTCTCCTCTTGATTTACTTGTAAATTTAGGAAGTCTTCAAAAAACTATAACTATTGTTGAAGATTATTGAGATTGTTTAAGGTACCCGTTATAACAAAAGAACTCATGTATGTGTCAAAAATGTGCACAGAAAACAAGCTATTACTCTATTAGTTACAGGATGTGGTAGAAATATTGTGATCAATTCAGGCATTTCTTACAAAAAAAAAACACACACACACAAAAAACCCCCAAAAACATTCAATACATAACATAAATATTATTACATTTTTTCAAATTTGTCACATTATTTTTCTTAAAATTGATTTGTTTTTTATATTTTATCTGGAGAAATGTAGCTTTAAAAGTAAACTTATAGATCTATCCCGTGAATCTAAAATAACATAGGCAAACAGGAATCATCAAAATGCCATCAAAATATTTGTATCTAAAGGCTTTCTACGCCATTTAATATCTGACACAAAGATGTCCAAACAAAAAAACAAGAAAACATTGGACAGTCCTTGTCATTTGGACAAAGTACATTAAACTTGACATATTAAGCATGCACATGCTGCAAATTTAATATACATGTATAAAGATAACTGTTTATCATTTTCTGGTGCTTAACTCTAAATGAGAATATAAAAATTAGATTAAAGGGCAGTTGCCTAGCTATTAAAATAGTTCTTTATGACTTGAACTTCATTCTGGATAGAAACATCAGCATTCTGTTGGCCCACATGCAAGTCAAATCAACTGTATGTAGGAGAAAAAGCTCACAGTCAAAGGTCATGGAAGTTGTTGTACAGAAATCAATAAGTCAATTTGACTCAGCCTTGCCAAGTGGAAAGTACAAATTTAAATAGAAAGCAAATTGCAATTTACATAATCTACCTCAGAATTCATAAATTTTACACCTATGATAACATATTAATAACATCTTTAAACTGATCCCACTTACATTATTATATACATGTAGATGTAGAAATATACATTCTTCAAAATAACATAATTAATATAATTCAAATGGTTCTTCATAATATTCAAGTGGTCACAAAAATAAAAATTTATAGCAACACGCCAGTCTTTTTTTCGTTATTTTTTTTACTACAGAAATAATATAAAATAATTTAATGTGCTGACTCATGTATTTAAATGACTGCATCAAGTAAAGTACATGTAAAATTGATATGTAAAACAATGAAAGCAACATTAACAGTGTCACAGTCTGTGTATGGTAAAGATTTTTTTTAATAGAGATAATAAAACAATATGACAAGATTCTATCTCATTTAACCTGTATGATACGTGGTCAGATAAACAGATGTTAGACTGCCGGGAAAGTTCACGAGTTCATTTTAAATTCAAATCTGCTGTTATCAATCAATGCACTCTTTTATGGCCACATGTCCTTATATAAGGCCACATGTCCCTATATGTACATTACAATATCTTTTCTTCGTAGCTTTTCACCAAACAAATGAAAATGTCACTATGTCACATATTAAGATTAAAAGTTCACAAATTGTGACAAATTGAAGCCATGTTAAATAAATTAGTTCTAGCTTGTATTAACAGATTTCATAAAATTCTAAGGAAAAGCAAATTTAAATGGCTTCAGTAAGTGACAAAGTTGTTTTATTTTGTTTTTCATGATATAAAGATAGTTGCGATGTAAGAGAAATATGTATCAACACTTTCAAATTAAATTACATAAAATACTAACAGACAGATGAAATTCTATGATCATTGTTTATTCATCAGATTATTGGTTTTTATTTATAAAATTTTAAGCTTAATTGCAAAACAAGTTCTTGCAACTTATATTAATCGCTTTCCATTCAGCAGAATCAGCTAGTACTGGTCTAATATGAAGATACATGGTTGTGAACAGAGTAGGGCTTGTATGTACCTACAATCCCTGGGTTGAGAGGCAGACACCTCAACCACTAGGTCACCTCTCCCCCCCATCAGATCAGACACTGTAAATTCATATATTGCAACTTTCTTGCTTTTGGTTGAAAAAGACCTTAGGTGCCCTTACATGTTTTATTACAGGCACAGCATACACACAAGTAGAAACACAGAACCTTGTAGAGTCTCAGCACTTAACCTTCATTAGCATACACAGTTACAAACAACAGACAGCTTATCATTGAACATATACTGATTTTCAAACCATTAACATTATATTTTTGGGGGTTACAAAATGTTAAGATCATATGGCAATTTTGCACCTTGACTGGTGGAGGAAGACCAAGTGCCTTTCTGTATATTTTTTCAGGCCCATTTGAAACGGGCAACTCAGTAGAACCATCAACGTTCCATAAACTACCTTCCTCACATCAAAGAATCCAAAGTGAGTCCCTGTCGGGATTTGAATAGTGAATCACAATGGTAAGAGGAAAAAGGGTTGAAGTCAAGGATCTTTACCAGTTAGCCACAGACATGCCCCCCCCCCCCCCAGAAACCATTAACATGTTCTCCTACTAAGAATACTTACATAAATTTCGCTTCTACCTCTCGTATAGCACGTTCAAACTCTGCTGCTTTTATCCTGTGTGTTTCTGAACTCTGAAGCGAAGAAAAAAAAGACTTGTTTCAACATCAGCATAACTGACTGAACTTTCATTGCTAGTTTATGACTTTTTACTACAGTGAACATTGACTGATAAATCAAGTTTTCTTTAATTAAGCATTTTTTCCTTCAAATGGATAAAAATATCTTTTTTTTTTTAATATACACTTCAAAATTTTCAATATGTTCAATTCAGCCTTATCATTCAATTACATACTACTGTAAATTCTTACAAATATAACTTCGAAATATTATATCTGAAAAATTTAAATATTTTATCTCACAGTTTTAAATATTTAGAACTAAAAGTAGCAAAGAGAAACAGAACTGTTCCCAGTTGCTCTGTTTGGACAATTTACTTTCTTCCCATTAAATGTTTTCAAGTGATCTCAAAATAATCTATTTTAACTTGATATATAATACAAGTCATTAACATTTACTCCGTACTTAACTTAAAAAAAATAAAAGATAATTTTATTTATAAATGAAAATAAATGTAAATTATATATGATACTCCCCACTGGAATGGCATACCCACAGATATCACAATCTGAACATGTGTTAATTTGCATAAGTAGCACCGCCTACAAACATGGCAGACTGACCTAAATGTTATTGCTTTTGATCAATGACTTAACTTTGACAGATATTTGTCTTTAAAGGAAAGATGTGGCAGTCAGTGTCCTTTTATTTCTAAGAAAACTTCCAGAAATATATGTATGAAGGTACCCAAGAGCACCACCCTAATTTCAAGTGGTTTTTTTCTTGTTTGTTTTGTTTTTTAATAAATAGATAAATGTACAATGTACAATGTAAGCTGAAAGTAAAGTTCTTACAGCCTTTGTTATTCTTTGCCTGTATTCTTTTTCTATTTGGTGTTTGATGGCATCAATTTGTTCTTGAGTCAGTTCTTGGCTTTCTGGAATACAAAATACAAAAATAATATTATAAGTTAAGAAGGGGCAAACTCAAAAAACATAGCTTTCAGAATAATGTCCCTTGTCTTTTAGCTGTACCTTGTTATGATAGACAAGTATATCTATTTTCTAATTATACCTTTGACAGTTTTGAAATCATTCTACTAAATAAGTAATTGTGAAATTGTGACATAAATTCTTAGTTAAAAAGGGACAGCACTCTAAAAATATAGCTTTCAGAAAAATACCCTTTATGTTGAACTGCACCTTGAAAAGCAATTATTTCAGGTTTATACCATTACAAGCTATAAATGTAATAGCTCTTTAGGTTATTAAACTTGAATTATCATCTGCATACTCTACACACAAAAACTTGAGGAAGTTGAAACAAGAGCTGTCTTTCTGTCCAGAACACAGCATGCTTCATTTTTCAAGCATGCCTCTAGATTCACAGGTGCTCGTCCAGTCTTGGTGCCCATATAAAAAAATGAAGTTTTAAAAAAAAAAATTTGAAAAAAAAAAATTTGAAAAAAAAAAAACCATCAAAATTACTATTTTGGGTTGAGTGTAAGAAAAAAAAAATTTGAAAAAAAATATTTTTTTTCCTATTTACTTTTACTACGAAAAGGTCACCTAGTCGCCGTAACGCTACGGAGCTTTACTAGGACACACTGTGGAACAACCACAATGTCAAGTTCTGTAACAATAAAAGCTATTTTGCTACTCTTTACACATTGTGCATTTAGAAAATTGTTAACATTATTATTGTACCTTACATACAATCTTGAATAACTTACATTTTAACTCGGACACTCCAATTTGTTAAAATTTTGCAAAACAACAGTGATTGTCGGCCATTTTGTCGAAATCGAAAGTACAAAACATACACCGTACTGTTTCGCTGTTCTGGTCCCCTATGACTACGTTCGCTGAACAATAGACAACAGTAACCAATAAATTGATGGTTACCGTTGTCTACTGTTCCTCGCACGTAGTCGTAGGAAACCAGGAGAGCGAAACAGTACGATGTATGTTTTGTACTTTCGGTTTTGACAAAATGGCCGACCATCAACGGAATTTTGCAAGATTTTAACAAATTGGAGTGTCGGAGTTAAAATGTAAATTATTTAAGATTGTATGTAAGGTAGATGAAGAATGTAAACAATTTTCTAAATGCATGATGTGTAAAGAGTAGCAAAATAGCTTGTTTTGCTACAGAACTCGACATTGTGATTGTTCCACAGTGTGTCCTAGTAAAGCTCCGTAGCGTTACGGCGACTAGGTGACCTTTTCGTAGTAATGGTATATAGGAAAAAAATTTTTTTTTTCAAATTTTTTTTTTCTTACACTCAACCCAAAATAGAATCTAGTAATTTTGATGTTTTTTTTTTTTTCAAAATTTTTTTTCAAATTTTTTTTTTTAAAAACTTCATTTTTTTTAATGGGCACCAAGACTGGACGAGCACCTGTGTCTAGATTCATACTAATTTTTTATGAAAATTTTAAAAATGTATTTAAAAGAAATGTATTATGAAGTGAACAAAAAAATAATACATGTATAAATATTACATTTAATGGCACATACAATTCAAGAAAATTAACTTAACCATGTCAGAATACGCAAAAATAGCCCTAACTGAGTTAGTTATGCAGTAGAAATATGGTGACCAATTCTGCAAAATCACTTTAAATCAGACATTATTCACACATAACATGTAAATTAAAATGGAGTATTTTTAATTTTCTTATATTTGTACATTTTTCTCAAATTTGATTTCCTTAAAATATGTTGGTTCATCTGGAGGCATAAAGCTTTGACATCAAAAGCATTGTTGAGTTTCATTTAAATAGCTTGCATAATTTATAAGATGATGCTAGATAAAGTAACATTTGTTTCAAGTGCTAAAAGTAAAAATTTCATCCCTGTTAGATTTTATATTCCTCATAGATAATACCTCCTGAAGTGTTCCTTTCTGGTTGACCAAGCAATCTTCTTTCAACATCTTCAGAAATCTAAAAAAAACACAACAAAACAATGATAAACAAAAACTCTTAGAAATAAAAACTGTATGAGCAAAAGTGTTAAAATTTATTCAGCACTGGTGACTTTGACCCAAACCTTCACCAAAAGTAAGAGTATTTCTATCCATAGTATCTACCCACCAAATATGAATGACATTGGTCTATAAATAAACTGGCTAAGATAAATGTTTAATATGAAAAGCGCAACAGAACTACTGAAGGATGGGGTGGCATTAAGCACAAGAAACATCGACCAAAGAGACTACTAATTCAATTAAAAATAAGTGGACCACAAAAGATACATTTTTTATGTACATAGTCCAACCAAATATTGATTTGTGGCACCAAAACTGTAAAAGTCATATAGGGCTTTCCAGGCAGACCTCCAGGTATAAATACTTTGTACATGTTGTAAGATATGAAGGTATGAAATTCAAATAAGGAAATCAATTTGGTTTGAAGTACATCATTTAAGTAATTAAGACAAAGAAATATACTTAAAGATATTTTACTGTAAAAAAGACTTAATTAAACCAGAAATCATTATGTGGACAGCAGGGTGTGTAGATACTTTGTATAGTCTAGCTAAAAAGTATCCTAATACTTCCATTTTTAATCTGATCCACTGTTTGATTCAGCATAGAAATGCAAGTCCTATAAATACAACATCACTTTGAAGTATTTTTGCTTCTTGGCAAGTAAGGCTTGCCCAATTTGGACTACCAACTAGCTGATACATAATTATGTCATAGAAGATTTACAGACAGTTCATGCAAACATGTTAACTGCAAAAATTAATGAAAAGTTACTAAACAATATTAGAATAAACATATAAAATATGATAAACAAGATCAGCAAGGAAAGGTGGCGTTCAATGAACTTTATTTTTGTTGAATTAATAACCTTATGAAAAAAATTGGTTGATTTTGGGGGGTGAAGTGTCTTTGTGGTAAATGTCTTGAGGGGTGAAGTGTCTTCAAAATTGGGTATGACTAAATACCGAATATGGTTCAAAATTTGAGGAGTGAAGTGTCTGTGGAACGAAAATTATGTCTGGTTCCCGTATAATAGAAATGAATATATAGATCTATATAATTGTAACAGATCGTGGCTAAAAATTAAATGTGTCACTTTCGACAAAAACTAAATGAAAATGTTTCATGCAAAATGTATTTTACTTTAACGAAAATTAATTAATTTTAGTCATAGGTGTTCGGCGCGATGATTGGTCACTACCCCCGCACCCCACCCCTCACCCCCACTCTACAGCCCTCCTACCTCTCAAAACCATGTAAAATACAGTATTTTTCATTTGAAACATGTTTTAATATTTGGTTTATGCTTTTAATTCAATAACCTTCATTTCCTACAAAAAATAAAAAATTGATACATATATATTTAGTAAAGGTATGCAACTCGCCGCTCAATTTTCAGCACTCATCTTAATATGAACTCCATAACTTCAACATTTTTTCACCAATTTTCAATATCTTGGTACCAAATGGCAGGGAATTGATTACTCTTAAAGGAAATAAAGCTGTCATTACGATCATTTCAAGTTATCAGAAGATGTGTAATCTCAAAGTCACCGCAAGTGTAACTCGACAGTGATCTGACCGCTGGGTTTTCTTCAAAATTACCCGACTAAACGGCAGTTTATTCGAAATGAATGAATATTTCATTGTATTGCGCATATAAATATGATCAAATTATATTATTATTTGTAATAACTGTTCAATCAAAACATCTTATAAAACTATAACAAACCTTTTTTCCGATATGCCAAATTCTCCAATCCAAAATGAAAGTACACATGTATAAACGGAAGCATTCGTATGGAGTATTTTCATTGGTCGTGTGAAAACCTTAGACCAATGAAAATTCTCCGTACAATAAATTAAGAGGAGAGCACTCTGTAGAACTATTACTTGCATTATAATTTGGAATTTAACATATAGGAAAAAAGGTTTGTTATAGTTTTATAAGATGTTTTGATTGAACAGTTATTACAAATAATAATATAATTTGATCATATTTATATGCACAATACAATGAAATATTCATTCATTTCGAATAAACTGCCGTTTAGTCGGGTAATTTTGAAGAAAACCCAGCGGTCAGATCACTGTCGAGTTACACTTGCGGTGAATTTGAGATTACACATCTTTGGATAACTTGAATTGATCGTAATGACAGCTTTATTTCCTTTAAGAGTAATCAATTCCCTGCCATTTGGTACCAAGATATTGAAAATTGGTGAAAAAATGTTGAAGTTATGGAGTTCATATTAAGATGAGTGCTGAAAAATGAGCGGCGAGTTGCATACCTTTACTAAATATATATGTATCAATTTTTTATTTTTTGTGGGAAATGAAGGTAATTGAATAAAAAGCATAAACCAAATATGAAAACATGTTTCAAATGAAAAATACTATATTTTACATGGTTTTGAGAGGTAGGAGGGCTGTAGAGTGGGTGAGGTGGGAGGGGGGGTTGCCGGGGTAGTGACCAATCAACGCGCCGAACACCTACGATTTTAGTCGCGTGCATGTTTCCATAAATTTTACCCCACCCATCATTTTATAACACGACCTTGAATTAAAGCAGTTTCGACTTAATTTTCTATGGTTTACAATAAGATTCAATGTTCTTACAACAACAGCATTTGGTTGGTTATCTATAACAATTTGGCGAGTGCTCTGAGAACCACCCATTGTTGAAAAATTATATACTTCTTCAATTAAATTGACCGGATGCGGTTGCACTTTTTCGTCCTTCAATAATTCGTACCAATAACAACATTATTCTATAATTTGTACCATGTAATAAAACAATGCAACGTCTGAAAAATTGATTGATTCCCGAACAAGCAATTTCTACCTGTTTTCATCCATGCTGTTGCTTTGATCTGCTTTCTCTTCTATTTATAGTTATAGACAAACATAAACACATTATTACCTCCCTTTATTTTGACAAAAATATTAACTTGTTACATTTTGATATCGAACGTTAGATTAAAAGATTACCTTTTTTTGTAATTATAATAATTGAAGAACTTATTAGATGCCTTTGATAATTTTTGTTATTTAAACTTGTATAATTTGATTTAATGAACATGTAATACCCCCCCCCCCCCCCCCCAATAAAACCCAGCACAACAGGACAATCAGCAATTAAAGGAGACCAACAAGACACCAAATCACAAGGGCAAAGTACGGACGGGGCGTTGGTTTTGGAGTTCCCTTTGGCAAAGTGCCTACCAGAATTACATTTTGTAGTCATAATCATAATGCACCCAGTTAGGTTAAAGCAACGTATATGCATGCTCATTTTCATGAAAATTTTGAAAATGTATTTAAAACTAAAATATTGTGAAGTGAACAAAAAAGTAATTAAACATTGCAAACGGCACTTATAATTCAAGTAAATTACGGAAAAGATGTAAAAAAAAACATGCAAAAATAGAAATATGGTGATAAATATTGAAAAATCAGTCCTTATAATAATCGCACACAACATATAAATTATTACTTAAATCTTTATATTTTATTACTTTTCTTAAAAACTTCATAAATTTTTTCCAAGTTTGAGTTATCTAAATTATATTTTGTCACGGATTTATATTTATGTAATATAAATCCGTGATTTTGTCCACAAAATAATATGGATATTACGGTTGCTGAGGGCATTACGTTGTCTTTTTCGAAAGCCATGGTAAGGTTTCATTCTAAGAATTAGTTTATACGAATTTGTTTTAGTTCATTTGTGTTGGAAGAAATAAGTTTATTCAAGTTCCGTTCCTCGAACCAACCAGTACTAAGCAAAGAGTAAAGTTTCTTGCTCAAGGAAACTACGACTTGAGGTTGAACCCACGCGGAAAACATAGAATACTTAGTCTAGTCCGACGCGTTAACCAATCGGCCATGCCGCCATTATAACATTCTAAAATTTTACATTCAAATATGAATGCATTTAAGCACGTACAATTTAGTTCTTCATAGGTTTCACTGACTGTTTTTGTTCCATCAAGGTAATCACCTGCAACAAAATTTAATATACAAAGTTCCAGTCCCCTTGTCCAATCCTGGCATTGTCATAGTCTTTTAGGTATACGATGAAGGACTGGAATATTGCAGACTCTAAGTATTTGTGCTGAAGAAATTTTCGGCCTGAAAGGTAATTTTGAAGGAGTCACAAGGGGCGCGGTCAGGCGAATACGGAGGATGCAGTAGCACAACTTTTTCTGCTTCAGATAGTATATTTTGTTTGTGTCCCTTATTGTTTTCTCGTCTATGGTGAGAATTTCCCCTTTGTCCCTGGTTTTATTTCCCCCCCGCCCCCTTCCCCGAATCTCCTATCCCCTTAATTCCCCTATTCCATTTCACTTTGTGGGCCTATTATTAAATCATTTATTTGTTTTTCTTTGATTTTCTTATCAGTTATTATGTATCATTTTAGTGTTTAGCCTGTCCGTGCTCTGTCTCGCGCTGTCCATTTTTTGTTTGGGGTCCTCCCGGGCTCCTTGCCACTGGTTCTTGTTGCTGAGTCGTGTGTGGTTGCGTTCATTGAACGCGATCTTGTTTATCATATTTTGCACTATAGACGCCTTGTGCGATGACGCTTAAAATGTCATGCAGTAATCTGACATTGGCCTTACCGTTTGCGGGTCATCGTTTTTGAAAGTATTTGTTTAGTTTTCGAAGAACTTTTGTCTTGTAAAATCAAGGAATAGCAATCTGAATGGCGGACCATCACTTGTAAAGAAAATGGCATACATTACCTTCTGTGTACTGATGGTCCTTTTTGCAATACATGGTCTTTTACCAGACTTTGAAGCCGAAATCTTAATTTTTTTTGGTGTTTTTCTTTTGGCCAATTCTTCGTCACCAGTGACGGCATTTCCAAAAGACAGTGCATTGTAATTTGCAAAAAAAAAAAAAACAAAAAAAAAAAAAACAAAAAAAAAAAACAAAAAAAACAAGGCGTATTGCACACGAGCCTTTTTCTGCTTATCTGTATAGCACATTCTTTCTCATCTTCAAATCACGCTGATCCTAATGAGATGCAAGCGATACTAGCTATTTGTCTAGTGGTGTTTCTTGCATCGGTTTTAACTATTTCTTTCACATTAGCAACCATGCATATTGACAAATGTTGCTGTTTTAGGCCGGCGGGCATGATGTGGTGCATCTTTAGTCGAAATTAACCAACATTTCAACTCATTAGGAATAGTTGATGAAAACGACGTTTCATTTTGGCTTTACACCCTATGCCAAGTAGGTAACGATTTTTAATATAATTTTTATGTAATTATTATTTTTATATAATTCGTATCACAGTTTACGAGTATAGACAATATATAGCGAGCTATAAACACGGCTTTAAATTGAATGCAGTATGTAAAGCTAATTAATATGTCTATCTACTCGATAGCCTTCATTTTCTTTGTTGATTTTTTCTCACACAATATTGAACAATACAACGTTCTGTACATTAATATTCGTACACTCCTCGTAACATTCTAAGATGAAGCAATGTAGTTTTACAGCTTTTGCTCGAAAGCACTGCTGATTGGTCATTAATTATAAAGTTGTAAGTCAGCAGGTTTGCTTAAATTTACCGTAATATTAAAGCTTATTTAAGGATAAGATGCTATTCTATTGAAAAATTATGTAGCTAAGCTAGTAGATGTGTTCCTGTGATAAGGGGGTCTTTTATAACGGACTCAAAAACCATGTAGCTTAAAAACTGGATAAAGTGTGATCCCTCGGAAGCTTTAATCACAGCAAAGTTCATGTGATTCGAGAGTCTTTTACAGAACATGCATATCCTCACATTTGAGTTGGAACCGGTACATGAGCAGATTAGAGTGTTTTGACAGTATCGTGAGATTTAAAATTCAGTGAATCAAATCTATCGAACTTGACAGAAGTTTTATGTGTAATGTTGAATTCTGCTACAGTGGACGGTATCTTGCACATCCAGTATCGTCCATGAACAAGCTTAATGATCACCAAATAAAGTTTTTATGAATATGTGCGCACTATATGAGAAAACAATGGAAGTGGAAGAAAATATAGACAATGTTTTTTTTTAATTTTGCGGCTTGCATATCACAGAAAAAATGTCAAAAGGCAAATAAAAAAAATATACAAGCAACATATTCTAGGGGTGATTATACCGTATTCACGTAAGAAATACATATATTTTATACATAACACTCAATTCGTGCAGACATGTTAAATAATGAAATTGATCTCCGGTACCAGTAGTCGATTTACAAATGACGCCGATCCCTGATAGGTGATATACTTCAACACCAGTAACGAAATTAGTGCCTTTCTATAAACCTTGTTTTTCTGTCATTGAAAATATCATTCCTGTGTTAAATAAATACAGTATTAAATGCGGATTGTTTATCACCAGTTAAAAACTTCAACCCTTCAAACTTTAGATTTTAAATCAGATTTCGCTGTTAAAGTGTTGTTTATCTTTTCACTTATCAGTGCATGTCATTGAAAGAAGATATTAATATCAATTTAAGGCAACATCAAGAAAAACTATTGACCTCCCATATACAATTTATAAACATTGAAGATAATGAAGGCATAAGTATATATATAAAGATTTTACTCATAAAAAACAGATTTGTTTACTATAAACAGTTTTAATACATTTATTGATATTTTGAAACGTTAATTATAGTAACGTAAATTTCTTTTAATGATAACTGCGGGCAACACACCGAATTCCATATGATATGATACGAAATAGAGACATACATTGTATTTGCTTCTTTACGCATGTGCATGTATTCTTGTCAGAAAATATCAAGTTTCTTTCAAAGTCTGTTGATGTCTGCTAAAATACTGAAATTTATTGAACTCGAATTACTTTTTATCTTCCATTTATGTAAATATGGCAAAGATTTTCATTAATTAAAGCAATAAATTCATATGATATTTCATTGAACATGCTCTTTTAAGTAAACACTAAGTAAACCTACTGTTATAGTGCTTTGTTTTGGGTGAGTTTTGTCTTCGAATGCATGCGACGTCAATTAAAAATGCCAATCAAATGCGTTATTTACACTTCATTTGTGTAACGCGAAATCCCTTTGTTGAGATATTTTATTAAACGGATTTTTCCGAAGCTGTCACTTAACCCATTTAACAGTGTAGAAACGAGTCCAAGAATATCTGATAGAATTTGTAAGACACTGCTGTAGTCAATGGACAGTAAGTTCATAGCTTATTTGAGTTATACATATATAAGTATATATATGCCAATCAGGTTAATCATATACCTACCTGTAATAATCAGTTAATTAAGTTTTCTGTCATCGGCATCACTGGCGCCGGTAATACGGTGTGAGCACGGTAAATTTTGTTTGAATTCTGCATACAGGTGTCCTTTAACGCAAATAACCGACCCATTTGGCCAATTTTACAGTTCCTTATAGTGCACGTGAAAAGGTGGGTGGGTGGGTCATACATTGAAATTGTTAAAATTAACGAACTACATATGTTACCGCGTTAACCACATTATTATCAGGTAGAATTAAGTGATTAAATGATGGCAAATTATGCCCCTATAATGTTCAAAAGAGAAATCATGTGAGAATATGCTATTTCAAATAATTGCATCATATTGCTTTGTACGGTATAAAGCACGGTGTCGTTTTTGATTCCGGATATTGGAAATTAGGTTGTCTTCCAATCAAGATGGCTGACTCAGTCGTTTCACTTTTCGTTGGAACCGGTTTGAGCGAACAGAAAGCGAAAGAAACTTTAAAAAATGAATTAGTAACTCAAAATTTAAAGAGTGCTATAGAACAGGTATAATTATTTTTAAAATATCGATTTGTTTATGAAATGTCATATTTTTTTGGGACTGAAACATCAAATGATGCAACACGTGTGTATTATGACAGCGAGAACTAGGAATCGTCATATTGACCATTTGTTCGTTGATTATGTTGTAAAACTGAAAACCCTCAGGCATTGGTCGGGATTTGAAGCCCGTAGCTGTCGATTACTAGGCACAGGTGGCAGAAGTCCAAATTATATATCGTCCGATGATATGTTTTGACGCTCATCTATTTCGACGCCATTTTGGTTTTGTTATCGTAATGCTATAAGCGACATTCCGCTGACATCATACTTCTCACTGAACTGCAAGTAGCATTTTACTACGCTCATTTAAATAATGTTGAAAGTAAGAGATTGTAAGGTAAGATTTTATTACTTTTGCAGGCTGGTAAAAACACAGACACTTTGGGTTTGGAGCTTAAAACGTCTTTAAAATCCAAATAAAATATATATTTGTCAATCCCAGCACATGTACTGATCATATATATATAAAAAAATTTAATATAAGCCGTTTTATAAAAAAATTCATATTTCAATGTCTATAAGAATACACAAGATAGAAATGTTCGCCGCAAAACATTCTCACACCTACCGTCAATATCACCATGTATTTTATTCCATTTCCAATATTTTCACATAATCCTTTGGTAGCCTGGAACCCCGTTGTATCGATCTATTAACCCATAAATCACAACTGCATTTAAAAAATTCAAATGTCCCTAAATATTTATTTTGTATCATTTATTTTGATCCTTTTGCCATAATTTTTACATGGCAAACATCACTGATATATAGTTTTTAGCTTTGGAATATACGGATATTTACAGACATGTCAAACTGGTTGATTAATTAGGTCACGCCATTATATCGATGCATTGTGAGAATCACTCAGTTAGCCAAAGTTTGGGAAGCCTTAACCATCTTTATGTTAGATATTTCAGTCAATTAGAATCAAAGATGTCTGTTTTAAAATGTCAGCATAAATTTAGGAACTTTTAACAGACAGCAAATGTACTTTTAATAAGAACACATTATTTATAAGTCTATTTATTATCTACAACGTCTTACGGTACTGGAAACATGTTTTTGATCATTTTACTGCACAAAAATAAATGCGAAAGATTTTCGTGACACTGTTGTAAATGTTAACAATCAGTAGGTGACGTATTTTGCAAAAAATCTAAAGATTTGTAAATAGATCGATACAATGAATAGCACGATACAATGGGGTTCCACTATACATCGACAAATCCTTTGGTACATCGACACAGAAGATATAATTCTTCAAGATGATGGTCAATCTTAAACTTCAACGGTAATATAAACAACGCAACAGCGGAAATAAACATCAATATTATCACCGTTTTACTCCATTTTCAAAATCTTTTGATAAATTCAAACATGGCCCCAGCTTTGCCGTGTGCAAAATGCGCTGCGCTTTGAAGATGGGAACCAGTCGGCTATGGTCGAAGCCATCCGATTATATGTTGGTTCCCAAACTGAAAAGCAGAGCGTATTTGTACATATTGGACGTTTTAAGCTCCAAGTGTCTGTGGGTAAAAATGCCTGATCAGGCTTATAAAGATCATAAAGAATCATAATAAAGACATTACATTTAATTTAAACTTTGTTTTTTGAGCATAATATGACCTAAACAGAAAGAAAAATATTTGGTTACTATCATTTTTTGTGAGAATTATTTTCCTTTTTCAAGTTTATATAACACATAATTTTTATAACACATGCATTTTATGCGTTTTCACTAATGCATATTTTTTCGAAGTTTATGGAAGCCTGAATTTTGTAAATGCAACTGTGGGAAAATTCAAAGGTTTGTCATCTGATTGGCTCGTCGAATTTGCAAGATCAGGTGACTGTCATGTGACCAAAATTTTGTATAGCATACTATTTTTTCACTGTTGTGTAAGGTGTACACCTTATATCATTTCTGCAGGTTACTTGAATTTTGATTGGCACTAATTGATGATTTATAAAGTTATTTAATTATTTTGAGAAACAGTATGTGAATGTGTGACTTATTATTTTTCTTTCTTTTCTAGAGTACCAAGACCAAATACAGGTGTTATTCACCAACATCTATGACCATGGCAATACAAAAGATTAAAGAGACTGGGGCACCAATTAAGACAACGGCCAGGGAATTTAACCTTCCAGAGGCATCTCTAAGGCACAAGCTTAGTGGTCGGGTGAACCCAGAAGCCACAAAATCAGGACCATCTCCCATGTTCACCCAAGATGAAGAGGTTAATTTTGTAGAACACTTGAAATTCTTGGCCTTGTGTGGATATGGATACAGTCGTTCTGAAGTGGTAGACATGGCCTCTGAATATGCAGCTTGTCTGAACAAAAGGGACCGTGATCATCCATTGTCTTTTCATTGGTACACCAACTTTATGTCACGGTGGCCGGAGCTTAAGATTATAAAACCTTGTGGCTTACAGAATCAGAGGGCAAAGGCAACCACTGTAGAATGTGTCTCTAGTTACTACAAAGAGTTAAGATCCATTCTTGTTAAGTACAACTTGACAGATAAACCTGAGAGAATCTACAATGTTGACGAGAAAGGTCTGTCAACATCTCATAATCCTCCTGCAGTAGTGACTGGAGTGGCATTGAAACCAGTAGCTGTAACATCAGAATCAATGCAAACTGTGACAATGATCGGTTGTGGAAATGCCCTTGGGAATAGTGTACCGCCATTTTTTGTATTTCCTGGATCACGCATGAGGCAGGAACTTCTTCAGGGTGGTTGTCCAGGAGCTAATGGTGATGTCACAAAATCTGGCTTGAGCAACAGTGTTGTGTTTCGGAAGTACCTTTCAGATCACTTGCTCAAGTATCTACCTGAATGCTCCACAGACAATCCAATTTTAATTCTGTATGATGGACATATATCACACATTAATATTAGTTTGATCAACTGGGCAAAGTCTAAGAATCTCATTTTATTCATACTTCCTGCACATACAAGCCATGTCTTACAACCATTGGACATTGGTTGCTTTGGTCCCTTCGAACGCATTTACAACAAGGTGAGCCATAAGTTCATGGGGGACAACTGTGGACAGAGCATATCAAGATACAACATCTGTGCACTTGGTAGTTCTGCATACTTGAAAGCACTGTCTCCAGAAAACTTACGATCATCTTTCAAGAAAGCGGGCATTTATCCCTTCAATCCTAATATTGTAGATGCTTCAAATTTCAAGCCATCTGAACCACTTCAGCAAGAAGAGATACCCACAACAGCTGTTCTAGAAGTTTCACAGTCAGTTCCCAAATGTTCTACAGAGTTCTTTGCATCTAAGGAGGCTTTAGTTAGTGCCAAGAAACCACCCACCAAAAAACGCCGCTGTACAGTTGTTAGTGGAAAGCCCATCACAGAAGACAGCATTTAATATTTGTGCCATCCAGCAGCATGACAACAACAAAACTAAGACGACAGTTTCAGCTTCATCAGAGCCAAAGCCTAGTACCTATGGTGTAACCAAGTCTAGCAAGCCAACATTAATCAGACATGAGGACAGTGATTCTGAGTACATAACTGTGTATGTAACAAGTTAACTCCAGATGAAGTACACAAATATTTATCCCTTGCATTTGTTAAGTGGATAGAGTGTAGCAAGTGTGGACACTGGGTGCATCTTATGTACTGCACTAGTGTTAGAGTTGTCAAGAGGGGTGATATATTTTTTTGTCCTCATTGTTTTGACAGGCACTAAGTATTTTGTTTTTGATGTGCAAAAATATTTTTGATATTTGATATCCTTTTGACATAAAAATAAAGAATAGTTATATGTTGAAATGTATTTTATATGCTTTAGTTTTATCCAATTCATTTATTGTGTGCACCTCAAAAACATAGAATGACTGTACACTCGCCAATACAGTGAAATGATCTTGAAATAACCAGCCAATCAAAAGGCATCATTTCATATGAGGGTAAACAAATATGGCTGCCTCTATGCAGCCTTGTCAACAAGGGGCCTCCGTGGCCGAGTGGTTAAGGTCGCTGACTTGAGATCACAGGTCCCTCACCGCTGTAGGTTCGATCCTCACTCGGGTCGAATTCTTTCATGTGAGGAAGCCATCCAGCTGGCTTACAGAAGGTCGGTGGTTCTACCCAGGTGCCCGCTTGTGCCTGAAATAATGCCCGGAGGGGCACCTGGGGTCTTCCTCCACCAATAAAGCTGGAAAAAAATCAACGAAAAAATCTCAGCGGGACACTTTTGGATGGCCCGACTTGAGTGTACGGTCGCCCATATGGGTTTCCGGCGGCGACCTTAAATAAACGCATTAAAAAAAAAAAAAAAAAAGCCTTGTCAAAATGATAAAAATTATTGTTTATAAGCCAGTACACATGCAAAACTAGGTAAAAAGTATTGAATTTTATATAAATGCCATTTAAATAAAAAGTTTATAAGTTCCTCTATTATTTCAAAAATGATGCATTAATTCTAGGGCCGGGAATTATATTCGAATATTCGAAACACTACCGAATATTCAAACATTGAAAAACGAATACGAATATTGGAAAAAAAAGTGTATTTTTTGTATTACTTTCAAATTTCAATTAGATCGTAAATTAAACCATTGACCTTTACTTGACCCGGTGCTCACATGTTTGTATGATGCATGTCAGCGATTATCGCCAATTAACTGTGAAAACTTTTGGGTCTAGTTGATCAAAAGGGCACCCATTTCACAGTTTGCAATTTACCTTTTTAATAGTTTAGAATGTATTTTTTTCCGATTTTAATTATCTTATTATTGTTTTCTGTGTTATAATTTTTCCGATTAATCAATAATTGTCTTAAATTTTGTGAAGAAGAATAAATCGGCACACATTAATCGGCCGTTTTAAAAGCATGGGAAGTGTCTATAAACGTCAGAATATATTTATTCCGTAGATATTTACACTCCGTGTGATATTTACGGCGTTATAGCTAAACTTATTTTAAGAATATTTTAAACCTTATTTAAAGTTATAAATAAATAAAAAAATATTTATTACAAGTTAAGTTTCAATATAATTATTTGGGCTAAGATGCTACGATGATTCATATTACTGTCAATCAAGTCACGTGAGTTACATCCCGTTACTTAAACTACTCACAGTGATTACCTCCCTTTACAGATCTCTGTGCACTGATAAGGGGAGATCACTGCGTAGGAGATTGTCCGTTAATAAGACAAATAGGATTAACTGAACAAAAGGAAATCAAATTATGAATTTATTTCAAATTGTAAACATATATGTCAATTTACAATATATAAAATAAAAAAAACTTTGACGTAGTAATAAAGGTATTTTTAATCGTCGATTATTACAAGCATATGAGCATATTAAAGTAGTATAGTATTTGACGCAATCAATTTCGGATATGTATACGTCAAAGAAAAATATTGGAACAAATGTTATAAAAAACAAATATTCCAATATGGAAAACAAATATTCAAACATCAAATTCCTTATTCGTTCCCAGCCCTAGTTAATTCTTAAGTGTGTCGAAACTAATGACTCTGGGATAGATCAGACGTTATGTGCATGTTATACACGTAGTTTGTGTCGGTCAAGCCCAACGTGTAATAGTCATTGAACATAAACGCTTAATATCTTAAAAAAATCAAAACATGTCTATTGTCTTACCTTTCAAGCTTTATTCAAAGTTTCTCAAACTTTCGTTTAATATCATGCTCATTCATTAACAAAAAATTAAACACAAGAAGAAAGACAAACAATCACTGGGCTAAAAGAACATGGACAACTCCACTCCTATCCAAAGTCAAAAGCGAAAGTACTAAACCGGCAGTTTCAATCTGTTTTCACCGACAATATCACTGTCTCACTGTCATTGCTCATGACTTCAAGAAGGGACACTACGTCAATCCACAGTCAACCCATACTGTAGCCCCTGAGATATCCATAACCACTCATGGAATCACCAAACTCCTTCTCGCACTGAACCCGCATAAAGCTGGAGGACCCGGCACCATAAGCCCTTGCATCCTGAAAGAATTGGCAACTGACATCGCTCCCATAGTCACCACCATCTTCACTCTATCACTAGAAAATACATGTAGCACCATCCCTAATGACTGGAAAGCCAATGTCTCCCAAGGCTACAAGAAAGGTAGCAGATACAAACCAGAAATGATTGCCCTATCTCCCTCACCTGCATCTGCTGCAAGCTTCTAGAGCACATTGTCACCAGCCACATCATGAACCATGCCGAAAAACACAAGATTCTTTATCCTCTCCAACACAGCTTCAGGAAGGGCAGATCCTGTAAAATACAACTTCTTGAATTCACAAATGATATAACATGGAAAATGGCAAACAGACTGATGTTCTTATCATGGACTTCGCCAAGGCCCTCTACAAGATATGCCTCAGCCTCTTTTCCCACTGGAGCACTACATCATCAGAGGCAAGACCAACCTGTGAATTCAGGCTTTCCTAAGCAACCGATCCCAATCTGTAGTCTTGGAAGGGGTAACCTCAGATACAGTATCTGTAGAATCCAGCGTCCCACAGGGTTTAGTCCTTGGCCCGAGTCTTTTCCTGTTCTGCACAATGGCATCCCGGATGGTCTCAATGCATTCGTCCGACTCGTCGGGCCCACAGTTGAATTTGTTTTGTGCCGGCAGTCCTTTCAGGGGGTCATTGGCACAGTGGCGCACTCTAGATTGAACACTGTTCTTAATCCGATAAGTTGTAATTGTTTCGTTATTGGAATACCCTGCATGTTATCATTGAATTTCATCGAAAATCGCTGTGCCCAACTAGAACTGACACTGAAAATTTCATTGATAGGTATAGAATTCTATATATTCTTTAATTGTTTTTATTTGATTTCCTTCTAAATATACACATGTAGTCTATAGCCGGGCAAGCCAAAGCCTGAGCCCGCTTTATGATCCTGGCCTATGACTTACCCGTAAAACGTTGAAGTTGGCCATACTGGTTAAGAAAATGTTTTGTTTGAAACATTTGACTCATTTAAACGCTTGCATTTAAATAAGCCAATCAATTAGCGCACTGTTTAACAGCCATTTGTTTATCTGCTGTATAAGGAATTTAATTAAATAAGGGGATTTAATCATGATTTTTAGGATGTGACAGTTTACTTATTTTGTTAAAAAGATATTTATTTTTTACTTTTGTTCATAAATTATAAGGTCAAAGTTAATAAATATATATATGCTGTCTTATTTGTTTTTTCATTCTGCCAGATTTTCTTGCGGAACATGCTATGTGTTTTTGAGCAATTTCAATATGACATTGCTTTGCCCAGAAGCAAATATATCTAAAGAAGGCGTTATATTTATATGACTAATGTGACAGTATCAGTGCTTGGCCACCCGACTCTACCCCTGGACCCCTGCTACAACCCTGAAAAAAAGTAATAAAAAACTCTAAGCTTACTATAAGATACCAAATACAAAACCACCGATAAAATAACAAAAATTAATATGCTACAATTTTGTTTTGTTTATCATAGGTCTATCGTTATTTTGTTTCAGGTTGGCAATGTATCTGAGGACTTGAAGACAGATAAAGATGTTGGTAAACTACTCTATCATGTAGCAACCAAATTGAAAACACGTAAATACCAGAGACAAATTGTTGACTATATTGCAACAAAAAAGATAACTTCCGAAAACCAGTTAAATGGTAGGTCTGTTGATAGCTTTTACATGAAGCACATTGTGTAATATAAACTGTAATGTTAGTTTAATGTTTAGCATAACTGACAGGATGTATGCGTGTGTCTGCTGTAGTAGGTTATTGGTAAAAAAAATACTCAATAAACTTTTTGTTATCATTCTTATTAAATATCTGAAACAGATTATGTTCTTCATCATCCCTATGCTCTGTAAGTGCATTAAGTTTATATCAGTTTTCTCATGAAAATGTATGGACATGTTTATTACAAATTATTTAGTATTCAACTGCTGATAAAACAACAAATGAGCCGCGTCATGACAAAACTAACATAGTGCGTTTGCGACCAGCATGGCTCCAGACCAGCCTGAGCATTCGCGCAGTCTGATCAGGATCCATGCTGTTGGCTTTCAGTTTCTCTACTTGTAATAAGGTTTGTAGGCAAACAGCATGGATCCTGATCAGATTGTGTGGATGCGCATGCTGGTCTGGATCCATGCTGTTGGCAAACGCACAATGTTGGTTTTGTCATGACGCGGCTCAAATCATTTTGAAGCAGGACAGTTATTTGTACATCTTAAGAAATTTTTTTTCAGCTGCTTTTGATTACTTCAAACATTTTCCATTGGAGCCCATTGATTGGTCAGCGTTTGAGCAGGAATGTGGTGTAGGTGTGGTTATAACACCAGATCAGGTGGAAGCTGCTGTAGAGGATGTGATAGGGAAACACAAGGCCGGGCTACAAGCTCAGAGATACAAATATAACATGGGCGTTATAATGGGTAATTATCTTGTATCTAAAGTAACTATACTAACAGTTATCTCACAAAGTCAATGAGTATCAAGTCATACGGCTAGTTTTTGGCCTTGCGTAAGTAAAGGAAGACAGACCAGGAATGCAGGTCTGTGTATTATTTCAGGGACTAAAGGGAATCTAAATATAACTATATTTCTCAAACTTGCTGTATAGATTCCTCACATGGTAAAATTCTACATCACTTGCAGGTTTGAAGATGATGCGGTGACATATTTCCTGAAATATCTAGAGGTTAAAATTATAGCTAAAAATAATATTATTATTTTATCATCTAATTCCTAGAGAAATGATAGCTATGCATTATCACTTAATAAAACATTTTCATGAAATGGTTAATACAATATCCATAATAATTGATGATGTAGAGTTAAAGACAGTATATTCTGTATAACAGGTGAAGCTCGGAGCAAGTTGAAATGGGCTGATGGGAAGGCCATCAAACATGAAGTTGACATGCAGGTAAAATATTCATACTATTCATGATAATTTTACACTGATAATTAAAAAACACAAGGATCAGTAAGATTAATTCCTATATAAAAATATAAATTATAAAGTTCGGTTGAAATTTTGATACCTTCATGACAAATGGTTGTTTGTTATTTTTTGTTAAATTAGTAAAGGAGTGATTTCAGCAATGACTTGTAGTAACTTTGCAACATATGAGTATGTATTGTATTGTCTGGTGTATTTTATTTGCATGTGAGCTTGATGATCACTTAATGCTTATTTCTGTTTTTTTGTGATCCTCTATTTCTATAAACAATGTCACACAAACTATATTTTAGATTGATTCTTACCTGGTCCTTAATAAAAGTTAAAATATTGCATTGTCTTGTGTGTTACTATGAATGTTGACATTAATTGTGCCCCTGTGTTCAAATTTTGCCCTCTCCTGTTATACAAGCTTGGGTAGTGTCATTTGATTCTAACACTTTTAAATTTGAAATTTGAGCCATGCCATGACAAAACCAACATTGTGCGTTTGTGACCAGCATGGATCCAGACTAACCTGTGCATCCGCGATCCATGCTGTTCGTTATCAGTTTCTCCACTTGTAAAAGGGTTTGTAAGCGAAGAGCATGGACCATAATCAGACTGCGCGGACGCGCAGGCTGATCTGGATCCATGCCGGTCGCAAACCCATTATGTTTGTTTTGTCATGGCGCAGCTCAAATAATGCATTTATATATCAGGTGTTGGACTTACTTGGCCCAAAAACTGCAGAGGATTTGGAGAAACCAGTGAAACAAAAGGTATGACTTACGTTTAAATTTCTCTTACAATTTTATATTGAAGTCCAGAAATATTGGGCATTCTTTAGTATACCCATGTATGCCTACAAAACATAAAAATAAAGTAAAAGAAAATGACAGGAAGTTATAAATACATGTATATCTCTGAAAAAAGATTCATGACCTTCTATTTCTATATTTCTCTGTCATACATGTACATATTGTTCATTATTTTACAATTATATTAAAATTTAAAATGCTTTCTTTCTCAAGGAGCTTGTAATAAAATGTTGATATAAAATGTTACTACTTGTTGTATAAAAATGGTTCATAAGGGAATTAAATTATTCCCTATTTTAGGCTGGCAAACCTCCCAAGGATAAGGAGAATATAAAGAAGAAGGAACAGATCAAAGAGTCACCTTCTGTTGATAATTGTAAGTTTACCATAAGCTTAAAAAATACACATTAGCCTTTCAACATAAAAATATATACTTTGTGAGAAATGATTGAAATAGTAAAAATTGCCTTCTGTAACTGGTAATTTATAAAATACAGCATTCAAATTGCTAAGTTAAGTGTATGCATTGAAATAACATGTTACTAGTCCCCTACCGGTTTACCGAAGGGGACTTTAGGTTTACCCTTGTCCGTCTGACGCACTTACAGGAGAGTAATTATGTGGCTAGAGGGACAATAGGTAACTGTTCTTTCTCTTTGATGTCATTCATTCTGTAATGCTTTTATGTGGCTTTTTTCTTTTGTGTGGCTAAAAAGAACAATAGAGTGAACAATAAATAGAGTGACCACATAATTACTGTCCTGTGAGAACGTCCGTCCATCTGTCTGTCAGTCCGTCCGTCAACAAAACTGGATCCAGTGATAATGCAAAAAGTACTGGAAATATTTTTATGAAACTTGAAATATGGGTAGATGGCAGTCTGGAGATTATGCACGTTTTTTTCTTTTCTTCCTATGTTGAAAATATGGCAAATTTTACATATAAACTGAATCCAGTGATAACTCAAAAAGTACTGGAAATATTTTTATGAAACTTGACATATGGGTAGATGGCAGTCTGGCGATTATGCATGGTTTATCTTTTCTACCTATTTTGAAAAAAATTGGTTGCCATGGCAACAAATAGGCTTAAAACATGGCAAATATAACAATATTTGTGATTAGTAAAAAAGAGCTGAAATTTTTTATGAAATTGCATCTTTATTTCAAGACTTATCTCCTCTTTAAGAATTTTGCTTTTAAAAATGTTATATTTTGGTAACAGAGATGTTTCAAATATTAACTTTAGAGTGTCCTTCAGTCTGTCAGCCTGTCTTTTCAAAAAAAACTGTTTTCTGTGATCACTTTTAAAGAACTTATCCAACAAATTTACTTAAAATAGAGAAAAATTGAAACATTAGTGAATGGCCAATGTCCCTTCAGAATGTTGCTGGTTCTAACTGGTAGTGGACTTATGGATTGCCTGCAATACTATGATAATTGCTTGTTTTAATTAGAACGAACATATTGGAATTATTTAGAAAACAACATTAACGATTTGTGATGATTTCTATCAGTTTTAAGAAAAAAAAATATAGGTAAATCTTAAATCATTGATATTGTATTTGTCTTTCCCATTATACCCTGTTTTGTATTGAAAGGATTCTTTTTTGTGTTTAATAAAATTTTACAGGAGTTTTATAATATTATTTTACAGTTCTAGGCCAGGATGGAGAAGTGAAAAGTTTTACAGAGGTCATGGGTGAAGCTCTGAAATTTCACAAACCAGGTAATATACATTAATGATAGAATTATACTTTCTTTCTCATAATACTTCAACTGTTTATAACAGGTGTTTATGAATGTAAATGTGTAAGTTTGTGATTGAATGTGTTTATGACTGTGAAACTGTTTATGAATTTCAAAGTGTAAGTTTATGACTGAAGGTTTTTATGACTGAAACTGTTCATGAATGTAAAAGTGTAAGTTCATGACTGAAGGTGTTTATGACTGCGAAGGTGTTAATGAATGTGTTATTAAATGTGAAGGTGATATTGGTAGTGAAGGTGTTTATGACAGTTGATTTTATGAATGTGAAGATGTTTATGATTGTGAAGGTGTTTATGACATATTTATTATTTGTTCAAGTTTGCAAGATTTACAATTTATTTAGGTGAAAATTACAAGACTGCTGGTTATGTTATCACAGACCAAACTATGGAGTTGATGAAGGAACATTTAAAAGCAACTGGTGGTAAGGTATGTAATTTCACTATACAATGCTTGTTGTTTTTGTGTGTCAAAGAGCTGATTGATCTTAGCATTTAGATGGAAAGAGGTTATGTGTTAAGTTAAATACTAAATTTTTAGAGCACACCATTATTTAGATTTATTATGTCACACCCCAGTCTTTCTCCACATTAATAGGGGATCATAATTATTTGTCTGTCAATTCCTCTGATATTTTTTTTCATATAAAAATTATTAAAAGTTTTAGCTATTTGTCAATTGCAATTTATTCTATTTCAACTACACCTACTTTCACTTGTAATGCTTAATGAACATCAGATAGACATAGTCCAAGTGATGTGAGAGTGTAACAATAGTTTTAAAGTAAAAGGAAAGAAAAGTGCTTAAGAGATTCAGGATAAACCATTTATACAAACATACATGTACATATGACTATACTGGTACTCATATAAAACATTAAAATATACATTACATAAAATAATTGGATAAATTGACATAACTTTATCTATTTCAGGTGTACTCCAGATTTCCTCCAGAACCAAATGGTATTTTACATATTGGTCATGCTAAAGCTATAAACTTTAACTTCGGATATGCTAGGGTAATTATAAGTTACATATTATCTTCACAAAGTACCAGCATTTTAATGAAAATTATATGCATGAGATTATACTCCACCAATGAAAAGATATTGTTTAAAAATTGCATACTTACAGTTTGGTTTCAAAATCTGTTAAAATGGACACCTAGTGCAATGCCAGTGAGCATGAGGTTTGATAAGTCCTCAATCCTGAAATGGTTGAGTAAAAAAATTTTAAACTTGTTCAAGATTATGTCTGTCTGTCCAAGAGTAGTCAGAATGATGATATTATATGATAGGTAATTTTTCAGGAATTGATAAAGTATGATTTTCCAAGAACGAACAAAGTATAATTTTCCAGGAATGAATAAAGTACATTTAAGATGTTCCAGAAGCATGGTAGTTATTTTAAGTTTGGTAGAAATTAAGCATTTATGAATTACGCGTGGGAGTTTCAGATATTGTATTTATTTTGTCAGGCAAATGGAGGTAAATGTTATCTCAGATATGATGATACCAATCCTGAAAAAGAGGAGGAAAAATTCTTCACAGCAATAAGAGAGATGGTTGAATGGCTTGGTAAGCTATAATTTATTTGTAAGATAAATACAATATGTATGCTAGTGACATAAACACTTTGTCCATGCCACCAGTATAGTGCCAGGCTAGCTTGCACATACATACAGTCAGGGTCTGTACTGTTTGTTGACCAATTGTAGGATTTTGTTTTCAAAATTATTTACTTTAAGCGGACAGCAACAGATTCAAAGCAGGGCAATCCAGTATACAAAATAAAGCAGCATGCAAGTTAGTGTTGAAAGTATGATGTTTTATGTAATAGTTAAGAAATGTTGATAATGTTTTAGATTAATATTTATTAAATGTAACATTTGAATGTTTTATTGTTGGATTTAATGTCTTGCTGGAAAAGACAGATTATATATGAATGTGTTATGTATTGGAGCTCAACGGAGAGCAATTGTACTCACCCTCACATCAGTGTCATCGTCCCTTTTACACTTAGGTTTTTGCATGCAAGTCGGAAATCTCTCAAAACTCCTGAATGGGAATGGGTTAAAACCTCACATACTTATTTGGGAGCAAAATAGATCACTGTGTAAGGCATATAGCTCTTAAATTGATTCTAACAGAATTATAACACTTCATTAACTTAAAAATTCCTACAGTTTTTACTATCAAGCAATGAGAATAGTTAAGCACCCTGTCCGTCTGACAGCTCAATTTTTAATAATTACATGTGAAGTGATTTGACTTTATACCAGGTTACAAACCATGGAAGGTAACTCATGCCTCTGACAATTTTGACAAGCTTTATGAGTATGCTGTGAGGCTGATCATGCGTGGACATGCCTATGTGTGTCACATGAGATCAGAGGATATTAAAGGGTTCAATCCCCCGGATTCACCATGGAGGGACCGGCCAATGGAGGAATCTCTTCAGTTATTTGAGGTAAGTGATTTTTGTAAATGAATAAAGAATTATATTCTCCGTACATACATCTTTTTGTCACTTCACATTTTACTTTGTTATTAAATTAAATGCATTTTTTATGGTCATATCTTCTTCATGTTTCATTTTCTATGTTTTTGTGCCACAAATAAGGTAAAAAAGTAAATCTGTAGCTATTTGTCAGAGCTATTTGAGGGACTCCATTGAGGTTTTTGACATGATGGAACTGGAAATAATTTTTCGAGATTTAACGTTCAGTTTGATGTAGGTCTAAACCAATAACATGGGTGCAAAATTTCATCTCATTAGCTCAGGCTGTTTTTCCAGAATAATTATTCTTTATGTGAAAAAATGATCCAAAACACTCTTTTCACTCAAATAGGGCTGAAATAGCACAAATGATAATTTTAAACCTTTTTTGAGTATATTTTTTAATTATCATTTACATATCTTCCTGCTTTATGTGCCCAAGCAGATCTATGTAAGAAATTCATGTATTTTGGCATGTGCATCTCAGTGGAATTCCTTTAAAATTGAAAAGCATTAGTGCATGTTAACTACATATTTTCATATACCATCTCTGTATGTTATATGAACCAATAGGACATGAAGAATGGAAAGATTCAAGAAGGAGATGCAACTTTAAGAATGAAAACAACCCTAGAGGAAGGGAAAAAAGACCCAGTTGCATACAGAATCAAGTTTGCCCCTCATCATAGGACAGGTGACAAATGGTATGTTGTCTTGTTTAAACTGAGATATATAATTTATTATATAATGAATGAAACAATTCTTGGAATAGATATGAGCCGCGTCATGTCAAAACCAACATAGTGCGTTTGCTATCAGCATGGATCCAGACCAGCCTGCGCATTCGCGTAGTTTGATCAGGATCCATGCTTGCTTAGCAACCCTTATTACAAGTAGAGAAACTGATAGCGAACAGCAAGGATCCTGATCAGACTGCGCTGATGCGCAGGCCGGTCTGGATCCATGCTGGTCGCAAACGCACTATGTTGGTTTTGTCATGACGCGGCTCAATTATGTTCTCTGTGGTAAATAGACCTGATGGCAATGAGAGATTGTATTGTTGATCCAGTAATGATTCCTGTTTAACCTGTGTATTATCTAACACTATAGCTGGTTTTCATTGCAAGCATAAAGCAAGGTTAGACTACAGTTCATTGCGATCTGTGATAATTTGTTACACAAGCTGGCAAAGTTAGATGTTGTGATCTTGAATTCTATGAAATTGATGATAAATAAATTTAAAGAAAGATAATAATAAAAGATAGGAAAGCCCTTTTGTAGAGTGTGATAATTTTAGTTATATGTCCAATTAGGAGTAATAAATTTTGATGTGATTTCCAGGTGGCAAATACAGAGTCAGTGGTTATATTGAAGTGCATACTTCAAACTGATGCAATAAAAGGAAACTCACTAAGGTCTTACTCTTAGAATAAAGACAGGTTTATTACTTAAAAAGAGTTACTTAATCATCTTAATATATTTAATTGGAACCAACCAAATTCAGAAAATTGACTGAAGGTAACGTTTACTTGCTACCATGTATTATAATTTTAATATGACCTATGTACCATTTCTTTCATTTAGATATATGTGTACATATTTGCAGGTGCATATATCCGACATATGACTTCACACATTGTTTATGTGATTCTATAGAAAACATATCACACTCCTTGTGTACCAAAGAATTTCAGTCCAGGTAAGCAAAAATTTTAGTTAAAAAAGAAAGATAATCTTTGATATTAAACCTTGACCTTGTAATACTGTTGAGATTGTAAACTCATTAAATTCATGTTTGTATGCTGAAATATCTTTAATGGCTTTTTGGAAAGACTTAACATTTTCTTTGCAGCTATGGTGAACAACATATTTGAAAAAAAGAAAACAATTAAGACTGTACAGATATAAAAGAGTTGTAATAGGATAAAAGATTTGTAAATAGATAAAAGAGTTTAAAAGGAATAAAAAAATAATTGCTGGGATTTAAATAATATATAAATACTTCCCCTTAACAAATTTATACAAGAATTTATTATGTAAGCTTCTTTCACGTGTTTTCTTGTGATTTACTGATTTATGAAAACATGATGTCATTATTTCTCCTTTCAGACGCTCCTCATACTACTGGCTATGTAATGTATTAGGTCTATATTGTCCTGTACAGTGGGAATATGGCAGGTTAAATCTCAACTATACGGTAGTATCAAAACGAAAAATTGGCAAGCTTATCACAGAGGGATGTGTACGGTAAGATATAATGTTTTCTGTCAATTATGTGATCATTATATGTCATTATGTAAAATAAAGCAGCAAAACACACTATCTAGAGTATATTTTCATCAACAGGACAAAATCAGAGTTTCAAATCTTGGTCCAGGTCATGCTGCACATTTTTCACACTTTGTGGCATGTAAAGTTTCAATATGACATTGCACACAAACATTTTTGTTTTGTCAGGCAGATGTTTTACATAAGGTTAACCTAATGAAGACAATTAGGTATATGGTCATAATCCTGACATATGTATTATGGTCTAAGATGGCGAAGTACATAAATGTTCCTTTTGATATTATTGGTACCATAGAACCTTGGCTATTGAATACTGTTTGGGTGTTCTCTTTTACATTAAAGTGTCCTCTTGTACAGTACTATTAAAGTGTTCTCTTGTACAATACTATTTAGGTGTCCTCTTGTACAATACTATTTAGGTGTCCTCTTGTACAATACTATTTAGGTGTCCTCTTGTACAATACAAAGTCTGATCCTGTATAACAACTAAAACATTATTTGATATTTTGCTTCATATAAATTGTAGTGATTGGGATGACCCTAGACTGTTCACTCTAACAGCATTAAGAAGGAGAGGATTTCCTCCAGAGGCGATAAATCTGTTCTGTGCCAAGGTTGGCGTGACCATGGCTCAGACGGTAATAGATCCCATCATGCTGGAAGCTTGTGTAAGAGATGTGCTCAACATTAAGGCGCCAAGGTTTGTATGTAATTTTATTCAGAATTTTAGAAATGAAACTGTTGTGAGATAAAATCAGTATCATTTGTGATGACTCAATTGTGTTTCATAACATAATTCCAGAGAAAACGTGTGTGTTTTTCTGGTTTAAATATACCCTGATCACTGTATTATCTGATATAATATGTTGTTGTTTTTTTCTGACTCAAATATATATGATGGAATATATATATATGTAAAATATATTGAGCACTGTGAAGGTGAACAGTTGTGCAGAAAAATAGCTGAAACAAATAGAAAATGAAATACCAGTTATACTGCTGATATTTTTTACATGCGTGTATTTTATTATACTCTGTATAATACATAAATAAATATCATAATAAGAATGACTGTTAAAAAAATATTTTTATGCCCCCACAATGTGGGAGCATATAGCGTTGCACTTGTCCGTCCGTCAGTCCGTCCGTCCGTACGTCCCGAAATCTTGTGAACGCAACTCCTCTTAAACCGGATGGCAGATTTTGCTTAAACTTACAGGGATAAACAACCTTAATGTGTAGATGGTAGTAAAGGAAGGAATTTTCGCTGTGATCAAATTTAACAGAATTATGGCCCTTTGTTGATTTTTTCACTAGATACTATGTAGAAATTTTGTGAACGCAACTCCTCTTAAACCGGATGGCAGATTTTGCTTAAACTTACAGGGATAAACAACCTTAATGTGTAGATGGTAGTAAAGGAAGGAATTTTCGCTGTGATCAAATTTAACAGAATTATGGCCCTTTGTTGATTTTTTCACTAGATACTATGTAGAAATTTTGTGAACGCAACTCCTCTTAAACCGCATGGCAGATTTCCCTTAAACCTACAGGGATGAACAACCTTAATGTGTAGATGGTAGTAAAGGAAGGAATTTTTGCTGCGACCAAATTTAACAGAATTATGGCCCTTAGTTGATTTTTTCACTATATACTATGTAGAAATTTTGTGAACGCAACTTCTCTTAAACCGCATGGCAGATTTTGCTTAAACTTACAGGGATGAACAACCTTAATGTGTAGATGGTAGTAAAGGAAGGAATTTTTGCTGCGACCAAATTTAACAGAATTAAGGCCCTTTGTTGATTTTTTCACTATATACTATGTAGAAATTTTGTGAACGCAACTCCTCTTAAACCACATGGCAGATTTTGCTTAAACTTCCAGGGATGAACAACTTTAAGGTGAAGATGGTAGTAAAGGAAGGAATTTTCGCTGCGACCAAATTTTACAGAATTATGGCCCTTTGTTGATTTTTAGTTTTCAACTTGTGGCACATGTAGTCCAAAAAATATTTGACCTAGAGTCATAAGATTGACAGAACAGTGGCGTGTGGGGGCATCTGTGTCCTATGGACACATTTCTAGTTTTTACTTAAATGATCTTCATAAGGTTAGTTTTAGGCATTAGATTTGTGAGAAAGGTTTACAACAAGTTTGTAATTCTACATGAAAACCAACTTGTTCTTGTTATAGTACACTAAGGAGTACTTGTAGACTATCTTCACATATTGAGCTTGAAGATCACCATATAATCCAATGACTGTAATTACCTATGTGCCTTAAAGCTGCATGCCTCCAGATGAGCCAAAATAGTTAAAGAAAATAAAACTTGATAAAATTTAACTGAGATTTTATGGAAAGTAAAAAGATTAATGATTTGATAATAATTTTAATGTTATGTGCAATTAATGACTGATTTTGCAGTATTTATCACCATACTTACTGCATGACTTAGGCAGTAAGAGCTATTTTTACATATTTTGACAATATTTTGGTAATTTACTTTTATTTAAGTGCCATGTGCAATGTGTAAATTACTTTCTTTGTTCACTTCACAATATCTAACTATTAAATACATTTTCAAAATGTTGATGAAAATTAGCATGAATCTGGAGGCATGCTGTTTCAAAACCATGTCAAAATAAAAGAAAAATTGTTGACGAAAGCATTACATGTAGCCATATATATATATATCCTCTCTATTGTCTATTTCCTCTCAGATGTATGGCAGTATTAGATCCTCTTAAAGTGACCATTACCAACTTCCCAGCTGATCACTCAGGGGAGATAACTGTGCCAGATTTTCCTGCCGATGAATCAAAAGGTTCACATAAAATACCATTTGCTAAAACGTTATATATAGAAAGATCTGACTTTAGAGAAGTAAGTATACATAGATGTCTTACGTGTCATATGTATGTATTTATAACCTATCTTATTAAAAGACATATAGAATTTAATTATGGTATAATTATAGGATAATTATCAGAGGCCTGTGATGCTCCTGCTAGGATTCTTTCATGTCAGCTAGCTATCTAGCTGAGTTAGTGATTTCCTCTCAGATGCCTTGTTAAAATGATGCAATGTGTGACACTTAGGTCTTCTTCCACAAATAAAGCTGGAAATAGTTATGTGACAGTTAGTTAAAGGGACTCCACCAAGTTTTTTTGACATAATGAGATAGGAAATATTTTTCAGAGATTTATGTACTATTTGATATAGGTCTGGACAAATAATTTGTGTGAAAATTTTCAGATCATTCCCTCACCCTGATTTTCCAAAATCATCATTGTAATTGTGCAAATTGATCTTAAGTTAAAAGTATTGCATTGCTTTCCACTCTCAAAATTGATTTCTTATATAATTCGGAGCACCCTTTGGCGATTTTGCTATTTTAAGAGCTTCACTTAATATGTGTAAGAATTTTAATTTTTTATGTTTTAAGAAGTAAAGCTATATACTAAATATATCATATATTTGTTACAGAAAACAGATAAGAACTATAAACGTTTTGCTGTAGATCAGCCAGTAGGTTTAAGACATTCAGGATATGTAATAGAAGTGGAATCTCTGAAAAAGGTTTGTCTGTTTTCAATCTTTAAGATGATATTATTAATAAAGTATGTTACTCAATATTTCATATGCTTTAACAGAAATTAATAATTGAGCCGCGTCATGACAAAACCAACATAATGGGTTTGTGACCAGCATGGATCCAGACCAGCCTGCGAAACCGTGCAGTCTGATCAGGATCCATGCTGTTTGCTTACTAACCCTATTACAAGTAGAGAAACTGATAACAAACAGCATGGATCCTGATCAGACTGCCCGGATGCGCAGGCTGGTCTGGATCCATGCTGGTCGCAAACCCACCATGTTGGTTTTGTCATGGCGTGGCTCAAATTTCAAAATGATTGATACAGGTATAAGGTATTAATTAGAAAGTAAGTATTAATTGATGTTTATTGTTTTATATCTTATTGTGTATTCTGTATAGGGATCACTTTGTCCCTGATCAGATTTCATCTGAACATGACAGGATGTTTTGAATCCTATTCAGAGGAACCACTAACTTATATCATTCTATCATTTATAACTGAAAAGATAATAAAACAGAAGGAGTTCAGAGTTACAATATATACACCAGCTGCTATAGGTGGTTTTGTTGGTAGTTTTCTCTTTGGATCATGGCAGTAAGCTTCATTGAATTGACCAGCGCATCATTCCTACTCCTAGGCAGGCTGTCTAGCAGTTTACCAGTACTAGTTGCCTTCACTTTCGCAAGGAACTGATAATTCTTTACATGCCAGAGCAGAGGTGCAGTGCCATTGAATATAGAAAGGATTTAATGATCAGTTACAACGAAAGTGACCTGCAATGTCTGGGATCGAACCCAAATCGCCTGATTTACAGTTCAACACTAGCTATTGAGATATCTGAATGATGCTACTAGCTGCTATCAGTTTTATGTTTAACTTTTATGCAATATTTAAGAAAACAATTTCTACCTATCATTGTTACAGGATAACAGTGGCAATATATCAGAGGTGCTGGTAAAATGTTTAAAGTCTTCCGAGAAGAAACCAAAAGGTTTTATACAATGGGTTTGTAATCCACAAGTTTGTGAAGTCCGACTCTATGATAGATTGTAAGTGTTTCAAAGATAATACAAAATTTTCTGCTTAATTATTTTCTAAAGGAATATTAAATAAGGATATATACATTTTATTTGTTTAATTACAAGTATTTAGTATAGCTAAGTTTAAATTGGTCAAGTAAAATGGTTTCAAATGGTTTACTCGTGAATAATTTTAAATGACTGAACATAATTAATAGACATGTAGATAAATTACCATTAGAGGAAATTCTGCTTCTATTAAAGCATATCAAAACAAAAAAATGGGAGTTATTCGTAATAAACATAAAATGATGTCTACATGTTATGTAAGGTGATTAAATCAATCATTTAACCATAGGAAGGAATCTCAGTTATAGTCTATAGAGTTTGCTGCCTTTTGCAGGTTTCCCATGAGTTTTCTTAATACAGTTTCCCTATGAGTTTCTTAGTGCAGTTTTTCTATGAGTTTTAGTGCAGTTTACCTATGAGTTTCCTTATTGCAGTTTACCTATGAGTTTCTTAGTGCAGTTTTTCTATGAGTTTTAGTGCAGTTTACCTATGAGTTTCCTTACTGCAGTTTACCTATGAGTTTCCTTATTGCAGTTTACCTATGAGTTTTCTTACTGCAGTTTACCTATGAGTTTTAGTGCAGTTTACCTATGAGTTTCCTTACTGCAGTTTACCTATGAGTTTCCTTAGTGCAGTTTACCTATGAGTTTTCTTACTGCAGTTTACCTATGAGTTTCCTTATTGCAGTTTACCTATGAGTTTCTTAGTGCAGTTTTTCTATGAGTTTTAGTGCAGTTTACCTATGAGTTTCCTTACTGCAGTTTACCTATGAGTTTCCTTATTGCAGTTTACCTATGAGTTTTCTTACTGCAGTTTACCTATGAGTTTTAGTGCAGTTTACCTATGAGTTTCCTTACTGCAGTTTACCTATGAGTTTCCTTAGTGCAGTTTACCTATGAGTTTTCTTACTGCAGTTTACCTATGAGTTTCCTTATTGCAGTTTACCTATGAGTTTCTTAGTGCAGTTTTTCTATGAGTTTTAGTGCAGTTTACCTATGAGTTTCCTTACTGCAGTTTACCTATGAGTTTCCTTATTGCAGTTTACCTATGAGTTTTCTTACTGCAGTTTACCTATGAGTTTTAGTGCAGTTTACCTATGAGTTTCCTTACTGCAGTTTACCTATGAGTTTCCTTACTGCAGTTTACCTATGAGTTTTCTTACTGCAGTTTACCTATGAGTTTTCTTACTGCAGTTTACCTATGAGTTTTCTTACTGCAGTTTACCTATGAGTTTTCTTACTGCAGTTTACCTATGAGTTTTAGTGCAGTTTACCTATGAGTTTCCTTACTGCAGTTTACCTATGAGTTTCCTTAGTGCAGTTTACCTATGAGTTTTCTTACTGCAGTTTACCTATGAGTTTCCTTATTGCAGTTTACCTATGAGTTTCCTTAGTGCAAGTGCACATACATTAATGAAATGTGTCAACAGTCTATACTTGCTGTTGTCATAATTATCTATACCTTGTTATGACTGTGCCCATTTTGATTATATTGTATTCTTTCGTTCAGGTTTTTCCATAAAAGTCCAGAAGACCCAAGTGAAGTTCCTGGTGGGTTTTTAAATGATGTCAACAGAGTAAGTTTCTGAATATTTCCTTTGCATTTTAACTATTCAAACTTCAAGGATTAATATTATCTATGTGTACAGAGTTTGTACCTAGATATTTTCTTGTAAATATGAATAAATAAAAAAGAAAATGAAAATTAGACATGCTTGCACTGTTTTATGGGACTAGTGCGAATTCTATCAACATACATTTGGTAAGGACATATTGATAGATTTTATGGGGGAAAAAACTTACCTGTGAATTGTTATCATTTATGTTATCTTAAAATTGTGTTATTTTTGCAGGACTCTCTGCAGGTTATACCAAATGCTTACGTAGATAGTTCAGTGAAAGGTGCAAAGTTCCTGGACAAGTTCCAGTTTGAAAGAATTGGTTTCTTTAGTGTAGATTCTGACACAACACCAAGTAAGGTAGGTGTCTTTTTTTCAAAAAGAGAGTACAAGAACCAGATCTCTAGAACAAGTCATATTGAATGTCAAAAAAATACAACAACATATTTTTAGGTCACATGAGCACAGAGTGCTCAGAGCACAAAGTGCTGAGAGGTGAGCTTTTGTGATGGCATTGTGTTAGTTTGTATGTCGTTACACACATCTCCTAAGTTTCAAGAGAATGAAACTTAGATGGTCCTCTACAAAAGTAATAAAAATGGTTCCAGTCTGATTCATTAGTAGGTCACAGGAACTAAGAATAGTAATTATAAATGAAATCTTTAAAGATCTTCTCTGAAAGTACAATGCCCATAATTTAGATGTTTGGCATATAACATCCTCTTCAAAAGTTATTTAAATCATGCTGCAGGTGCCAAGATGTAGCCATGTGGTCATAAATGACTCCACCCTGGGGGGGTCACATACTTTTGAAGGACTTATATAGTAAAAATGTCTTGAAAATCTTCTTCTCTGAAAGTACAAAGCTGAGAGATTAGATATTTGGCATATATAATCACCTTGTTGTCCTCTAAAAAGGTATATAAGTCCAACATTTGTTTCTTGCCCAGTGGTTCATTTAGTTGATTTAGGCTTACATAGTAAAACACATACAATTTAATCGTCTTATATAAAAATTACAATGCCAAGAGTTTAGATATTTGTCATGAAGCATTTTGTAGTAGAAATCTACAAATATTTTAAATATAGTGCAGATTGTTAAAAAAGATACCTCAAAACTTGAAAAATAAATGTTTTAACCTTTTCTAGCAACGTATCTCAGGTGAGTGATCCAGGGCCATTATGACACTCTTGTTTTAATTGATTAACTATAATACGCTTTAACAATTAATAAAATTATGGGAGTAAGATTACAAATATATTCAACATGCACAAATAAAATTTGCAAGTTTTATTTTATTATTTATAGGTAGACATTATTAAATTTGCAAGTTTTATGTTATAATTTATAGATTGGCAATTGTTGCTATTTTCAGATTGTGTTTAACAGAACAGTTACGCTGAAGGAAGATAAGGATAAAGACTAAACATTTCCAAATACACTAGAGAAATATCATCCATCTGTACCTTGTCCTAATGTTTATTTGCTGTAATCAAGGAGAACATTTCAAAGTTCTAAAGTGCTGTTATATTGATAAATTATACCATGAAAGAGTTTTATGTTAACAACATTTTTTGTTCTGAAGTGTTTAAATTATGACTCAAATTAGTGTGCAAGTAAAAAAAATCAGGAAAAAGAAAGAATGTCTGATTTGTTGTATGTTACTTTAGTGACAAAATAGGTTAAATAAAATGTAATAATACTGTAGCATCTTTTTGATAGGTTTGGATGACATGGTCTTGACATTTAGTTCATGAAGTATTTTCTCTCATATCTTGTTATATGACCAGTTTCAGTTTGTCTTACAATAATTCTACTGAATTTGTCATTATGTTTTATCATGGAAAACTATATATACATGAATTACTTCCTGTAATATGATTGTTTTATATTGAAAGATTAACAAGAAACTAACTGAAGTAAATTAAATACAAGTAAGATAAATACAGTCAAACAGTAAAAGATAAATTAAGGATCAAAATTGGTCAGTCAGTTCCTATAATGTTGAGGTCATCCTAAATTAAGGATCAAAATTGGTCAGTCAGTTCTTATAATGTTGAGGTCATCCTCAAGCACTGAAACTTGAAAGTTGTCATACCATTTAAATAATGCATTGTGTGACTGGAAATTTCCCGTTCACATTTCCACTGTTAGCTATTGAATACTGTTATAAAGTATCTTTGAGTTCTAATAATTAACAATGATACATATGGCTCAGTAGAACTTTAACCCACAAACAAACACTGATGAAATATCTTGCAATATGTTTTGGTAAATAATTAAATTTGCTATTTATTGACTTTTTTTATATGTTTTAGATGTGCTACTTCAGATATATTTTGAATACCTGCTATTTAATAATATTCTTTAATTAACAGTTTTGTATAATACAATAAAATAAATTATTGAAGTTCATATGTGACCACATATTTTGTTATTATTTAGCTCACCTGAGCACAAAGTGATATTTTGCATGTAGAATTGCCTTATGGACCTCCACAAAAATTATATAAATCATGCCCCTGCAACCAAAAATGTCTCACCTTGGGAGTGATTTAGTTAGTATAGCATTAGAAGCAAACATATTTTAAAAATCTTGTTCTTGGAAACTTCAGTACTCAAGAGCTAAACTATTTGGTATGTAGCATCACTTTGTGCTGCTGTATAAAGGTTAAATAAACCGATTCTTGCCCGTCTCATTAGACTAGAAGTAGCTTTTGTATTTTAATGACTGACAACAGTTATCTGCTGAAGCAGTATAGATTGCTCTGGTTGTACATGTATTTTGTTTAAATATAAAAGAGTAAGAGGAGCTTTTGTCTGGTGTAACGGTCTGCCTCTCAGCCAAGATCATGGAATGGAGCGAGGTATATTTGGGGAGGAGGAATCACAACATGGTCATTCATGAAACATCAGTACTTGCTAGTTCCTTTTTTAACTGACTGGGAGTGGCTCAACTTATCTTTCTGTACATGTATAACCTTTAATCTGCTGGCGACAACTGCACAAAATGCTGTCTGGTTATGGTCTGTACATATATTAATTTCAAATTGGGTTAAATTGAATTTCATCTGATATAATATAAGTGTTCATTTTGTTATTGAACATGCCCCAAAAAGATATCCTGTTGTTGTTTTTTCACACTTATTGGATAATATGGACTGGTATTGAATAATTGTTGGATTTGTTGATAAAAAAATCGTCAACTTTTTATCACATAAGTGGTTATCAGAGACTAACAGCTATAAAGCTCTGTGGTGATTATGAAATAAATCTAGACTTTGTCACTTCATTTATTAGCCTTACGTATTCTTGTACGATGGACATGTGAAAAGTTTTCACCAGTTAAAAAAAACAGGAACTTGAGGCGGTTTAGAATTTTATTTCAGTAAATTTTCAAAAGCAGACTGGTGTTTACGGTAGGAGTATGAGTGTACGAGGGATGGTCGTATAAATTTTCAGAAGTTAAATATTTGAAGTTATTAGAATTAGCATATACATGTATTTCAAGCAGGCGTGTCATATTACCGTAATCTGAATTGTCTGCTTCAAGGAAAGATTTCAGATTAAAATTTCGATAATACCCCACGGCTTTATTTATATACCAAAATTACTTTTTTGCATGTGTCTCTTGTCGGACAATGAAACCCAACCTTTTTTCTTTAAATAAACTGTCTGAACTTGTTAAGCTGAGCTAGTTGCAATTCGAAGGCCCTTTTAGTGCTGCAAATTCATAGGGTAAAATGACACCGAAGTGGTCTATGTCAGCCAACAGCAAGTTTTATATACCAAATTGTTCGTCTTGGTCTGTAGTTTCCGGAATGAATATTCATTTGGTCCAAGTCCGATGCGTAGCTTAAAAATCCAAGATGGCGTCAAAGATGGCCGCCAAATCCCTAAATAATCTAGAATATTAATATTTGCTCATATTTGTTTCCGCTTTTGTATTTCAAGTGAAATTTTTGAAAGGAAGATATCATTTAAAGCGTTTTATACGAAGAGATTTAATTTTATTTGAGAAAACAGATTGCTTTTTGCTTTTTAGTCCCCTACCGGTTTACCGGAGGGGACTTTAGGTTTACCCTCCGTCCGTCTGTCCGTCCGTCCGTCTGTCCGTCCGTCAGTCCGTCCGTCCACAAAACTGGATCCCGTGATAACGCAAAAAGTACTGAAAATATTTTAATGAAACTTGATATATGGATAGATGGCAGTATGGAGATTATGCACGTCTTTTTCTTTTCTTCCTATGTTGAAAATTCTGGTTGCTATGGCAACAAATAGACTGAAAATATGGCAAATTTTACACATAACCTGGATCCCGCGATAACGCAAAAAGTACTGAAAATATTTTTATGAAACTTGATATATGGATAGATGGCAGTATGGAGATTATGCACGTCTTTTTCTTTTCTTCCTATGTTGAAAATTCTGGTTGCTATGGCAACAAATAGACTGAAAATATGGCAAATTTTACACATAACCTGGATCCCGCGATATCGCAAAAAGTACTGAAAATATTTTTATGAAACTTGATATATGGATAGATGGCAGTATGGCAATTATGCACATCCTTTTCTTATCTTTCTATGTTGAAAATTCTGGTTGCTATGGCAACAAATAGACTGAATTTCAAGATTTCTGATTCTAGTTTTTAAGTTTTTTCACTATAAGTTCTTTATTTCTTAAGGTATTTTCTTCAAACTTTAAATATAAGTTGCTTGTCATCAACCACATCATATGTGACAAGGTTTACAACTCTAGCACAAAATTTATCAGAATTACCTCCCTTGAACTTAAAATTTTCATGAAAAAAAACATTGTTTTTTTTTTAATAACTTCTTTTTCTGAATGTATCTACTTCAAACTTCATATAAATGTTTCTTATTATCACTCAACATTTGTGAGTGTTCAATACTCCAGCAAGACTATTTCCAGAATAATGCCCCTTTTGAACTTGGACCTTTTTTTTAGAGAAATTGGTAATTTTTACTCCAACTTCTTCAATCATGATAGGATTTTAAAAATGTTATATTTTGATAACAGGGATGTTTGAAAAATAACTTTAGAGTGTCCTTCAGTCCGTCTGTCTGTACATAAAAACTGTTTCCTGTGATCACTTTTAAAGAATTTTTCCAACAAATTTACTTAAAATAGGAACATATGTGAATGGCCAATGGCCCTTCAGAATGTTGCTTGGGCTCTTACCGGTAGGGGACTTATGGATTGCTTGCAATACTATGATAATTGCTTGTTTTATACGTAATTTAGCAAAATAATGCTAAACATATGGGTTTTTGCTATGATACTCTTGTCTTAGCTTAAACAGAGAAATATTTATTACTTATTGTGTTATTCCACTATTGTAATGTATTCATGAGAGTAATGCTTTAATGCATTCATATCATATCTTAAGAAATCTTCTTTGTAATTATGCAGTAAGACATATAAAATGAGAGGCGGTACATTAAAATAGTTTTTCAGTGTAAGGTTGTAACTGGTACTTATTTGTTCTACATCAATTATTTCCCCAAATTTTGTGTTTCTGTCAAATTATAGCTTCTTTAGTGCAGTCCATGTAACTGATTAACATAATAAACCAGGAATATGACAAGTTTCTTCTGGTTATTTAATGAATTATTGTTCAAATCGTACCCCACCCACTATGAATAAAAATCTAAAGAAACTCTGACCCCTCGATTTTACTGATTATATTGAATGACAATATTTACGTAAGTTAATAAACATAAAGTGATTTTCAAAGTGTGATACTATTACAGGTATCCTGTCAGATCTAAAAATCTGTTCAAAAATGTGTTACCAATTTAATAAGCATGATTTTGTTGTAAGTTCACCTAAGGAATTGAAAAGTACAATGTATGCAAAACAACCTCTGCTCATTTATTTATATGTTACACACCTTTTTATGTCAAATGAAATGTAATTTATTTTTTTAAAGTTTCTCAAATTGACAAAATAGTCAATTTAAAAATGTTTGATATTTTATCTACATAGATCATTACTCTGTTGACCTTCAGTTTCATGAACATGCATAGTAGTCGGATAAAACATAATGTTTATATGAAAATCGTTCTTGGCATTATAATTGTGTTTGTGCTATTTTAATCTTTTCTATTTGACCTTTTTCGAGTTGTGTGGTTCTAGTATTTCTTTTTAAAGCTGCATGCCTCCAGATGACCCAAAATATTTCAAGAAAATTAAACTTGGAAAAACCATGATAAAACTTTGAGAAAAGTAAACAAATTAAAGATTCAAGTGATAATTTATATCTTATGTGCAATTTATTTTGTATTTTATAGTATTTATCACTATACTTCTACTGCGTTACTAACGCAATAGGGGCTATTTATGCATATGGAATTTAAGTGCCGATTTTAATTCGTCAAGTACTTTCTTTGTCCATTTCACAATATTTTACCTTTAAATACATTTTTAAAATTTTCATGAAAATTAGGATGAATCTGGAGGTGTGCTGCTTTAAATAATGTATAATAACCCTTTGGATAAATAGTGTATAATAAGCCTTTGGATATGTTACCTGCTTTTAAAGATTATATTTTGACCTATGATCCCGTTATATAAATCCATTTTATTTAGTTTCGCCCATTGTTCTCTATTTCTTGTGGACAATATGATGTATGTCGTGAAATTGCACGAACATTTTACATTGAAGATACCATGATCACTTTCGTATGAATACATCTGTGGACATGTCTTCACTTCTTTTAAAAGTGTACCAGTTTATGTAAAATTGAGAATTCTGCTTAAGCCGGTGCTAGAGGGTGTGGATGGTAGGTAACTTGCAATTACCACTACCGGTATGTTCCTATATGACGAAACAGTGTAAATAAAATAAAACCCCGCCAAGTAAAATTCTAACAATTGTTATGGTTACATTAGACGAAATAAATAAAATACATACATGATCGTGTAAATGTGTACAATTAAGGTACAACCTAATTACCATAACCAAAGTACTCGATGCCTTAAAGGAAGGCAGAGCAACAATTAAGAACATCACTTACCAAGACAGAAGACGAAATTAAAACAATTAAGAACGCACAAAACGTCAAAAACGAAAATGTTGCAGGCTCGGTTTGATTGAGCCTGTTCACGAACGGCACTGTCAAGTGCAAACTACAGTACACGCCCCCTAGCACCGAATTAAGCAGAATTCAACATTTAATCATGGTTACGGTGAACTTTTGGATTTAGAAACAACCGCAGACGCGGTTATAATGTGATTATCATGGAACACGTAAGTGTCATTCCATAAAAAACAGCGTATGGTCCCAAAGTACAAGAATGTGTGTGCCCTAAACAAGAAAACAATGAGCGGAACTAAATAACATGGAACTTTGAAAGGGGATCAGAGGTTATGAAGCCTGCATGCCACAGATAAGC